GTGTTTGATGACAGTCTGGTCAGATATCTCTAAGCAGATGCGAATTACGATTTTGTCAATTCTCATATTTGACCTATAATATAACTACTTGTTTAATCAGGGATGCACCATTTTGAGCGGAGATGTTATCATCCGTCATCTCGCGGAACACCTGAGGCCAGAATATGTTGTCTTTCTTGTATCCTTCAGCCGTCGAGTGAATTTTAAATTCGGTTTATCAACACTGCATGATAGATGGTGAACGTTGTTCTCTATTTGTTTTCCAATTAATGAGATATAAAAGACTGATGTTTCGGGTGTATATGACCGGCCACCGACGGATCCAAACGCAGTTCTCTTGAGAGAAATAGGTTAGCCACTTACTATTAACTGCAAATCCGACCTTTGTATAATCTCGATATTAATGACGTTATTCGTGTTTATATCAGCCGTGGGTGAAGACGGGAAGTGGTCTGTTGTGAAACCGACTCCGCAAAGCATGAACAAGCAAGGTACACTTGCCCTTTTCATCATTTGCCTGAACTTCGAACGTAATGAAGAGAAGAGCTTTTGTAGTTGAGCTTTTATCGATCAAAACCATTCACCGGTCTGAAAATATTGATTCTTCGAACAGTTGAAATAATCGTAGCAGCTCATGATACAACTGGGGGAATGGTGACCAAAATATCAGAAGCTGCACTAATTGCAAAGCTGGGGATCGACGTTTATATCGTGAAGGTAAATAGCGATATGCTTTTTTCCATATTTAAGGCATAGGCTTCATTGGTTCATTGGCCTCCATGTTTGTGCAAACTTTTCAGGCCGCCACGAGCCACTCTTTGAAAGCATTGAGGGGAGAACTGAGACATAACATACCAGATGACTGGCTCGGGACGGTTATCCGGTTCTCAAGGTAGATTGGCCGAGCATATAGAAGTCAACGAGGCATTGGAGCATGTTTTGTAACCAATACTATTTTTTTGGGACCGAACTGATAAGCGACCTTTATTGGTGGTTTGTTCCCATATTGTTTTAAGCTTATTATTCAAAGTTAGCGGCTCTCACCATGGCTTTGCTTGCATTCCGATTAAGGATGTAAATCAAACGCTATTCTACTTGATTCAAACAGCTGGCTTTTGAGCTTTTTATTTAGTATCTTTAATGTTTTGATGTTTTAGTTCAATTACTGAACTTTCATTATAAACATCCATCTTTCTTGTACTAAGAAAATATTATGTTGCACGTTAAAAAATTTTCATTTTTTTTCATTTCTAAAAATTTACGACGGTTCCAAAACTTAACAATCATTGTTTCTCCGTTAGTTATTGTTTTTGTCACTGTTCGGTAAAATAGTAGGTTGAAAATATTACTAATTATCTCTCTCCTCTTCTTTTTCTTCTGTTCAAATTCATCAAAAAAATCTTAATCGAAATTAAAAGTTCAAATGTTATTATATGTCACTGTTAATCGTTAGATCAATTTAAAACTGAATTATATTAATCTTCTAATTGAATGAAACCTTCTCCTCGTTGATATTGATCGATGGTTATTTCATTTGTCGAAAACTCGTCGATATCGAGATGAGCAATTTCATTTTTTGTCTCTTTCAATTTTTTTTTGGTTTTTTTACTGGTTGCTGCTGTCGGTGTTTGTAGTTATGACTAGATCTTTTATCCACAAAATTACTCCCTTAAAAATAATATTATAATATATTATATAATTTTAAACTTATTTGATTAATTAAATAATATTATAAATCTTACTTACATACGTGAAAAAATATAAAGAAATATGTATACATATTGTATATAGTTAAAAAAAACCATTTAAATTAGACAAATATATCCATTTGCTAGCTGTACATTGAAGAAGAAGGAACAAAAAAGGGGCTGCTTTTTGAAGATTGGGACTCCGGAGCATTTTACATTTTGTGAAGGGTGTTTATGCAATCTGAGGGTGATGGTGACTGTGCTAGTTGCCTTTTTTTCTTCTTCCATATTTTCTGCTATTTGAAGGTTTTTTCTGTCAATTTGTAATAATTATCCCGTTTTTAAATGAATTTATTGTAATGGGACACAAAGTCTTCGATGCTACTACTTCAGTCACTTCCTCAGCAGCCAAAAAGATTGAAAATTGGAAAGGAAAAGGAGCAAACTGCAAAGAAGTCGATGTGTTTAAAAGTTCTCCAAAGATGCTTAATAATATGATGATGTTATGATTAGAAGATGAATGTAGCCTCGCATGGTGGCAACCATTGTTTTAGAAGGTTTTGAAAAACTATGTAAATCCAACTAAAATGAGAGCCTACAAAAGAGAAGTTGCCCCTTGCTGTTAGATGAACATTACTGGGAATTTCCTGAGGAATCTGTGCTATAAATTAGAAAACTGAAACTCTGTTATTTAACATGAAAGAAGCGATGTTCAAACACCCTGTGGTTGAAGCTTTCCGTTAGTCCAACCGTCGAAACAAGTATTCGACTTGAACTTCCTTTGTTAAGGGCATGATCCAATCGCCACAGAGATCAGCTACTAAACTTGGCTTGATCTTGTATACAGGATCTGAAACTGCTGCAACTCCAGCCTGCGAAAAGTTTAGCTCTTGACCATATGCTCTCGCTTTCATATCCCCTCTCTTTTTCACAGCTGTTCTACTGTCTCGTATGTTAGTCACTCCATCAGTCGAGACCGGTCCTGTTAGGTGCACATTCCAAAGGAAAGGAAGGAAATTTGTTAATTGTGAATACGAAGTATCCCAAACAAGAAGGATGGTGCGGGAGAAATGTGAAAGAAACTTCACTTTTGCTCTGATGGCATCCTCATAAACGGCAGGTGATTCTCGAAATTTCGCCTCTGCTACAAATTTTCCATAGTGAATTCTTTTTGAAAGTGCCTGTAAAATAGAGTGAAAAGGTTGGAAACATCCAAGGCTTCCAAAAGAAAATTCCTTTTAACACGAAAAGAGAAGGAGAAGCTTCCCGAAAATTATAATAGGAACAAAGTAAACAAAGGAGACTTACGATGAAAAACGAAGGAAATTCTGAATTATTCCACCCTCCCCAAGAGTACAGAGAGAGGTGATAATAATATATATATATCCCATCTCTATTGTCGTGTAATCTGTGATTTTCAATCCAAATGCAGGTCAGAGAAGCTAAGAAATGATGAACGGAACTGCTTAATGGCATACCTGCAAGCACATTGTGTCGCATACAGCAGCAGACCCACAATTACCATCATCTCCGGCTTCAACCAATCTCGATAGAAGCTCCGCAAAGTACACATTCCAAACCTTAATGTTTATGTTAATTGAACCAGCACAGAGATGCAAAACCTAGTATCAAACGGAAGAAAATTCCCAATGGTTAATGGATATGTCCCGTAACACAGCTTTAACCGTTAATAAGGTATCAATATATTTGAAAGATCCAATGGCAGCTCATTATGAATGGATATACTCTTTAAAGCGATGATATCAGTCAATGATTTCGTGAGGCACGGCATGCTAGCAATAGGACATGAAACATATGATGGGAAGAAATGGTATTCATCGGGACTTTTATATCTGCCGACCTATTTGCATAGAAAATCATCAGAATGTTATTCACATAAAGTAATCCATTCACCGAACATCTTCTCCACATAAAAGAACACAACCTGAGCATGGAGCCTTTCAGTTTCCCGAACCATGAACTTGACCAAAGGCAATGCCCTTTAAATCCATCCATGGAAAATGCATCTTGGTTATATGTGTCTGGGTTATAACAGTACTGAGCTCTCTCCAAAAGGCTAAATATTATGCTATCTTCCTGTCGAATTAAGGACGTCTTATACTGTTGAGAGTAAGGTTGTCACTCTCATCCACCCTAGGCTTCTTCGAAAACCTGTATGGGGAAAAAAATGCAAGCATATGTAATACAAGTAACAATAGTAATTGAAACAAAATTCGATTATCTTCAGCTAAATTCAACTCACTTTCCTTTGGTTAATAATAAACTATAAAATTTGGGATTTATTTTCAACTTAACAAAAACTGAAACAAATTTTACTTAGACTCAATCAAGCAAAGAATGCAACAAAAGTGAATGAACAATCACAAAGGTCTCCCTTGCTTGCCATATGTTAATCAGTAAATCTCTGTTTGGAATTTTCCTAATCCAAACTTAAATGTAAAGCTTCAACCAAAAAAAGGGGAAAAGATGGAAAAATTTTCGGTCTAACAATTCTAAATTCACTTGCATGAACTATTCAATAAATTCCCGAACGAATGAACAAAATCATATACCGAGGAAGAAGAAAAAAATATCATTTTGATGGCATTTCTTACCTTATGTTTGAAGAAGAATAAGAAGTTCCAATAGAGCGATAGACATTTGCAACGAAGCTCGACGCCGTGACTTTGAGAGCTATTTTGGGCGTGAAAAGAGAAATGGGTCTTGCAGATTTTGCGCCATTTTGGTTGAAACTGAAAGAGAACGGTAACTCAAGCAGCTTGGCCTCCATTTATGCGCACGAAAGAACAGACTGAGAAGTGAGAAATCTCTTTTTTGACAGTTTCACTCGTTTGTAGCGAATGACTTCAGGTCATGGTTTTTCAAGTGCAAACCTAGGAACCTGTTATTTATATATTTATTTATTAAAAGGTCAAACTACTATTTCGGTCCCTCTACTATAATCAAATTGGAGACAATCTTTATACATAATTTGATCCTCGTATATATGAGGTTCATACTACTTGAACCCTCATATAGGTCAAATTACTATTTCGGTCTCTCTACTATATTAGTTAACAAGTTAACTTAGATTTTTTTATAAAAATACTATTTTCATCACAATAGAATAAATGTCATGAATAGAATAACAACAAAATTCTCTTCTCAAATATTTAATATTATAACATTTTCAATTACTTAAATTCGAGTCTTTTATTTAAATTAAAACAACTCCAATGGTTGAATCAAGTGCTTCGTAACATTTTAATCAATAAAATCAAAAAAAATTGCATAAAAAATTAAATAAAAAAATTATCTTTCCTTATACATAAACTTCTTTGCCATCAAATAAGCATTCTCCAAACTTCTTTTAAACCTGACCAAATCAAGTTTCACATTCTGTTGCTTCAAGTAAATGTCCATGATCTCTGTTGGCCACCCTTTCTTCTGAAGTACTGATGGATCTTTCAGCAATATGTTATCTTTCCCGTACTTTTCAATCAAGCTACTTTCTTCAACCCTAATCTTATACTCCAAGTACTTCAAATTTATTCCTTTAGCTATTCTCCCGTAAAATGCATCTGCTGCCCATTCTGTCCCGATCGGTACCACTTGCATGAACACCGACCCCGGTCGAAGAAACAATGCGTGTGTGAGCGCTGCTCCATGCACACCTATCATCATGTGACTGGAATTCAACAATGCATATGCATTATTAAGAGGCGTGTAACGGTTCGGTTCAAATACAATTACATCAAATCCTACTTCTTTCATTACTCGAATCATTTCTTCTTGATTCAATATCCTTCGTGATGACACGTCATTACCTCGACAAGTTAAAACGAGACGAGGCCGGCGTTCGGGTTTTAAACCTAGGGGAGGAGAGGGAATATGATTTTGGTTATAGGCTTTTGCTAGGAGCTCCCGGAAATGCAATAGTGTTTTGGACGATGGGATTACTGTTGGGTCTATGGTCATAAAGCCATGTGATATGAGGCCTAGAGTTGCTGAAGGGAAACAGTGAGTGACGTTGTCTTTTTCGAGGGAGATAATCGGGTGTTTGCTAAAAACCTTAAGTAATTCGACATACTTACTATACCACCAATCATGGTACTCGGATACCACGATGATGAAATCACGATCGGGGTAGATGGAATTGATGGTGATGAAGAGGGGGATGAATCCGTCATTGAAAGCATGGAATAAGTTTCCAGTATACCCTCCCGCACTAAATACAATGGCCGGAGCCTCGTGTTGGATTGTGCATTTTGGGCTTGATGGGCCAGAGACTAGAGTAAGCTCTTTGATCTGGCCCATGATGTAATCCTCGTATTTTCTCGGGTATGGCTTAATTTTCTCCACGTGGATGGCATTAGTGGGGTCCACTGTAAAGAATGTCGAGGATGCGAAGTCCAAGACAGTGGAGCCGTTGACAGTGCAGAGATCGTAGCGAATATAAGAACGGTTGCAGGTGATGACACGTGGAAGTAGTTGGCGATTCTGCTGACTTGCCACAGTTGCAATTTCAACACGTGTTTCTGTTGAAATTTGAAAAAAAAAGAAATGTAATAAAATGCCACGTATACAAATGTATAGACTATTAGTATTATTTATTGGTAATGTAAAATATTCTTAGACAAGTACTTGACAACTACCTATATTAATAGTTTTGAAGGTTCTTAAACTTAAAATCTTAATTTTTAATTTTTTCCTACTCAATCAAATTTTTAAATTTAAAAAACTATTTAATATAATTCTTTAATCGATAAAAATCGTCACTAAACTTTAATATATTGATTAATTAGTGTGGACTGTGAATATAATCAGATTTCCATATTAAAAATACATGAATATAAACAAAAAATAAAATCTTCTACAACAGTTTTCTTAATGGATAATAGTTTGTTGAAAGATACCAAAATTCAGAACGTAACAACCTTATATTTTATTTAGGACGAAATAATAATAATAACCATCTTATTGTTAATTAATTAGTTAAATTGAACCCAACTAATTAAGCATACCACCAAACCAATCATATATTAGTGGAATGCAAAGCCTTGATGAGGTCAAAGGGTATGGAGTGCAGTTGGTGGAATTTGAAATAAACCCTCCAACCGAAACAGGAAGGTTAATCTAGCCGAGTTCGAATGATAAAGAGTTCAAACTCCATTGGGGCTCAATTAAATATCATTATCTAAATTTTAAGTTTGATTCTAAATAAAATCCGAAAAATTGAACTCACCTTATTTTAATCCGTCTACATTCAGACTCAAATAGTAATTTAATATCAATATATCTATAAACAAAAAAAGTTATTTAAAGCGAATTGATTTTAATTACATGTGTCTCATTTACCTTTCTAACCTTATTAGATCGTTTCTTCTTCAATTTTAAGTTTAAATATTTATTAGATTTTTCTTTCCTCGCGTTTTAATAATTTAATTCATCTTAATATTTGATTTTTTGTCTTTGAGTAAATTTGGGAAGAAAGAGTTTGGAAATTTGTATCTAATATAGAATAACGGTTACCTTGGTTCTTCTTTAAGGTAAACGTGGAGGATGACCATGACGACGACGTTGCTGCTATTATGTTGTTGATCCTCGAAATTGACGACATGCTCAAGCTCATGGTATGAAACCATACCAACAAGAAGCAAAAAAGGACCGTCGCAACGGCTGCTTTCGAGCTCCCATTTATCTTCTTCATCGCCCTGAATTATACATATACAAGAGACCAAAAGCCTTGCAGAGAAAAAAGAGATGCATTTGTCATATATATAATCAACTATCCTTAAACAAAGTCTTAAGTGCTTGGAAAACTGTACCTGACTATGTTGCTGGCTTTAGAATTGTGGAGGGCTTTGGTTTGCTGCAGAAATGAGCGAATGATGGATGAAATACTTTGGGTTAGCGTTAGCGACGGGAAAGAGATTGATTTCGAAGGTTATATTTTGAATGTACTTAATGTTTAAGCACTGGTTTGACAAAAGGGTGGGAATCTTAAATAGGCCAATGGTGTTTTGGACCGAGTTACCTACCCTTTTTTAAATAAATGTTTGATTGATTTCAAATTAAATAATAATCAAACTATATTAATTACGACTTATGACATGCCATACACCCATTCAATTACTAGTATATTTGTATCTCTTACAAATGAAAAATAAAGAAACATTTGAGGTAAATGGGGTATTAGCGTTACTAATTTAAATATAATTAAGGATATATATAAATAATATATAATATATATATATATATATATATATATATATATATATATATATATATATATATATATAAGAGATATTATAATAATGATATCTAAATATATAAAGATCAATTATATTATTATTCTCGGTTTGGGTCATATTTTTTTCGCCCTAAACCTGAACTCGAGTTTATTCTTCAAAAAAATTGATTAATTCTTCAAAATATTTATTCATTTCCTATTAATTGAACTTTTATATGAGCCCATATATTTATCAATTGGGCCATATCCGTTAAACAAAGGCGTTTCAATTAACCAAACATCGTTTCATGTTTTGGTCGAAACATTGGCCTCATCTTAACGCTATATTTTTTAATAGTTGGATGATTATAAGGACAATATATGTTTATTTTTTAAATTATTAAAAACGAACAAATTTTATAAGCGTAGTTACTCAAACTCGATATTTGAAGAAATAATAACATTTTTTTAACCACTGAAACCGTTTGATGATTCTATTAACGTTACATTCTTAAATGCAATTTTTCAAAGGGTAGTCTTAGGCAAAATCACAATATAGGAATAAGGCCAAATAAGAACGCCGAATATTGGTTGTTTGACTCCAAATCTTGGAGTTGAAAAGGACCAACACACCAAGTTGCCGAAGCACATCTCCTTTTTCTCTAACATATAGAAAGTACAATCCTGCCCCAACTATTACGTGTCCCCATTTGCATTAAGGTCACATCATTTTGGATGCTTTCGTACTCTCATCGGAGGGACGAAATCAAATTAAGCAATAAATAAAGTAAATTATCCAATTTAAATGTTATCAGAGATTTAATGAGTAATTAACCCAAAAATTAAGAAGGACGAGATATAATATGACAAATATTTAAATGAACAAGAATTAAAATTAACATTAGACTGTAACCCCAAAAAAAATAACATTAGACAAAAAATTGGAGGCACGACCTCTCCTATGCTAGTCACTCTAGTGTGCTCATAGGAACATCTCAAGGTTTTATGTCAATTCACGTAACATGTGATTTTTTTTATATAGAACCATGCCAAACAAGCTTCTAATTCTTGATTGATTTGATTCTACTAGTTACTTCAATTCTTATTTCCTTCACTGATTTTCTTAGGATAAATTATGTATTTAATCATTCAATGTTTGTTGTATTTCTATTTTGACTATCAAACTTTAAAAAAATATCAACTGTATCACCTTTCTTTGGTTTAGGTCACCAACCACTAGTTGTATAACAGTAATACTAAAACTGCGTTTTAGTCTGTTTTATTTATGAAGTTGACCATATATTTGACCTGTTTTGCTCATGATTGGTATTCTTTTCCACCGTCATCGATCATCGTTTGTGACATAACTAGTACTAGCACTTTCATCTTTAACACGTTCGTCTTTCTCCTCTCTTTATTATTTTCAGTTTGATTTTACTCAAAATTTTATTTTAATCGACAAAATTCAACCAAATCTTTGACATTCTCTTGGCCCGATGGATAATATTTATTGTCTAATCAATATGAGACTAAAATATATTATTTTCCTCCCTTCTTCCTCCTTATTGTTCAAATTTAAAAGAAAATACTCTTATCAATGAATCAAATAAAGTCCAGAAGTTTGTGTTTGAGAGGAAAGCTTAAAAGATTTGCATAAATTTACAAAAAAATGTTACAAGATGATAATGACTTAGCAACCGGATGATATAAAAAGGCATTTAAAATTTGAGTGATAAAGTAAAAAAATCAAGTCGTAACCAAAATAGGAATACAACAAAAATTGGATGACTAAATGCATAATATACTCATATTTTATCCTAACGAAAATGTAAATACGTCTTATATTCCAATTAAATGGTTTTTTAATACAACCAAAGCTTACATTACATTCTAAAAGAAATAAAAAATATATATAAATAATTATAAGAATAGAATTATAAATTTAATGTCAATTACTTTTAATCTCAACGTTGATGTAATTTTTTTTTTTAGTATTGAAAATTCGAAACGAAGGTTTTCTTGAAAGGGTAGACCACATTAGATATTATAAATTAGATTGTACAAGTGGGAGGAATCAAATGAAAGGTTTCTTTTCCTTTTTTTTAGGGTGGGCGAAAGCATGATTTCATTGGACCACACTTCGTATTATTATCGTTATATGCACGCAATAATGAAACAAATCAAACTTAGGTAAGATAATATCATTTTAATTCATATTTTAACAATTTGATGTAATATGTATATTATCTAATCATTTATAAATCAAAAGGTATTCGATGCTTAAATATGTTTTATTTCTTGTCTTCGGTATATTTTCTCTATTTTAATTAAATTTTGAGAAATTTCAGTACCAGAAATGTTCGTCTTCAGTTACGTATTTGTTACATATGGGACACCTATCGAATGACAACTATTTATTATGCCCACTTGTTTGTTTATTTACTGTGTACAAAACAAACCCCACCTATTTATCTTAAATTTACTAATTGACACATTATATAGAGCGAGAAAATTTATTAGGATGAAAAAAATAATTTGAATTTGAATAATTTTTTTAATCATTGGTTTGGTTTATCAATTGATTGATTCATATTTGATACTGTAAAGACTTTAATATAATACGATCCTCCCAACTTAATTTTCTTTATTCATAATGTCATAATTCAAACCCTAATTTTGTTTAACCTATAAAAAATGTCAAAGGCCTTGTACAATTTAAATAAATGCATACAAATTGAAAATATTTTCAAGTAAACCCCCAATTAAGCAAATAAAAAAACATATAAAATGTGTATATGAGTAAACTCAAAATAATAAGTTTTTATCAGACATTTTTTAAAGATTAAACCCTTGTTAAACAAATTCTAGAACATTATACCTTTATTCGACTGTTTGAAAAGACTAATCCTTTACATAAACCCCTTCTAAACAACAGTACCTTTATTTATGCATTTGGGAATAAAATAAATCCCATTAAAGATATCTATATCCTCTTGAGTTGCTTCTATTTTCACATCCTTGCCCCGCATGATACTTATGACGAACAACCAATCAAATCACAACGAGTTTAGCGAATATGGATCCAAAATCAAAATTTAAGGAACTTAAGGACCACTAAAATTCTAGGCCTAATATGGAAATCATAGTATCCTGGCATTATAGTTTAGGGTAAATATATTTTGGTACTTCACATTTATTTCACGTTGTAATTTAGCGCCCAGACTTATCTAATTAGGTATTTTAATTTGACCTTAATGTTCAATTTGATATTAAACTTTTATGGTTCAATTAGGCTCTTGAACTTGAGTTGTTACTTCAAATTGGTGCATAAACTTTATTTTTGGTCCAAATTGATATTTAAATAAATGGTTTATTTGAACTATGAAATCAAGTTTAGGTATCAATTTGAACTTAAAAATCAAGTTCATATACTTAATTGAACCAACAAAAATACAAATATCAAATTACATCTTAAAATCAAATTCAATTATTGAATTACATATTTACTATAGAGCAAAATTAATCATTCTCAATATTCGATAATAATTAGAGATGGTAAAGAGTTAGTTTTTTGGTCAACCCAAACCCGACTCAAAAACTATATTCTTCACTCGACATCTAATTTGATTCAAGTTTGGAAAGTTTCACCTGACTCTAAATTTAGTGCAAATGTTAGGGTAAAAACTTGAATCTGACATGACCCTAATATAATATTTTTATTCAATAGAATAAGGATATAATTGAAAAAATATATAGATAAAATTATTATAGCAATTATCTGGAGATATATATGTTATAAATAATATTATTTTCTCGGATTAGATGTTATATTTTTCATTCTAAATCAAATTTGATCCCGTCTATACTTAATTTTTTAAGAAAAGTTGACCCTATAAAAAGTTAGAGGGAATCATTGAATAAAATGATCCTTCCATAATAATAGTAATATTTGAAAATAAATTGCTTACGTAATATGACATAATTTGCCATCTCACTTGGTGCTCTTAAACTTTACCATATTAGTTTTCGTTTAACATTTTTTTTAAATCATTATCAAGGGGCAGAATTATCGAGTACAATCCAATGGGTATATACATCATTTTAAGAAGGTAAAGATTCAATGTTTATATTATTAAGTAGGATGATTATACAGCGCAATTTATAAATAGTCGTTAAATTATGATAAAATAATTTTTTTGGTCATTCAACTTTTAAAAAATTATAAAATGAATATTAAATTTTAAAATTCGTTAAAAAAAAGAGTATTGACACTTGAATATCATTAAGAGCTAATGTGACTAAATAAAATCTCATTTGCTCCATCAATTGTGACTAAAATTTTATTTTTGATATTTTTCAATAATTTTAAGTAATAATTCCAAAAAATTAGAAAAATATTTTTTAAATATATGGATTTTTTAAAATTTAAATGTATATTTTAAAATTATATTTAAAAATACTAAAAAAGTTAAAGAATTGAATCACATTGTTTAATAAAAATGATTTAATTTTTATTACCAAAGTTATTGGATTTCAAAAATTATAAATTATAAATTTTCAAATATAACCACAATTAAATAAAAAATTAATTATAAAATTTTTTGAATTAATAAATTTATATTTTAAAAAGTTAATTATAAAGAATGTTGAATTAATAAATTCATATTTTAAAAAAATTATAATTTTATGAATTAAAAGATTAATTATAAAGTTATAATTTAAAAAAAATACTTTTATAATTTTAAAAATAAATCATGAATATATATATATATAAAATTTATTTTTTAGAATTATTATTTTAAAATATTGAAAATATCAAAATAAAATTTAGTTTATAATTGAGGGTTGAATGAGATTTTTTTTATTAATTTAGCATGTTAAGTTATCCTTTTAATGATAATTAAAGATGCAATATTCATTTTGTAATACAATTAAGGGATTGATTGAATGAAATATTATGTAACTTTTAAAGTTTGATGTTCAAAAGAAGTATTTTAGTATAGTTTAATGACCATTTAAAAATTTTACCTTTAAAATTAGTGATACATTTCTTTTCCTTATTAAGTATTACTTTATTTTATATTTTGGTAATTATGTCATTGATGTATAGAAAAAAATATATTTTTAGAGTTACAAATATAAAATAATGAAATAAAAGATTCCATCTAAAATGTAATATATATATATATATATATATATTAATTATACAAGTAATATCGTGTCCAAAATCGACAACTTGGTCACTACTCACATCCATTTCTAATACAAACGGAAGCCACGTGTTAGGATTATAAGAATTAGCTTTATGTCTTGTTTTATTACAGAATAAAGGATTCAACCAATCATAATCAACCACACAATTCCTGCACTGCAATATAATAATAATAATAATAGTAATAGTAATAATAATAATAATAATCATCATCATCACATTCTAGTTTCGATATAAATTATATGATAATTATTTTAAATTTATTTTGATTTAATTTTAAATTATTCAATTTGTTATCAATCATATTATAGTGATTAATTTTAATTATTTCAAATTATCTTAAATTTAATTAAATTAATGATTTGAAGAGAAAGGTAATATTTCTTTGGGTAAACTACATGTTTAGTATATAAACTATTAGTTTTAATCCATTTTAGTACCTAAACTTTCATTTTTTTAAATCATACCTAACGTTTAGTTTTTGTTTCATTTTAGTACTCAACCGTTAAAAATTTAACGGATGGGCTGACGTGGCATAGCTCTGGTGGATGGACGACCAATCCGAACGGTGGACACGAGAGAACGACGAGTCGACTAACATAGTTTAATTTCAAGCCCATCGGACGGTGAACCATGAAGATCAGAAGTTGAAGAAATCGAATATTTTGTCGTCAACTTAGGGAAATTGAGGCATTTTTCGGTGAAACGAAGACTAGAATCATGTTCAAGGTGTTCAAACAGTGGTAGCTAGAAAGTTTAGACTTCATTAATTGACGGATACGACGTCCAACAACTATAGATACGACAACCGACGAGCTCGTCTGTTAAGTTTTTAACGACGAGTGCTAAAATGAAATAAAAATTAAACATTAGGTATGATTTTAAAAAAAATAAAAGTTTAAGTACTAAAACCGATCAAAATTGATAGTTTATATATTAAGTGTGTAGTTTACCCTGTTTCTTAAAAAAATAAAAAAAAGGTAATATTGTAATTATGTCATATTCTGAAGGGCGGTTATCATTGTAACTTTCTTCCTAGACCTCATCCTTTCACAGTGAGATTTTTCACACAGAATCGGGGGGGCCACTTAATTGTCTGCTGCGCTTTATCCAATTAAAACACTGCTTAAATTGCCAAATATACATTTTAATTAACGTTTAATTAATTTACTATTTGATAGTAAAACTAATTAGCGTTGAACCAAAGCACCAACGAAATGTTTATGTACGATTATTATTTGATATTTAAATTTTCAATTTTATAAGTGAGATATAAAATTAGTTATTTTTTATTAGATTAGATGATTATAAGAAAATTTTTGATTTTCGAATGATTATTAATTATTTGACAATAAATGTTTAAATATTCATGCAGACGTCGTGCTCGAACTAAAACTTTTAAAGATAACAAGTATCTCTTAATCACTGGCGTCACTTAGTTCGTAAAATTAAAAAAATCATTATAATAATTAACATATTAAATGTTAAATTTAACCGAGCTCTAGAAAAACTAGAATAGGTTGTTATCGAACCTATTAAGTGATCTCGTTGATGAAAGAAAATTATATTTTCCCTAGAGGTTTTGAGTTAAAACAGTTGCGTCTGCATAATGTATGTGTGTTGTCAATTAATTAATAAAGTTATCTACTGATATTATGCTGTAATCATTTCAAATTATTAAAAAAAGTTATTATTTAATCAAATTTGTATATTTAAAACTATAAAATATATGATAATATTAAATATTTTTTAAGATAATTTTATTTTACTTAATATGTACTTAGACCACCAAATTATTATTATTATTCTTTTATTTCTGTGATTTGGTTTAAATTCGTCAAAAAAAATTAATCTTCTTATATTCCAATCGAAATTAAAAACTTTATGAATTATTATCGTCAACAGTTGAATCAATTTGAATTCAAATTATATTAATCTTTAGTCAAATAAAACTTTCCCACCATTAAGATCAACCAAGAATCATTTCATTCCTCGACAATTCAACCTTTATTGTGATTGTTAAAGTTTTAAAAATTTTATTAGATTTTTTTAACATGTCCTATCAATTAATGATATTTCTTAACAATAAATAAGAATAATAGTCGTAATAATTTTGAATTACAAATTTATTAATTGTCATATAAAGTTTAAAGTTTGATCAAAGTGAAATTACCTTACAAATTCAGCTACCATCAGTGCCGTTTACTATGGTAATAATAATAATAATAAAAAGCAGAGAATAGGAGACCGGGTGCAGACAAAATTTCATGTCACTGTATTAGAAGTTCGTTTATTTGTGTCGGAGATTTCTTATCCCCCTCTCTCTCTAACAAACTTCCTCAAAGCAATAAACTTTTATTTTCTCTTCTTCTTCTCAGCTTTCTCTCTCTAGAATCAAAAATAAAAATCAGATCTTCAAAAAACATTCTTTTCTTTCTCTCTTCTTCCTTTCTGTTTAAGAGTGTGGCCCAGTAGATCGAAGTCTTCTGCCCTTTTCTTCTTCAATATGAATATATGATGACAATCTAAGCTCTTTTAAACTCTGGGTTGTTGTAAAGCTTCTTAATCTGGGAAAGTTTGGGAGCTTTGAATCATCGCCACGAAAATTTAGCAGCTAAATCCATGGGAGAATCTTGATGGAGAAGTGATTAGAGGATGTGTGTCTGAGGTGAAATTTCGTTCCTTTTCACTTTCTCCTGATTTCACTTATGGGTTTCTTTTATTTATTAGCTCATTATTTGTTTAGTCGTTTTTGGATTAGGGTCTCTTTGTAATCAAGTTAATTAAAAACACACCTCTTAATTGTTATTTAATTATATATGATTTTTTGTCCCTTTTAGCTTGTTTTATTTTTGGTTTTTGGATTGGGTTTGGTTGTAATTCTGATTAGATTAAGATTAGTTCGATGATCATAGCTTTTATAATGATATATTGGGCTGTTAATATTTGCTTATATCTCTGGGATCTACTCTGTTATCTTAATTTCCTTTTTCTCCATAAATTCCAATAGCATTTTGCATCCATGATGACAGGGTTCCTAACTTTCCTCCTTTGGCAACACTTTTTTTCTCTGCAAGATTCTATCTTTTTCTGGGAGTTTTATGTTGGTAATGCTCAATCCCACATAGTGTTGGAAACACTATTGGGAATGGTATTTAAGGCTTGACATTCCACTTCCTTGTTGAGTGATAGAGAACAAGGGGCCTCTCGCGCACCGCCGCCGCCGTCCGTCCGTCTCGTCTCGTCTCGGCTCGGCACGGCTCGGCACGGCTCGGCTCGTGGTCGTGGTCGTGGTCGTGGTAATACGTGTCTTCGACACGTCCGCGCGGATACTATCTTTTTAGAGAAAATTCTTGAGGAATTTTTCTTTGAAAGAAACAAATGGAAAATGTGAAAGATATCAACTGATATTTATAGGCTGCTGAGGACTGTTTGAATTTCAAATAATAACAGCTGAATTATTATTTTTTATCAGAAATTAAACAGTTTATTCCTAAATTAAATCAGAAATGTTAAGATGTACCTGGACTGATTTACAGCTTTGTACAGAGGAGACAAGCTGTTAATATCAGGAGTTACAGGAGTTATTTGATTTAATTCCAGGGGTTACATGATATAATTTCGGGAGTTATAACAGCTGAATAATGATACAATGAACCTGGACTATTTCTGAGTCAGGTTCATCTAGACGTTTCAGCTGTTACAAATAAGAGGTTTAATCCTGAAATTTTATGGACGATTTTAACCCTATTTCTAGCCTATAAATAGAGAGCTATATTCAGCTTCTCAACTCACTCCAAAACATTTTACAATTCACTTACAAAGTGTTTTCTAAAGTTCTCTCCGTGAGTTCTCTCTGAGTGCTTTCCGATCAGAAGTACAATACCACCAGCAGTCCACTCCGGTTTCGGTGTACGGAATTTGGAGCGACCGTGTTAACCTCGGGGGACGGTCCGCCTACTGCAGCGATTACACACATCGAGGCGAATTCGTTTCTAAGGCAGTGGTTCTTACCACGACACGGTTTACGAATCTGTTCTTCTTAATTACTGTTTATATTTTCAGTCAGTGCTAACGGTGTAGTTTTGCAGTTCATATATCCAACAATTTAGAAACGAATTCCATAAACTGCAATCATGTCGACACCTTGAGCAAACTCATTCCCGATCTTTCCAAGCTCGATGCACTTGATGGAAAGAACTATAGAAGGTGGTCCCAAAGAATTCTGATATTCTTCGAGCAACTTGATCTTGATTACGTGTTGCTCAAGCCACCACCTACCATGCCACCAACCCCAGCTGTCGGTAATGATGCGGATACGATCCTCAATGATGATGCCTTAGCAACTGCCGCCGCCGTTCTCGCTACCTACGAGAAATACGAGAAGGATAACAAGACGGTACGAGGACATTTGCTCAGCCACATGTCAAATAAACTATTTGATATGTTCCTTAGAGAAAGGAGTGCCAAGACAATATGGGACACTCTCGACAAGAAGTATGGTGCGGATGATGCGGGGATAAAGAAGTACGTTGTCGGTGAATGGCTCAAATTCCAGATGACAGACGACAAACCAATAATGGATCAAGTCCATGACTATGAGAACTTAGTCGCTGACATCATCGCTGAAGGGATGCAAATGTGTGAGGTGCTGCAAGCCAATGTACTCATTGAGAAGCTGCCCAAGTCCTGGTCCGATTATCGCAACTCTCTTAAGCATAAGAAGAGAGACATTTCGCTTGAAGAACTTGTGGGCCATATGAAGATTGAAGAAGCCAACCGTTTAAAAGATAAGCTTACTAATTCTATGAGTAATTTATCTTTTAGAGCTAACTTGGTTGAGTCTAAATTTAAGAAGATCATGAAACGTGGGAATCAAGACAAAAAGACGAAACCACAGAAGGCTACCAACTTCAAGAAGTCAGGAAAGGCCAAACCGGAAGGAAAGACGTTCAAGTGTTATGTCTGCGGTTTACCTGGCCACAAAGCTTACCAATGCCAACACCGCTCAGACCGCCAAAATGACAACAAGCCACAGATGCACGTTGTAGAAGAAGATGATGATATCATTGCTGCGGTGGTCTCAGAAGTTAATCTGGTGGAGAACAGTTCAGAATGGGTAGTTGACACTGGCGCTTCGAAGCATTTCTGCGCAAGGAAGGAGTTTTTCACCAAGTTCGAGGATGGAAACACTGGTGAACGTGTGTACATGGGGAACTCTAGCAGCTCTGAAGTGCTAGGCAAAGGCAAGGTTTTACTCAAGCTGACTTCTGGTAAAACTCTGGCTTTAAATAATGTTCTGTATGTACCTGCCTTGCGTAGAAATTTGATAAGTGGTGGGCTTCTGAATAAGGCAGGCATTAAGTTAGTTTTTGAGGCAGATAAACTTGTACTTTCCCGAAATGGTGATTATGTGGGGAAAGGGTTTTTAAGCAATGGTTTATTTGTCATAGAAACTCAATTTAATGAAAATAAAGCTACCACTTCTGCTTATATTGTTGAATCCATTGATATGTGGCATGCTAGATTAGGACACGTGAATATTCATGCTTTAAAGAAATTAATGAATATGAATGTTCTGCCTAAACTAGACACAACTAGCTTTAACAAATGTGAGATTTGTGTAGAAGCTAAACATACTAGACCTCACTTTAAGACTGTTTCTAATAGAAAGACTGAACTGTTAGAACTTATTCATACTGATCTAGCAGATTTTAGAAACACTGAAAGTAAAGGAGGAAAACACTACTACATAACTTTTGTAGATGATTATTCAAGATATACAAAAGTTTATCTCCTAAGAACTAAAGATGAAGCTGAAAACTTCTTTCTTATTTATAAGGCAGAAGTTGAAAATCAGTTAGAAAGGAGAATCAACGGGTTAGATCTGATAGAGGTGGTGAATATGGATCTAATTTCTTAAAAGATATTTGTGAAAAGAATGGCATAATTCATGAAACATCAGCCCCCTATTTTCCTCAACAGAATGGTATAGCCGAAAGGAAAAATAGAACTTTAAAAGAGATGATGAATTCTTTACTAATAAGTTCCGGGTTATCTGATAACATATGGGGGGAGGCCATTCTATCAGCAACTCATATCTTGAACCGAGTTCCTCATAAGAAATTAGATTCTACCCCATATGAATTGTGGAAAGGATACGCTCCTAATTTACAATACCTGAAAGTGTGGGGTGTCTGGCTAAAGTGGGCTTGCCAGATTTTAAGAAGTCCACCATCGGACCTAAAACCGTTGATGCAGTGTTTATAGGGTATGCTACGAATAGTGCTGCATACAGATTCATGCTTTTACAAGATTATTCTATTTGTGAATCAAGAGATGCTGTTTTCTTTGAAAATACTTTTCCTTTAAAGGAACCGAGAATAAATATTGAAACACAAATAGAATATATTCCATCAACTTCTTCTAGTAATCCTGCTAGGTCTTTTGAACAAATTGATTTTGAGCCTAGAAGAAGTAAAAGGCAAAGAGTTGAAACCTCTTTTGGACCAGACTTTATTACTTCCTTTATTTCTGAGATAAATGATTTAGACTTCATTTCAGATCCTATAGCTCAAATTTTTCTATTAGATGAGGATCCTAAAACTTTTGAAGAAGCTATAAGATCTATCGATGCTAGTTTTTGGAAAAGCGCTGTTAATGATGAACTAGAATCGATAATGTCTAATCATACTTGGGAATTAGTTGACTTGCCTAAGGGATTCAAACCAATCTCCAACAAATGGGTCTTCCGGAAGAAACTAAGGCCAGATGGTTCGATTCAGCGGTACAAGGCAAGGTTAGTCGTCAAAGGGTTCACTCAAAGGTTTGGTTTAGACTACTTTGATACATACTCTCCCGTTACAAAAATCTCAACGATTCGTGCATTATTTGCACTAGCCTCTATTCATAAGTTGCAGGTACATCAAATGGATGTTAAGACTGCTTTCTTGAATGGGGATCTAGATGAGGAGATTTACATGGAGCAACCACTAGGTTTTGAGGCACCTGGTATGGAAGGCAAAGTTTGTAGACTCAAAAAGTCACTCTATGGACTTAAGCAGGCTCCTAAACAGTGGTATGAGAAATTTCATAAAACTATTCTTAGTTTTGGTTTTGTTGTGAATGGTTCGGATGCTTGTGTGTATTCGAAGATGTTTGAAACTGAATGTGTTATCATAAGTCTTTATGTTGATGACATGTTGATTTTCAGTTCTAACATTGAGTCCATTAACAAAGTTAAAAATTTCTTGTCCACTAAGTTTGAGATGACAAATTTGGGAGAAGTAGATGTAATCTTAGGAGTCAAGTTACCAAAACTGAGAAGGGATTTTCTTTATGTCAAGCACATTATATAGAGAAAGTGCTAAAGAAATTTGACAGTTTTGATGTCGTCCCTGTTCGAACTCCTTATGACCCTAGCATACATCTAGTTAAGAATAAAGGAAGTAGTGTTTCCCAAACTGAATATGCTAAATTAATCGGAAGTTTAATGTTCTTAATGAACTATACTCGGCCTGATATTGCTTATGCCGTGAGTAGACTAAGTAGATATACTCATAATCCGAGTGGTGAGCACTGGATTGCGCTTAAACGCTTACTAAAGTATCTTAAGGGTACTGTGAATTGGAAACTTGAGTTTGTTGGCTTTCCTGCGGTATTGGAAGGATATTGTGATGCCAACTGGGTTTCTGATAATGATGAGGTAAGCTCTACAAGCGGGTATGTTTTTACTTTGGGTGGAGCAGCGATCTCGTGGAAATCATCAAAGCAGACTTGTATTGCTCGTTCTACCATGGAGTCAGAGTTTATAGCTCTTGACCTAGCTGGGCAAGAAGCCGAGTGGCTCAGAAGCTTGTTAGCAGATATTCCGTTGTGGGGAAGACCGACTCCTCCAGTTTCATTGTTGTGTGATTCACAAGCTGCAATATGTGTGGCTAAGAACCAAGCTTACAATGGTAAGAAAAGACACATTCGCATAAGACATGAATCAGTTAGACACTTGATAAAGAATGGAGTGCTCTCTTTAGAGTATGTGAAGTCGGAAAGGAACCTAGCAGATCCACTTACCAAAGGGTTAAGTCGGAAGCTGGTCCTAGATTCATCGAGGGGGATGGGTCTAAAGCCCATTGGTTGAGGAATTCATTGTGGATACCCAACTTAGTTATCTAAGTTCCATGTGGTCAAACGAAACCATGGAAAGACTCATAGTGCACATTCCTACTGCCTATCCCTATGATGAATAATGTGCATGCCCAGGATGAGCTTAATTGCTCTTAATAAATTCATAGCCCAGGCTTTGGGTGGTCTTAGTGAGAAAGACTTGATGAATTTACCGATTTTGGCTGAATATCTATTCTTAATAAGTTCATAACCCAGACCGAGTGGGTAGGAAATGATGAACTTACCGACAGAAAGGTTGAGTTTGTTAAACTCTTAATAAATTCAAATCCAAGTATTTGGATGGTTCTAGTGAGAAGGACTTATTGAATTTACCGATAAATGAGGTTGAATATTTATTCTTAATGACTTCTTAGCCCAGAGTTTGGGTGGTTCATTTATAATGAACTTGAAAAAAGTCACCAAACCCTTTGTGAGGTTGAGCTATTATAAAAGCTCTTAATTATTTCATATTCCTTTTTAAAGGGTGGTTTATGTTGAGATAAACTTGATGAAATAACCTATGTAAGTGAGAAGGGTTAGCCGCCTTCTATGAAAAATGTTGGACTGTTTTTCTAGCACACTTACTAGAATCCTGAGGTAAGATGGCCAAATATATACGTTTGTATATATATATCTTACACATCGAGGACTCAGGTGGATGAAGGGGTTAGTTGTGTGTTATGAGTTTACCCTGATCTTAGAAAGTTCCAGACTAGTTTCACTTATCTAAGAGAAGGATTTCTCATCATCACTATGTACTAGTTCCAGATATGTTCACTAGTGCTTAAGCAACTAATCTCGCTATTACTCTTCTGGAAAGCTTGTTTTCGAGTTTCAGAAGATTTCTTTCGCATTAGTGGGGGAATGTTGGTAATGCTCAATCCCACATAGTGTTGGAAACACTATTGGGAATGGTATTTAAGGCTTGACATTCCACTTCCTTGTTGAGTGATAGAGAACAAGGGGGGCTCTCGCGCACCGCCGCCGCCGTCCGTCCGTCTCGTCTCGTCTCGGCTCGGCACGGCTCGGCTCGGCTCGTGGTCGTGGTCGTGGTCGTGGTCGTGGTCGAGGTCGTGGTCGTGGTCGTGGTCGTGGTCGTGGTCGTGGTCGTGGTCGTGGTAATACGTGTCTTCGACACGTCCGCGCGGATACTATCTTTTTAGAGAAAATTCTTGAGGAATTTTTCTTTGAAAGAAACAAATGGAAAATGTGAAAGATATCAACTGATATTTATAGGCTGCTGAGGACTGTTTGAATTTCAAATAATAACAGCTGAATTATTATTTTTTATCAGAAATTAAACAGTTTATTCCTAAATTAAATCAGAAATGTTAAGATGTACCTGGACTGATTTACAGCTTTGTACAGAGGAGACAAGCTGTTAATATCAGGAGTTACAGGAGTTATTTGATTTAATTCCAGGGGTTACATGATATAATTTCGGGAGTTATAACAGCTGAATAATGATACAATGAACCTGGACTATTTCTGAGTCAGGTTCATCTAGACGTTTCAGCTGTTACAAATAAGAGGTTTAATCCTGAAATTTTATGGACGATTTTAACCCTATTTCTAGCCTATAAATAGAGAGCTATATTCAGCTTCTCAACTCACTCCAAAACATTTTACAATTCACTTACAAAGTGTTTTCTAAAGTTCTCTCCGTGAGTTCTCTCTGAGTGCTTTCCGATCAGAAGTACAATACCACCAGCAGTCCACTCCGGTTTCGGGTGTACGGAATTTGGAGCGACCGTGTTAACCTCGGGGGACGGTCCGCCTACTGCAGCGATTACACACATCGAGGCGAATTCGTTTCTAAGGCAGTGGTTCTTACCACGACACGGTTTACGAATCTGTTCTTCTTAATTACTGTTTATATTTTCAGTCAGTGCTAACGGTGTAGTTTTGCAGTTCATATATCCAACATTTTAAACATGCATGGAAGTGTAGCTCTAGTGGTTCATTTATGATCTTGTGGCTTACATTACACTTCTAAAATCTTGGTTTTCTGCCTGCTTTTAGTGTTATTAGTTATGAATTTATGATTACGCTACTTCGCCATAGATGTTTGTTGCTTTGGCATGCAACTATCAATGTTTATACGATTCTGGTTGATATTTTTTTTAACGAATCGTTTTGTGGAATCAGTAACAGTTGATTGTGATGATATCTGAGTAATAATTGGATTTTACTATGCTTTATTCATGTAAGTCATCAGAAATGTGGCCATATGTCTCTAAGATACTGCATTAACAGTTCTGCATTTTGTTGAGATACGAGTGATGATTGTCGCTGCAATTGTTCATTGTGCGTCGAATTAATTAGACTTGTTTACCGGTTTCAGGAATGGGAACAGAAGTTGGGTCTAAAAGCTATTTGCCAGGATTTTACTCAATGAGGGATCTCAACAAGGATTCTAATTGTTGTAGCTGGCCGCTTTATTATGGAGATAAAACCTTGAAAAATGATCAATACTACAATAGCTTTTTGCCGAAGGCCATAGCAGATTCATATCCTCAACATGATAAGGACCGATTGAAGAGAAAAATGCTTGAACATGAGGCTTTATTTCAGAATCAGGTAATAAGGTCTCAGCTTATTGCGTTCTCATATTTTTTATAGTATTGTTTCACTCTGTTTTGTTGGTATTTAAGTATCTGAGTTCTCTGTCTCCAAACAGGTATCTGAGCTTCATCGTCTGTACAGAATACAGACGGATTTGATGGATGAAGTAAAAAATAAAGAATTACAGAAAAATCAGATTCCTATTGAACCATCATTACCATCAAGCTTGTTAGTGTCGCAAATTAAAACTGAAGTTGCTCACAACTGGCATATCCCCAACTTCTCTGTGGCAAACTCTGTCTGTGGTAGACCATCAATTTCCGGTGTTGAAGATGCTCATTCTCCGCTTAGTTCCGTGAAGGGAAGCTGCATCCAAGCTGGTCGCTTTTTGTCCCTAAATGGAGTGAATTCCAAGGATGTTGAGATGCTAGAGCGCAGGCCAATGAAAGTGGGAAGGAAAATGTTTGATCTTCAACTTCCGGCAGATAAGTACATGGATACGGAAGAAGCTGAAGAGTTCCAGGATGACACAAAATCTGACACTTCAAGTTATCTTCCAAATGGAAATGGGAGAATTGGGCCTGAAAGTGGTAGTAAGCGATATCATAGTGATGTTGGTTGCCAAGGAGATGCTTCGAGATCTGATGCATGTTTGAGGGGCAAAAATAGTTTGGCTAACTTGAATGAGCCAGTACGGATTGAAGAAACCGACACTTCCACTTATTCTCACTTTGTTGGCCATGATAATCGGTCCATAACTGATATACGTGTTGGAAACAACGAGCTTGCTAGAGGATTCTTTTCCTGTATGCGTGAAGCTGGTAATACTTGTCAACTACTGAACTTGCATTATATTCCCTCCTTAATTCTTACCTATCAAGTCTTGCGGTATATTCTTAGGCTTTGGCTGGATGACATTAGTCTGGTTTCTATGCCATGTCTTGTTCGAATGATAATGGACACTCACAATTCTATTTTAATTATACCGGTTTCAGGGCACAGTAGAAGCATCTCGACATTTATTTCACAATGTTTCCAGCCACAGAAGTCTGTATCGCACCAGCAAGCACATGTTCTTTTTGACAAAGCTCATGATCCACCAACGTTTTCACTAACTGATCAAAGCAAGGCAGATCACTCAAGAGAAAGAATGCTTCACACTTTAGATGTTTCCAGAAGAAATTGTGAAATTTCCGGTAACCACAATCCAGCATCAAACATGGCTTCTAATGTTCCTAGTTTGAGTCTATTTGCTTCTTCTGATCCTGTAAATCCGTGGTCTCATTCCGTTTCTTCTTTGGAAAAGCCTACCAGTAGCTTAAACCAGAAGTCCATGTCAGTTCAGACTCGCCCATCTTTTAATTCATCTGGTCCTTATAGTAAGAGTTCTGTACTATCACCCCATAGTAATGGGAATTTTGGAGAGAAGTGGTCGGTGAGTAGCAATTCAAGACTAAACCCAGGTTTTGGAAGAGAATCTCCCAATCGAAACGGTTTTCATTATGGATCTTCGTCAGGATCCAAGGAACTTGCAATGCACTTCCTCTCAACCAATTATGATTATGCGAATGGTAGTACTGTTGGTACGGGGGTCTTTGAGCAATTCTCCGCTCATTGTTCAACTAAGCCATACAACTGCTCGAATGATGCTGATATGAAGTCTACAAATGTCAATTTGAATGTGGTGCTTTCAAACAGTTCATCGAATGAGCCGGTTTCACTACAAGGTCCTCAAATAGATGGAGGAAGAAAGCATGAAGACCGTTTACTGGGGTTGCCGTGGGTAAGGGCCAATCCTGCTTGTAAGAATGAGGCCATAAGGACAGGAATGGATTTGAATGTTGGAGAGTTGAGCTTCTCTCTATCTTCTCTACGGCAATCAACCAAAAGAGACGAATTTGGAAATGGATTCGGTCAAATTTTTACACAGAATTTGAAGTCTATTTCACCCTCCAATAGTGTCGATGCTAGCAGGAGTGAAATAAGTGAATGTCTGCGCAATAAAAAGATTCACGAGATTCCCATTTTTGAAAAACCTTATGTTTCTAAGAATGAGTCTTCTTTTATCTCCCCGTATGTATCTGCTCCTCAGCCATCTGAAGGTGAAGCGGAAAATAAGCAGAGAAATAGGTTACTCGATATTAATTTGCCTTCTGATGCAACTGTTCTTGATGCCAGCCAAGACATCGTTGCAGAGAATGCAGCCATAGAGAAGGAAGCAGATAAAAAGTTATCAAGTTTCAGACATCAAATTGACTTGAATTCGTGTGCCGATGAGGATGAAGCTTCTTTTATACCGAATGTTCCGAGCATCGGTGTGAGGATGACTGGAGGAATAATAGATTTGGAAGCTCCACTCGTTCCTGAACCTGAGGATGCTATTCATGGAGAAGAATTATTGGCCAAGGCAGATGAATTAACTTTTGAATCAGCACAAAGCCAAAACGAGTGCCAGCTGCATGAACTTATGAAGAGTGCAGCTGAGGCAATAGTTTCCATCTCATCATCCGTTCAGTATATTCATTTGGATGATCTCAATTGCAATTCATCTGAAACTTCTACGAAAGACCCCCTTAATTGGTTTATCGAGACAGTTTCCTCTTTTGGCGAGGATCTTGAGAGCAAGCTCGAGGCTCTTTCGGGAGGTAAAGATGGGGGTAGAGAGGAATATTCCTTAGAAGAGATCGATTGCTTTGAGTCGTTGATCTTGGAACTAGCATAAACCAAGGATCTTGAGAGCAAGCTCGAGGCTCTTTCGGGAGGTAAAGATGGGGGTAGAGAGGAATATTCCTTAGAAGAGATCGATTACTTTGAGTTGATCATCTTGGAACTAGCAGAAACCAAGGAAGAAGATTATATGCCCAAGCCTCTGGTTCCTGAAAACTTTAAAGTGGAAGAAACGGGAACGACCTCATTGTTAACAACACGAACACGGAAGGGCCAAGGGAGGCAACGTAGGGACTTCCAAAGGGAAATCCTTCCAGGCCTTGTTTCCCTATCGAGGCATGAGGTGACAGAAGATCTTCAGACTTTTGGGGGGATTATGAGAGCAACGGGTCGTTCATGGCAGTCGGGATCAACAAGAAGAAATACTAACAGAGGCGCTTGTGGCAGGGGGAGACGACGTTCGGTAACTAGCTCCCCTTTTGCTTCAGCAGCTGCTGCAACTTGCGCACCATTGATGCAGCAGCTTCATAATATCAAATCGGGGCTGGAGGACAGAAGGCTTACTGGATGGGGGAAGACAACTAGACGGCCTCACAGGCAAAGATGTCCCTCAGGTAATCTACCATCCCTTGCATTAACCTAATTACGGTAGCAGGCCTTTTTATGTATCGATCGAGGATACTATAGAGGGAACTAGGTCATTGTTTTGAATCACATTTGGGAAGAGCTTATCACGATCCCGGGATTGCCTTTTGTACACATTTTAGCCTGAAATCTGGGTATACTTGATTGTATGTCTTCAAGCGGTTACGAACAACTTACACTGTATATCAATAAAAGTTGCATGATTTCTTCCAAGGGCGTGATCCTTCAGTTTGTTTCTTGCTGCTTTCCAGGTTGATTCTGACAATGCCTGTACTTTTAGTTTCTTAGCCTTGATCCGGTTGATATTTTACTAAATTTCTTGAAATATAATACGTCTAGAACGAATCGAATAGGAAAACAGGAGCATAAGTTATAGCGAGGCTTCCTTTTACCATGGAAATGCCATTGCAGCTCTCTTTGCTCTTCCTTGTTCATAATTCATGTAACAGTTGAGGCAAGAGAGAAATGGTAAAGCTTTAAGACAGGTGAAAATATTTTCACTTACATACATACATACATATTCAAACCCCTTTTTTCTATTCTTCTATCAGTTTTTTTTTTAAATCTACTTTTAGTTACAAAATAGAAGAAAAGAAGGTGGAGAACACGAGAAGAAAGGGCGCGTGAAGGAGGAGCGAGAAAGATCTGAGGTTTGGAAGCTGCCGTTTTCTGAAAAATGTTGGTGTCAGAGATTAGTTGGTTGTACATCTGTCATAGTCTTATATGCTCATCGCCGTTCTTTTAGATTCTCTCTCACCCAACCACCTTTCATTATTTATATTATATTATTATATCGCCCACCTCTCCTTTTCTTCTTTTTTTATTATATCGTTTTTGGGGTTTGCTCGACTTTCTATTTGCAAATTGCATATTTTCTTCATTCCTTTAATTAGGTTTTTGTAAAAAACTATATCATTAAAAAAATTATTTACTAAATTGACATTTATTTTTTATTATTTATTGAAATGAAAAACTTTGACCAATTTGATCCATTGTTTGGGACCTATAGTCTAATTAATCCAACAGAATTCTTAAACTTTAGTACAAAAGGATTTGATATTTTCAGAGGGGATTTAGTTTAAAAACTGATCAGAAAGCATAATTTTCTGATGGAAACTACATGCAATGGGTATGCCTGGAATCAGTGTCATCATGTGATGCTTTTCCTAAACTATTGATGCAAATGGCGCCTTAAACGGTTCATGCGGCACCTCCTCCTTCCTGAGGATCAAGAGGAATCTCGTGGCGGGGCCTGTTCTACTTGTCGGGAAGCTGCTTGACATCCATCCTGTAAAATAGAATATAAACGTAGGGATGATGGCGGTGGTGGATTCATGCTTACTTTAGGGTAGGCAAGTTTCTATCTTGAAATCAAACCCTAAACATGGAGTTCATTGCATGAAAAGCAACGGATATAATATCTGGATTATAGAGAAGAGTAACATCCAAGGCAGCCAAAATATAAACGGTAGTAGTAATCAAACCTGATAAAATGGGTGATTAGACAACAGGTGCACCTTCCATCCATGAACACAAACTTCAGCTCCATAACCTGAACGAGATAAACAAAATGGAGGAGGAGAAGAGAAACCTCATCATGTTACTGATATGTCCTCCACTGAAAAGGATCGTCTGCATGTTTTCACTTTTCATGTGTCAATGCTTTCTGTCAGAGCTGCCAAAACACATTTCTCGTTCCAGTGAATCTCAAAATCAATTTCTCAGTATTCCGAGAACAGTGCATATAAGCGATGGACTCACTGTAGAGGGACAATACTGAAAGCCTTATCTTAGAGTACAAACCTCTTTCCGCTTCTTGCTGCTAAGGATTTCTGCTTCAACCTTCAAAGCGTAACACTTGTTAACAAACACCCCGGAGATGAAGGCAAAGCAAAATCAAAACGATATGGATTATGGACTCAACAGACTGTTGACACGTGGGGATTCTTTTAGGCCTAATAGGATCATTTATTGCCTCTGTTTTTGGGCTTCGTTTTCAGCCATGTTTTTGCTGTTTTATTTGTTTTGTCCAGGTGTTTCCTTCTCGATTCAATAATAAAATATTAAAATTAAACCACTAATAAATATGACATCTAAAATATATAAAACTTAATATAATATAAAAATAAAAAATATATTTAAGGGATAACAATAATGTCAAAATGGCTTTTAACACCAAGATACTTTAATTATCATTTACACCAAATTTAGAACAAATATAATTAGCATCCTCTTCATTATCTAAATTTAATTTACTTATATAAATAATTAATTGAAATTCTAATAATCATTATTCGAATATACTTTACTTTTTCAAATAACGAATTTATTTTTTTCCAATGAGTTATCCACTTCACTTTCTAAAAATTTTATTTTAAAACGAATTCCTAGACTAGTAAATGCAAAATTTTAAAATATATTTGTAAATTCAAACTTTAAAAAATTATAAATATCCGACGTGCTACCATCCTACCTGTCCCAAGAAGAGTTCAAATAGAAGCTCAGATCACCCTGACATATTATTAACATGTTTAAGAGGATACAAGAGAAAAATAAAAACAAATTAACAAGCAAATCATTGCTCAATGAATTAAGAAATAACCATTTTTACATGATAAACAACCACCAAAACACAATCAATCAACCCACTTCCTGCCTACCAAAACCAGGTGAAGAGAAAATCAAACTGAGAATTACCGGCTGTCGTAAACTGTGTATTTTAAATGTCTACGGTCGATGATATACATATTTTGTTCGGGGGTCTATGATAAGACCCTTTCCACCGTTCACTTCTAATTCGTGCCTGCAATATACGTGTCCATAAAAATTAGAATCATTCCTGTTGTTGGAAATGATTGCTACGATATAACTAAGCCGAATCATGAAAATTGTCAAATTACTCAATTGGATTGTAAATGAGGGCGTGTTCCGTTTTAAATACTAAAAAGATAAAACTAGAACACTCAACTGGAACACGAAATCAGGGATGGTCAATTGCTCTCGAGGAACGTATCTGAATAACTCCAGAAGCTTATCGACATATACCACTTTTTTCCACACCTGTAGATAAATTCCGGGAATTACAGCAAGATTCCTCAAACAGGTAAATCAGTCTACGATCAGAAATATTAAAAGACCTACCACTTTGTCCACGAACATTTGCAGAGCGAAAATGGTAGCCTTCAAGAGCAAATTAGGATGGAGAACATATATTGCCTATACAAAACATGTAAGAGAATAAAAAACATATGGCGGAGTACAAATATCATAAATAGACGGAGTAGTAAGTGCTACCTACATGCAGGTTTCGTTGGTGCTTCCGACCAAGTATTTGCTGTAATCTTCTCATCCATCCTAAATCTGGTTGGCTGGTTATTCCATAGAGAGAGAGAGAGAGAGAGAGAGAGAGAGAGAGAACATACAATTGGAAATATTGTTATCAGGAAAGGGTCAAAGAGCTTTTGCTCAAAGAGCTCGAACATTTAATGGAACACATCAGATCTTAACCATCCAATACTTACACTTGTAAAGATGCTGCAGAGTGAAAGTATACAATAGTATAAGGCATCTGTATCCTGAAATCAATAATAAAAAATAATCTTTGATCAAAACCAGTTACCAATAATAGTATGCTGTTGAATGCCCACACCAAACAAATCATTTCATGAAATCAAGCTGTTTAAATGAGGTGTATTTATAGTCTAGGAATTTCAAATATCGGACCGAAAACTACTTGGAAGCTAATACCTTTACAACATAGTGAATGAAACATTCAAGCTCAAGACACCGCAAAAGAAAATGAGCTCCAACAACAACCATAACAGGGTGACCTTCACTGTCCACTCCTCCACGATAACTGAGATAAAACAAATAAACTAACCAATCATGATATTGGGATCAGGAGCAATCTAAACATGTGTGAAATTTTTGGGGTTCATACTAAATGAACCTTGGTCCCACAAAGAGTAAAAGCCGACAAATAAAAATAGGACATTAAGAAAAAAGCAGGGGAGAGTAAAATGTCTCAAGACTTCAGCTGATAGTTAAGAAAACCAGTAATCCAATTCGATAGTTTAACCTATTCCAAAAAATAATGAACTATAATAAAGGAACGCTGCATAGAGATGGGAAAATGGAGAGGAGATCTGCATGTTAAACTTACAGAATTTTCATCTCTGCAATTTCAGAAAGATTAAGAGAATTTGCCTTCGCAAGGTACCTGGAGTGAAGTGAGTATTCTTCAGCAGCAGATAATGGAGGCCCACCGAGGTCACCAAAACCAAGCATCGTAGCAAAATTCCAACCACCTCGGGCTTGAGCAGTTTTTTCCCATTGTTCTTGGTGTCTCTGATCCGGATCTTTCATCAAGGACATGAAAGCAGGATCCAAATATGTATCCAAGTAACTTGAATTCCTGGAACATAAACAATTATTTGACATGGTCAATTAATGACATTAAATTGAAATAGACCATGATCATTTGCCATAATCAAAAGAACCACGGTAATTGCAAGAGAATACTTGAGAACAGACATAAAACTACAGGGAAACTCAGAGAAACAATAATTGGTTACATTTTCACGAATCTTAATTATCTAGAAACTAGATATAAGTAAAATAGTAACAACATTTACTTCTTGCTTTAATAATATATTCCTTAAAATCTATGGAATCCACAAATGTGAAAAAACAAATCTCATGTATTATCACAGTGACAAGTGCATGCATCTGCATATGGCAACAAAAAGAGATGAACCTCGTCATTTCTAGAGAGAGAAGAGTGATTAGTTGCATACTTCATCCAACAGATTTCCAACCTTCCTCAATGACGCATATAGCTTTGTGTGGGTATTCATACCTCAACATGCTCACACGTATTTTTGAAGATATATATATATATATATATATGAGAAAGAGAGAATAAAATGATGAGAAAATGCATAATCCAGAAAAGACTGGCAAAGCAAAGCATATTTCATAAGGTGTGTAGCTTGTGGAAGTGTTGATGCAAATGCATGGATACGAGTAACAGTTAGTGAGTGACTAAGAGAGAAACAGAAACACTTTAAATTTCTTAAAAAAACACTCAGGATTGCAAGTAGTTGTCGCCCACAGCAAGAAATATGTACAAGGAGAATCCAAAATATTGAATAGAAACTACTCTGGTTATAAGTTAAGCTTGATATCACAAGAAACTACTTGGAAGGAATCCAAAGTGTTGATTTGTTACACTGAAAACTTAGTCACTTACAGATATTAATCGTTCAAATGTAGGAGAAAGAGCATATTAAACCACAACTACACAAGGTTGAAATATTGATAAACCTACATTCCAATATCTGCCCATAATGATGCTTTTTTCCCAATCAATCTAGGACCAAGAAGGATATAATAAAAAGTACGGAAAGGTTGAAGATTTGTTATCATGAATGGTATTAACTGACCTTTGTACCAAACCTACATCACTAACAGGGAGTTCAGCTGAAGCTTGGGCAGGCTTTGGGATGGTCTTTTTGGGCAATGTCTTTATTCTGATTTGACGCTCATGAATGATAGTCTCACCATTCTCATCCCCAACATCAGCAGGAAGCTTAGATATGGCCACCACCTCCTCATGCTTATCTCGAGGAAAGTAAAGCGGAAGCAATCTACAAATTACAAAATCACATAAGATACCTCAGGTCTATAACATTAAAAGCATAAGCAAAAAGAAAAATAACAATCAAATTTTTCAAGACATTGAAGGAACTATAAAAATGCATCCAAACAAACAAGCCATCTCAGCAAGGTAGTAAAAATGAACAATAATAGTATAGTACCTCTTATAGATCTCAGTATCAGATGATGTGCTAGTACAAAAAACGACAGCTGTAATTTTATCTTTCTGCTTTTCAAGAAATTGGCGAACAGTCCCTAAAGAACAGAAAAAAAATTTGAACCCATAAACATTCAGCCTCCAAAACAGTTTAAATAGCATATTATGTGAAAGACATGCATGTAAACCCAAAAACAGTTTTTTTTCCCAAAGAGCTTCAGTCCTTGTCAAAATTATGCTTTAGGGTGAATATTTCGAATGAAATGTATGCTAGTTAAAAGGAATGAGTTTTATACAAAAGTAAATGACCCCAAAACATTGTATTTCCTATAGCACATTGAAAGAGTCGACTTGAGAAAATTATAAGCTCAATGAGCACCGACCCATTTCAAATATTCAAAAAATAACATCTAATATTATTTTTCTCTTTCATTTAATAAAATCATTTCAGAGTTCCTTGGATTTTGGTCATCACTTTCTCTAAGAATATCAGCACATAAAAAGATGAAATTGGAAAAAGTAACATACAAAGAAAAACTTTGAAATTCCAGATTATAAGTTCACAAAAACTCAGACAAAATAGTCGAGACATTTAGAACATTTTCTCACTTATAGCCACGTGTGCAGCTGGTTCACGGGGATAATTTTTAGTCTCTGTGTATATGCAGCCCATAGCAATACTGCATTGACACACAAAAAATAGTAAATGTCTTACCTGCAATAAAACAAAAAGATGAACAAATCAAACAATATAGCATCTGTGATACCAGCCTCCGAAGACCATTTTCAATAAGAAGTTCAAGGCAAGACCGATAGCAATGACTCAGAGCATTCTCGGCAGCAGTATGGTACTTTACTGCATTCTTGGGACCAACAGTATGGATAACCCTCCTAACAATACGATACATAAAACCATCAGTTTACAGTCTAAGACAAGAATTCATTACTAAAATGTAACCTGTAACAGTTTTGGGGAAAACTGAATCAAATTCTAAAATAAGAAATATAGCAAGCAGGTCAGCACTTGGGCTTTGATGCTCAAATGTGAACCACGAACCAAAGCTTATGCAGCATGATCAAACAAAATGCTGACATCTACTATAGTATGCCACAGCCTTCTACAATAATTGATGAAGTAATGAAAACAAAGGCATGTAAAACATTTGAAAGAAAAATTATGCAGGAAAGTGTTATATTCCTTAATATAAATAAAAACGCATTATCGATTTGATTTCTTGAAAAAAAACTCATTAAAATGAAGCAGCTGCAAGTGCCAATAATACCTTTGTAAAATCATCACTTCGTCAGATCTATATAGTCTCAAGTTATGCAAGAATGTAGACATACAAACCTAGCAGGAAGATCATATGCATGAGTAACCTTGGCCATCCCTGTTTTGCATCCACCCTGTCCATAAAAGGTACATTAAGTCCTTCTTGCTTCAGGTTTACATTATTTAAAGCAACTTGCTTTAGAATCACAAGGATTTGTCATTAACTATATAGTAAGCCTAGAACAGAGCTATCAATATACGACAGATCATGAAATGCTCATACGGAAACAGTTTCCAGATAATTTCTTACTGCATGATGTTTAGCATACCAGTGTTGTGCATTCTTCAGCAAGACCAGGCCCAGCTGCAGCATGCAAACCTTGGCTACTGTGTGCTTCATCCAGGTTCTGCAACCAAGAATTTAAACAACAATTCATAACAAATTAACTTTTGATTTTTTCTTGGGCGAGGAACTTTGATCCTTGATGGAACCAAAACATGAAATGAGTTCCTCACATCAGAACATTGAAGATCAAACCTATCCACTCAAAAATCCAATAATATTTAGAACATTTACCACATTGTTAGAGACACAAAGAAGAACTCGGGTCCTATTCGAAAGGGACTAAAAATACAAGAGTAAATGAACCAAGTATGCTCATGCATGGAATGAAAAAGTGTCAGCTGGTTCAGCTCTAAAATTTTGAAAAAAGTTGTAAAGCACATGCAGGTCAATTTTGTGTATCCGTACAATAAGCAATCACTCCTCCTTAGAAAATTATATATATATATATATATATATATCATTTGGTTTATCAATCCAATCCTTCCATAGCAATTAATACAGTTCCAATGTAATTAACAAGCTTCTCTTGTCATTTCCTTTCCGTATTGGCTTAACCATGCAACATACATCTAAGAGTGGAAAATGAAAGATTGTTAGTATCCAAGCAAGGATTGCAAAATTCAAGTGATCCCAAAAATTATTTTGCATCTGCAAGCATAATTTGAGGAGGGAAAGCTTATTGTTTACCTCATTTGTAGAATTAACGACAGCATCAACCTCAAGGTTCCACGGCAGTCCCCTCCACAAGTATATCTTTGAGTTTATTTCATGATCGACCGGAAACCTTGATACCATCCCATTGCTTCCATCTGCCTCCCTAGGAGAGGCTAAAGGATCGGGAAAAAAAGATTTTGAAAAAGAAGGATCTTCATTCTCATACTCCAAAGAAGACCTAATCTCTGCATCAATCCACCGTGGGACTTGATCCAATGTTAAAACAAAGTCACCGGTCTCGGTCGGGACTTCCCCACTAGCTGTGGCTGTGGCCACTGGCTGAATCATTGTAACAGCTCCCAATCAGAGTCCCTAACAGTAGTGAACCAAAGAGCTTTAGGATCTCAAACTTTTGACTATCCAAAAGAAGTAATACATTATGCAATGAAAAACAACCGCAATTCACACAGAAACACATTGCATAATATCTCTATTTTTACCAAAATCAAAGATCAACAAAATTATTTCAACACCTTTTAACCTATTGATTTATCATCAGAACTGCTATTCAATAATTTCTCAATCCTCGGATCATCTTCATCGGATACCATGAAAATAAAGGAATAAGCAAGAAACCATACCCCTTACAGCGAAATTTAAATAAATTTCAGCAAAACCAAAAACAACTACCAAATTAAGCTAGACAATTTTAAACAATTACATATTCGGAGAGCTACGGAAATTTCTTATAAAATTAATCAATTGACTACACCAATTCAAAATTCTGAAGATATATATGTAAAAAAATAACGCACCTCAAATTGAGAAGCTGGGGAAAGAAGATAGATCTTCAATTCAATTTCGAGCTTTGAGTTTCAATGTGGAAAAACAGCTGTTACTTCTTCGTCGATGAGCTAGCAGCAGCGGTGCCCCTTTTGGCCAGAAACGGATTTGATTGAAAAGAAACAAAACTGTGTTAATTTTGAATGCTTATGTCGACGCTGGCCCTCTAATTTTCTGTATATTTCCTATTAAGTTAAAAAAAAAATGATTATCCCTTTTTTTAGGAGAGGTAAAATAGTAAATTACTATCAAAACAGGTTGAGAGTAACTCCCGTAAGAGACCTCCGAATTATGAAATATCTTCTTTTAAGGTTAATAACTTTATACTCTACCAACTGAGCTGGATGGTCATTTCCCTTTTAAATTAATTCCTTCTATTTTTTTATTACTAAGAATTTAAATTTTGGCTTTACAATAGAAAATTCTAAATTAAGTTTTTTGTTTTATTTTTCTTACTTTTAGTCTTTGTCAAATATTCTTAATCTTTAAATATAAGGATCAATTTGGTATCAATCAAGTGATTTTATTGGTTAAAGAGATAATTATTATCTCTAGAGATCCTAGTTTCGAGCACAACATTTACAGTTATATTTGAGTGTTTATTGTCAAATAATTGAATGTTTTTCAAATGTATAATATCTTGTAATCATCTCATACTAACAAAAAAATTAATAAAATTGCATTACCATAATTATTAATTAATAATTAAAATAAATTTTAATATAATTATCTCCATCTCCATATACAAGAAATTATATGAATTTAAATTATTAATTCAAGTGATTTTATTGGTTAAATAGATAGTTATTATCTCTAGAGGTTCTAAGTTTGAGCACGACATTTATAGTGGTGTTTAAGTATTTATTATCAAATAATTGAATATTTTTTAAATATATATTATCTTGTAATCATCTTAATTGATAAAATTGATTCACATAATTATTAATTAAAAATTAAAAATTGATAAATTTAGAGCGAGAATCCGTATCCATTTAAACATAAAACATTTTAACCTCACCGACACGAACAAAGACATCTTGAGTTCATAAAAATAAAACAGACAAATTTCTCAATTAACTGAAACTTGAACACAATTCATTTGTTTAATTCTTGTTCAAGCTCTGGAAAAGCTTCGCCATGTTATGACAACTCCCACCTGACTCTGAACTTTTCTTGGCCGCTTCACTGATTCCTGCAGCTTTCATTCTCACCATTTGATTCTCCATCAGCTCCTTGATTTTGTCCCCAATCTCCTCTCCTTTCACCAAATGATTATTCAGTCCCCATCCCCAACTTTTCATGCAAAGCCCCCACCCAGCTGCCTCTATCACCTCCCCATTGATCATTTGATCCCCGTGTTGAGGCCATCCAAGCACTGGGATCCCATGCCAAGCTGCCTCCACCACTGAGTTCCATCCACAATGGCTCATGAACCCGCCAACCGCTTTGTGACTCAGTATCCGCCATTGATCCACCCATCGATTCAAAACAAACCCATAGTTCTTCTTCACCTTGTTCATAACTTGGTGTCCTAGAATCTCATCTAAATCGTCTCCTATTTCTTCTTTGTCAACAATTTTACTCTTCACCACCCACAAGAACTTGTATCCACTCAAGACCAGCCCTTTTCCAAGCTCCCTTATTTGCTCTTTAGACATCGCTGTCCTACTCCCGAAGCTGACATAAACAACAGAGCTTTTCCTTTGGTTCTCCAGCCACTCCAATGGAGCAAAAGAAGATCCCCCCTCGAATTCTAATGGCAGAAGAGGTCCAAGAGTGAAAACTGTTGGCAACCCTTTTGTTGGAAGCATCTCCAGTGTTTCTTTTTCGAGCTCTTCAAAGGTATTGATCAAAACACCATCGGAATGCTTGATGCATTTACCGCTTTCCGATAAATCCTTTGCTAAGAAACTCTTCGAGTCCAAAAGCGCCGGAGGAAGCGATGCCTTCGGAATCGATGAAGGGATGGAAGGGAAACAAGAGACGAGAGACAACATTCGAGCTGATGCAGTGAAGAGACAGTAATTCGGGAGACGGAGATTTTCAGTGATTGAAATCACAGAAGTCATCAATGTCACATCGGTGACGATAAACGAGAGCAGTGGAGACGATGAAGACAGGAGAGGGAAAAGCAAGTGAGCAGATCGGCGAATGGTTTCCCATTGGAGAAAAAAAGGGTCGGTGGTGTTAGCTGTCGTCGGATCGATGGGGATGAGTGTGAACTTCTTTTCGGTTACTTGAGGGAAGAGGGAGAGGAAAGTGGAGATAATTTGAGATTCGGATGAAGAAACGACAGGGTGAGTAGTGATTAAAGTGACTGAACATTGGTGGCGGATCAGAGAAGCAGCGAGTCGGAGAAAAGGTAGCAGATGACCCACGCCGGAGCTCGGGAGCAAAGCAACATGAACATGGGAGGGGATAACATCAGAGTTAGACATTGTTAGCTAAGAGCTCTAAGATGAGTGGAGAAAATGGGGGATCTGTTTTTCTTATGTCATGGAGTTTGGTAGTTGGACGAGGGTTAGGTAGGACATGTGATGCAGATTTCCTTTACGATAAAATAGAAAGGGTAAATTACACAGATCTCACCCAACTCTAGGATGTATATAATTTTTATAACTGAATTTTCAATTGCTTCAATAATAACATTGAACTTTAATTTTTATTTTATTTATAAAAATGGTTAACTCAATACCGGTGCAATGGCATGATTGATGGTTAACGACGTGGACAATTTTAATATTTAAAAAGACACGATTTCGAGTGATTATAATGTCAAATTGACTGCGGGGAAGTATTCAAACTTGTTACGTCGCCTACTGCCCATTTGAGCCCTCTCGCTCTTATCCGAGCTACATCCCAATTTACTTCCAAGGCATGGTTCGTTGAATTTATCTTGATTCGTCGCGAAGCAAACTTTCCTGCTGATTTTTTGGCAAAGATGCCTCCCTCCATCGATACAGTTACCTCTATCCTTTCGACCCCTTCTTATGGAGTTGTCAATTTGCTTGACAGGAATCCTTCTTATTTAAGAAATTAATCTTTATATTAATTTTTTAAGCCCTCTTTCATTAAAAAAAACCCGATACAAAGTTATTTTATTGAAAAAACACTAAAAAGAATCAAATTTTATATAAAATACTCAAATCAATGTGTTTGGAATGGAAAACAAGCATACTACCACCAAACCAACATAAATTATAAATATTTATAGAATATATTTATAAGCATTTTGTAAACGGATTCTTACATTATCTTATAATTTATATTATAATTAATGTATTTTTTTAAAAATAATTATAATTTATTATTAAATGACTTTAATGGTAAAATAGTATATTGTTCGTTTTAGAGATCTGAATTTAAATAATTATATATATGTAAGATATACATATTATCAATAATTAAAAATTATGAATAAATATTATATTGTAATAATAAATTTACTTAAGAATTTTCTGTACCCTGTTTTTATGAAGTAAGAGAAGCAGGAATGTCGCGAGGATGAAGTAGTTCAAACTTTAAAGTGATATTAAATAAAGCAAGCAATAGAACTAACTATCATACATACCAACAATAAATACAGATCCAAAAGAACACAGGGCAAAAATCAAACCACGTCCTCGTTTATATTAAGGGTAAACTAATTAGATACCATTGAATTTTAGGCAATATATCGTTTATGTTATAAATTTTCAATTTCTCCAATTATAATATTAAACTTTGATTTTGACTTCAGTTATACTATTGGGTCATTAAAATCTAAATAGTGTAATGATATAAACAAAACAATATTGTTTTGATGCGGCTATGAATGACCAAAATGACATAATTTTAGACATTGAACTTTAGATGTATAACGATTTTACCACTAAATTTTTTAAGCAATTCACTTTTAGGCATTGTACTTCCGATCGTCGTTGATAACCAATCACCACTTGATACTAAAACATTTTTATTTCACTCATTTTTCTTTTAATATGATTTATTTTTCATGAAACTCACTTAATCGACGAGATTGAACAAAAAATCTATCATTATTAGGGTTTTGGGAGTTTTCTTAAATTTGAGAAGTTTGAGGTGTTGATTTGAAAATCCGAATGATGAGAAGTATTATTTTGAGAAGATAAAAAATATACTTCAAAAGTAGCCTCATCAGAAGGTCATTGGAGGAGATCAAGGTAGTAGCACGTTGAACCTTGTAATGGATTTTTGTCAAATTTGAATATTTTTTTAAAACCAATCATAAGAGAAGAAAGATAAGCGAAATGTGAATGATTCAATACCGGTCTTGCTATGAAAAATGATCGATGACCGACACAATTGGCAACCAATTGCAACCAAAAAAATTTAGTGAAAAAAAACTAATTTATTTTAAGTTTAATGGCAAAATTGATATTCCCCTAAAGTTTAATGACTAAAATGATATAATTTTGGGTATCATTGGCATGCCAAAACGACATCGTTTTGTCAAAGTCGTCATAGTGACAATTTTTTTTTCTTCATGTCATCGTATCATTAAAATTTAACGATCCCTTAACATAATTGAAGTCAAAACCAATGTTTAGTATTGTAATTCAAGAAATTGAAAGTTTAACAGTATAAACAATACACTACCTAAAGTTCAGTGGTATCTAATATAATTTACCCAAAATTAATATTTAAATCAGAGAAGAAAAATAAAAAAATTATTTGATTAAAATTTTAATTAAGAAATATTTAAAATATTGTTATATAAAAAATTAATATACAATTAAGGTAAGTCGTGTTGAACAAGGTTTTTGTCCATTCAAATTCGATTTGAGTATTATACATCCCTCCACTCGTCACTCAATTCAACTCAGAGTTAGGGAAGTTTCATCGAACCATAAACTCAACCACTTTTTTTGAGATAAATACTTGTACCTGACTTAACCGAAGACACACATATATAATCTTATTAGGTAAAATAAAGATCGTAATTATAAAAAAATATATAGAGAAAATACTATTGTAATTAACTTTAAATATTTATAAGATTATTACATTATTATCTTAAGTCAGATATTTTTCATTCCAAACTCTAATCCGACCGACTATATCTTTTCAAAGAAGTTAATCCAATCTAACCTAAATTTAAATTTTAAATAAAATATTTTACTTTATAAAATCAAATTTAAATTTTAAATAGAATATTTGACATTATAAAATCAAGTTACGTCAAAATTCGAGTCAAATGCGTTTTACCGCCCAGTAATTGGCGAGCTCTACCACTGTCCAATCATTCAATTCAACTGGACTTCGCAATTCACTATCAAACTTCAAGATAAAGCTTATTTCACAATTTGGAAGACTCACAGTCACTATGTTTTTCTATTCAGATCGTTCTGAGGGAAGAAGTTAGAATAAAAAATACGAAGGAATCAGATTGTTTAACTTCAAAAACAGAGATCTATTAAACATTTAAATCTAAAAATTAGGGGGGATTTAAATTAAATAAGATTTAAAGTAATAGGGATCAAAACTGCCATTAGACCCAAAAAAATTGAGGGGACCAGTCCCTCTCCCGTGATACACGTGGATCCATCCCTGATCGTTATGGCCGTCTCAATGACACGAAATCATCTCCTCGCACCATTATAGGAAACAATGTCGAAGAAGCCAACCAAGCCAATAAAGTGCGGCTCCATCAAGATCTATTAGTTCAACGAACCTGAAAGACATTTTTACCAAGTCTGCGTGAAAAATTCATATAAAAATAATTCAAACCACAATATTTAGTAAAAAAAAATTTCAAGTTCGGAACATTTCGAGTTAAGAAATGTGTACTAACCATTATATCAAACACTTGGAATGCTTTCCCGATACCGTCGTCAACCCAACGACTTCTCAACTTCTGCTAAGCTCTTCCGTTGCAATAAACAGGCGAAGATAGATGTACCCCAAAGGGGTGACCTGAGAACACAAGCCATTGCTTTGCTGCATATCATTTAGCCTCTTTTTTTCCCATTAGTTAAGGCCAAATCACCTGTGTTCTTAGGCGGCACCCCTCTGGGGTAAACCATCTTGTGCCGAGAACTAAAGATGGATTTGGCCTTTGCGATGATCCATTGTGCCTTTTAATACGAATAGGGGGTTCTGAGAAAGTGTTGGCATGGTGACAAGGTGTGCTCATCTTGCTGATTCATGTCAAATGGATGTCGACATCCTTTGTTATCACACGTTGTTACCGAAACAATGCCTGAAGTGGCCAATTTCTTTTGTTTTAATCGAGTAATAGTCCACATGTGATTTCTTATCTGTTTTTAGAAGGTAACTACCAAAGAAATATTAACCATGTTTTTGTTCAGACTCGAAGATCCATTTGAGAAGGGTAAACTAAGTATTTAGCCACTCATATATTACTGTAATTCCGTTTTAATCTAAAGTGATCACAAGGTATTATCTGTTTGAAATATTTTTAATTATTTGACAATAAACACTCAAACACCCTTATAAATATCTTGCTTGAACTCTATACTTTTAAGAATAATAATTATCCTTTATTCACTAATTTTTTTTTGGATAAGTAGAATTTTATTTATCCAAAAAGAAGCAGCAAGCTGTTACAAAAAACAAGGCAAACAGCCTAAACCAGTCCCCAATTTAAACATAACCTCATATTTACATCATCCACCCTATTCATGGAACATCTATACAATTTAATTCTAACAGCCTCTCGAATCCTATTTACAACCACCTCAGTCGAACGGATCACGCCCTTAAAATACATGTGATTACGTTCCTCCCAAAGAAAGTAAACAAAACCAGTTCACGCCAGCTTAAGGATGTGAACAAGAAGGGACTTACCCTTCATAGTCGAAGTCAACCAGCACAGGGCCTCATCCCAGCTATTAAGTGCCTGAGGCTGAAGGTCACATTCTCGCAAAATAGCATTCCAAATCTCACTTGCGAACGAGCATTCGAAAAACAGATGGTTACGAGATTTCAAGTTACCATAACACAATCCACAAACATTATCGTTTCCTATGCCAAAACGGGTTAATCTATCCTTAGTTGGCAATCTATCAAGAATCATCATCCATGCAATAATAGAAAATTTAGTGATATGAGATGGAAACCATATGAGCTTATGCCACCAACTTTGTCTATTCTAGCACGAATGTTATTCCAAATCCAACTGCCTTTGATCTGTGGCCAGATAGCAACTGGGTTGAACAGACTCCTAGCCTTATCCCTCAACTTCAAAATCCAGCTGAAATGAGGTTTTGAATTAACATTCCAATAGTCCACAGATTTAAAACAGTAAACTTTTATCCAGGATATCCACAGAGAACCCTCATCTGCTAAAATGTTTTTGACCAGCATAAGACAACAAGCTTTACTCCAATCTGATATCTTCCTTAAACTCAATTCACCCTCAGATTTTAAGGCACAAATCTGGTTCCAGCTCACTCGAGCACCACGAGCTGGGATATCACATCCCTTCCAGAAAAACCGCATGCATAGTTTTTCAATATCACTAATAACACCCTTGGGCAGAACAATTTGCCTACTACAGTAACCAAAAATGTTGAACAGAACTGATTTTACAAGCTGTAGTCTACCCCCAAAACTGAGCTTCCTACTAGCCCATTGATCAATCCTGTTTTTGATTCTAACAAGAAGAGCTGAGCAATCGTTACTAGAAAGCTTACGAGTGACCAAAGGCACTCCCAAATATCTAACTGGAAGCTGGCCAATTTTAAAATTAGTAGCATACTGAATCTGCTCCAAAATATTCATAGGCAGTCCACAAGCAAAAAGTTCAGATTTCATAGCATTCAGTCTAATGCCAGAAAGTTCATAAAATTTCTCTAAAATGCTAACAACCCCTAACACATAATCCAATAACCCATGGAAAAATAAGAGCAAATCATCAGTGAAGCATAAATGGGTGAGGGAGGTTCTCTTGCACTTAGGATGATATTTAAAAATGTCATTCTTAGCAGCCATATTCAATAAAGAAGAAAGAACATTCATCATAATCAAAAATAGGTATGGAGATAGAGGGTCTCTTTGCCTGACCCCCTAGCACCCTCAAAGTACCCAACCAAGGTACCATTTAGAGCAATAGAGTACCTAGGGGTAGTAACACATGCTTTAATCCATCTACAAAAAATAGCAAGCAACCCCAAAGCTTCAAGAACATCCAACAAAAAATCCCAGCAGATTGAGTCAAAAGCTTTTTGCAAATCTATTTTAATGGAGCTCCTAGGAGAAAGGTTTTTCCTATAGTACCCCTAACAATTTCCTAGGCAAGCAAAGTTTTGGTGCCTAAAACTTTAAATGCTTGTATGGCTAAGGACTTCAGGCCCATCTCCTGTTGCTCAGTGATCTATTTGGTGCCTATAACAAATGTTGATTGATTAAGTGAAATCATACTAGGAAAGTAGACTGTTAACCTAGTAACCAAAATCCTAGTGATAATCGAGGCTGACTGGAAAAAATACCTTATAGCTTCAAGAAAGTCCTTGCTGACAATCTCCCAAGATACTTTGAAAAAACCAAGAAGTAAAGCCACCAGGACCAGGGCTTTTATCCTTACCTTGCCTAAAGAGAGCTTCCTTAATCTCTTTATCAGTAACTCTACCAACAAGGGAATCAGCAGCTCCATCAGGTAAGGAAAATTTCAGCAAAAGTTTTAAACTCTCAACAGGGCAACCCTTGACTAATGGATCAGCAGTGCCAATAAGGTTCTTATAGAACTTAACAAGTTCAGAAGCCATATCATCAAATGATTCATAAAATACCCCATACTCATCTTTGATAATTCTGATAGTATTCATCTTCTTATTTGCTTCAACTCGCTGGTGAAAAAATCTGGTGTTCAGGTCACCTTCTTGAAGCCAATGAGCTTTAGCCTTTTGCTTGTAGAAATCAGATTCAGCAGCTTCTAAAACAATTAAATCTGCCTGGATTCTCTTCTCCTCCGAAAGTCTCCTTTGATAAACATTAGTAAGATTATGAAGCTAGATAGAATCAAGTTCTGCTCTCTTTCTAGCCACCCTACCAGAAATATCATAAAAGTGACTCCTATTAAACTCCCTCAACAAAGGCTTAAGCATTTTCATTTTGTTGAACAGAACCTGCATAGCATTGCCAACGCTCTGTTCTTGCCATGAATCATTTACAACTCTTAGAAATCCCTCATGAGCAGTCCAACAATTGAAAAACTTAAAAGGCTTAGGCCTATGAACTTGAGCACTTTTCTGAGTCCAAATGATCACAGGGCAATGATCAGAGACCCCCTGTGCTTGAAATTCCACAGCAGAATCAGGAAATTCCAGCAACCATTGAGAATTAATTAAAATTTTATCTAGCTTATGAGCCAAAAATAAGTCATCCTGTTTATTAGACCAAGTGTATAGTGGACCAGAAAAATGGTGGTCTAGCAACTCTAAATCCACCAAGCAGCTCTTAAAATCCTCCATATCAGGGGTACTGTGCAATCCCAAATTGCCAAAGTCAGAACTCTCCTGGGCATTGGAAATGATATTGAAGTCCCCCCCCCCAATTATCCAAGAAGAATGACCAATGTCAGCTTTTAAAGTCTTCAGATGTTCCCATAGATCCCTTCTATCAAGACCACTATTACTGCCATAGACAGTAGTAATAACCAAACTATGACTAGCCACATCCCCTACAATTGATAGAGCTTGATCAGAACTCTTTAAAACAGTGAAGGGTAAGTCTTTTTTCCATAGCACCCAGAGTCTACCCCCATTAGAAAAATCATAGTTAGTAGCACAATTCCATTCAACAGCCAAAAGAGCAATAATCATAGAAAAATTAGCATTTTTAACCCTAGTTTCCATAAAGCAGATCACATCAACTCTTAGCATCTCCAACCTCCTCATCACCTTACCTAACTTGAGACAATTATTTATCCCCCTAACATTCCAAAAACTAAAGATCGTTAATTAGAAATAGAAGGGCCACCTCTACTGACATCAACCTTATCCATATTATCCTTATTCTTAGCTTTGATTTCATTGAGGAGAATTGCAACCCCCAACGAAATAACCCGGGCCTTCCTAGGTCCATCAATAGAACCACCTCCAGTAATTATCTCCATTTTACTAGATGAACCAATGTTATCTTTTTTCTTTCCCCTGGTCTTCTTTTTATGATCGGGAGTCCTGCAATGATGGAAACTCTCCACCACCACAGTTAGAACTTATCTCAGACCCTTTGGAAAAGGTCTTACCAGCATCCTCCAATAATTCCTCACTACCAGTGGTAATATTCTGATTTGAAGTCTCCACTACCATAACAATTATATCGCCCATCTCCGAGGTCTGAACATTTGGCATTGAATCTTGTAGATGTCCTTTAATACTATCTTGAGGGGCATGAACAAATAGCTGCTCAGGAGTATCACCTTGAACTTCTTTACCAGGACAAAGAGATTGGTCAGTAGCACTTCTATTTCCCTCATGCAGTGAGTCAGAGCTATTTTCCTGAAAAGCATGAACAGTTAAAATCTCAGCATTACCCACCAACAACTTAGCATCCTTGGATACCTCTTCACTAGGTATAATCTTCTGCATAACAGAGCCAGAGGATCCAACAACCCCATCCTTAACAGAAGAACCAAAGATAATATGAGCCTCATTTTTCCTCTAAACAGCTTCCTTATTCTTCGAGGGGCCTTTATTGACTTCAACACAATTACTAACAATATGCCCAAAAGATCTACACTGCAAATAAAATTTAGGAAGCCATGGAACATAAACTCTAACTTTGACTATAGAATTATCCCTTAGAGCTACATGAATCACCTCAGAAATAACTGCCCCAGCTTTAACCTCAACACAAACTTTGGCGAATTCGAGCCTCTCCTTAGAAGCAATAATTGAATCCATGTATAATGGAATCCCCACAGCACTGACAATATAACTGAGGCCCAACCTAGAAAACAGATCTAAAGGAACGTTGTAGAAATGCATCCAGACAGGCATACGCTTAAGATCAAAATCAAGCTTCTTCAAATTCGGTTCCCACCTCTGAAGCACGAGGGGCTTATTTTGAATGTGCCAAGGGCCATTCTCAAGCACCTAATTTCTAAAATCCGAATTCGAAAATAAAAATACATAGAGATTATGCCCAACCAAACTAACTTTATCTTTCGATGACTTTCCCCATAAAATCTCTGCAATTCTCTGCATGGATCCAAAGTTTGGAGCATCACCAATAAACTGCCCCACCACCGCCTAGTCCCATTCAACAATACCCTCATCAATTACGCCAAGAGGAGGTTTAACAGTAGGGATCCCCTCAAGAATTTCAGGAGCGAAGAAGTCTAGGGATTATTCCTTAGATCCGCGAAAGAGCTTTCGCCAATCCAACTCAGAGGACAAAGATTCCATGAAAATGAGAAACAAATAAACAAAACCAGAAGAAATAAGAAGGAAACAACCGGCGATCAGCACCGAGGACACAGAGCATTTCCATCTCAAATGTATTTTTATATATTCAATTTCCTAAATGCCTTTTTGAGCTGAAATTGACTTATAAAGAAAATTACATCAATTTAGATGTTCATCTTCTAAATGAAATTCCGGTTGGCTTAATTGGCCATTAAAACAACCACTACTTTAATCACTAAAATTACTTAATTCATGCGCTTCTTTGTAGCATGAGATAACCTTGAACTCTAGTATTGACGTTATTGTATTATTAATTTATATAGTATAAAAATTAAATATTTAGTATAATAATATAAATGTTTAAAAATTTAATAAAACTACTTTCAGTTAAAAATATCACTATCATCTCTTCAATACTAGTTAAACGATAATAATCATTTTTAAAATATAAGAAATTTAAGCAATTTAAGTATATATACAAAACTAATGAATAATGATAATTAAATATTATATACGTTAATTAGGTTTTATTTTGTCATTAGTTTTTAACTTTTTTTAAAGAAGTTTAAGATTTGTTCTCCCTTAATTTTTTTTGTTGTTATTTAAGAAGATGGTGTCGTCAATCTCTAATCGAATGAATGTCACAAATGATTCTTTTTAACTTTATTAATAACATATACTGCAAATATAGTTGTTTGAACTTGAATGTTTTAAAAGAAACAATATTTTCTTTTATCATTGATATTACTTAATAAATTCTGAATGCTATAATTTTTTTATTAGTCTAGAGTAATTATATTAATGACCATATCCAATATACTTTAATTTTTTTCATAAATATTATATTAAATTATTTTAAATTTTAAATAAAAATAAATCTAAACAAAATTCATAACCTCCACCTAGAAACTGTCAGCGGCAACAATAATAATGATTCAGTTATTCGGTTTGATCTATATTAAAACGACGTCGTTTTCTCTTGATTATTTTCCTTCTAACTTTCGATTTTTTAATCAGACATTGGATCTCTCTCATCCTAACTCTTATTTTTATCTTCAAATTCATCCAACTTTTAAGGTAAATTTTCTTCCTTTTAATTACTGGGAAACTCTTAATTTATGATTCCATATTGCTACAATTTTTACCTCTATTTTTTTTATTTTTGTTTTGTTTTGTTTTGTTTCAATCTGGTTGCTATTGTCTTCGAGATTCCAATCTCCCCTCGTTAATTTTTTTTTAATTTTTTCCTGAGATTCAATTTGTGTTTTTTTGGAAATCTTTTGGTTTTTCGTCTATGTAGTTAGTAGATAGTTACGGTTTTGTATTTCCACCAGGATGTGGGGTTTTGCTTCTAACGCCATAGCAAGCATTGGGTTAAAGAGTTCAAGAGAGGCGAGTCGAGCATGTTCCGAGCTTTCAGACGAAGAAGTCTGTTCAAACGGTAGTGGAGACGAAGCTTTGGAATGTCCCATTTGTTTGGAATCTTTCAACATAGCCGAGAATGTGCCTTATGTCTTATGGTGTGGTCATACCCTTTGCCAAAATTGTATCTTGGGGATCCAATCTACTGTTTTGAAGCTCCCCACTTCGCAATTCAAGATCCCTTTCGTCATTTCTTGCCCATGGTGCCATTTTCTCTCCCTTCGCCTGGTTTGCAGAGGGAAGCTCAAGTTCCCTCGCAAGAATTTCTTCCTTCTATGGATGATTGAGAGCTTGAATGGTGATAGATATGGCGATGTAAGGAGAATGCAGTCCGGAGATAATCGATGTAATCTAATGCTTGGACACCAAGCTAGCAACAGCCTCCTTAGAAGGGAGTCATATGCTCGTGGTTCTCAACAAATTCAGTCTCGAGATAATGGTGGCGGTGATCACGTGGAGAGGCATCATCAGTTCTCACTTTATAAATCGTTTTATTTCTTCATTCACCTTACTACCAAGTTCCCGTTGGTCATCATGTTCCTTTTAATTGTTTTCTTTGCAATACCGGGGAGTGTTGTTATCTTATTACTTTACTTACTTGTGATGATTGTTTTCGCTGTCCCATCTTTCTTGGTGCTGTACTTTGCATTCCCTATGTTGAATAGGCTGGTTAGAGAAATAACCTCATGAGATGTTGCTTTCTCACTTCGAAGGACTAGAGATTTGTGGTTTGAAATGAAAAGCTTTCAGATTCGTGTATTGTTTTCATGATGAAATATAACTTGAAAACATCTTGAAAACTCGTTTTTTGCAATTGTGGTGGTGTATTTGAATTAGTTGTCATTGAAGTGGCTGCTAACCTTTTGTACAGGCTTAACTTCCCAAATGAATATAATGTACATTTTGTTGTGGTTATATCCTCTCTATCTCGCTTGTGTTATCATACATAGTACTTATGCAATTTAATATAGATATCCTCTGTTTTTACTGTTTTATATTATTGCAAACTTGAATCAGCTCTCAGGTAAATGGTTTTGCTAGTTGCTTAATTTTCTAGCCCTAACATTCCTGACTTATTGCAGCTTCTGTCATATTGGTTTCTATCTCATAACTGGTTTTAAACTATACAACAATGAATAATCAGCCTTGTTTTTCGGTTTAGTTGTCATTTTGATGATGAGTCCAAATGGGGGTGTACTGCCTTTTCATTTGGGCTCATATCTAGTACTTCCATCTTATTAACAATTTAAATGGTTCAGCTCTCTTCTTATGTCTTATGCTTGTCTCATTGCTTCTGATCTACTACTATTTAATGAGGACATGAAGTGTTTTTCTGTCTTAGAAAGTGCATTGTGAAGAAGATGACTTAAGACTCATTATTTGTTACATTCAGCAGCAGATGCACGTCCTTGGAACCTCTCCTGTTGTTCTAATTATATTTGTTTTTTTCCTTTGCTTTAAGTTCATTTCTCTGGCTTGCCTCTGCCTGTGCTCTTGCTCCATCTTCTGCTTGTTTGATATACTCCTTATCTTTTCTAAATTTAGTAAGGCTCGTGCTATTTTTCGCTCCAATCCTCTCTGATGCTGCAAGGAATAAGCTCTTAGCTTATAAGAAATAGTTGTTTGAATCAAGTAAAGGAAAACAAGTCTGACCTCTGCTCAGTCCAGCTTGTTCTCGGTTTTCTTCTTCTTTTCCTCCCAGGCAAGAACAATTGCATTTGTTTTTTTCCTTTGCTTGAAGCTCATCATTTTTCTGGCTTGCCTCTGTCTGTGCTCTTGCTCCATCCACAGCTTGCCTGATATGGTCCATTTCATTTTTAAATTTTAGTAAGGCTCGTTCTCTCTTTTGCTTCAATCCGCTTTGATGCTCCAAGAAATAAGCTAGTAATTTTAAATAAATAGTTTGTAAAAAGAAAACAAATCTCACCTCTGCTCTGTCCAGCTTGTTCTTGGCTTTCTTCTTCTTCTTTTCCTCCCAGGCAAGTGTAGTACTTTTCAACTTCATATACCTGCAATCTATCTATGAGGAAGAGAAAGATATGGTACTATTTGCTTGTTGAATTTAAGTGGACATCTTTATGTTGGCATCACATTCGCTGTTTATATATAGTTGAGTTAATACTAATTGGTGGGTACTATTCGATACTGCATAATAAGCTGGCAATGAATGGATTTACCGTTCTTTGATCTTGGCCATCTCATCCTTCTCCCAAGCTTTCTCTTTTATCTGCTCTGTCTCTAGCCTTGTTGCACTCTGTCGTTTAGGTTCTATCTCTGGAACTGCATGCTCGTTAGTTCTTCCTGCAGTCCCAGGTTTAATGGTTGGATGATCGGGTTTTGGTGCTGCACTTTTTTGACTGGAAAGCATAGCAGGTGTAGAGGAACTTCTCGGTTTTGTAATGCAAGTGCTGCCCAAGTGATCAGCAAAGGTAAGAGATTTTCTAAAGGTCGGAGCACGTTTAAATTCTGTTTCATCTATGCCATCAGTTGCTGACACTTTGCTCTCTGCACTTCCTGAACCTTTTCTCTATCCTTCACCTTCACCTGTGAAGGATAATATGCTTTGCATGCATATCTCGTTACTTTAGTTGTGAAGAGGGTTAGGCGCTTAGGGGCCAAGTCTCTTCTCCACACCATATCTCGGATCAATTTCTTTCGACCCGGACGGGGCAAGTGACGTCAAAAACTGCCGAAAATTGTGGATTCTCTGAAGCTGAATCTGATAACATGAAAAACATCGTGTCGCGGGAGGGAGAATGAATCACAAGGAGGGAGCTCGTTTATTAGCGAAGTTTGTGACGGAGTTTGGGCCGAGTGTTGGAGGAGGAAGAGAAGTATAAAGATCGAAAGACGAAAACCGGACATGGTAATGTTTTAAGATCAATGAAGCTGTAGCTATAGGCTATATAGAGTGGGGGGACAAACTTTTCATTATTGGTGATGAAATTAATCCGGAATTATTGGAGGCGTACATTGGAGAAAACAAAAGTGGGAAACAATTGCAAAGGTTTTGAGTTTATTGGGATAAGAACTAACATTGAACCATCAATGGTGATGTAGGAAAAACTGGGGCAGACATGGTTTCACCTCACCTTACGTACTATCCTAGTTGGTTGGTTTTAGTTATTCTCCACTAGTCCCTTTAAATATAGGCTGTTTTACCCAAATAATTATTTATAGAATTAACACGTACGTAATAATTAAAGGGTTGGTCGATTTGTTGTCTTCTTGGTTGAAATTGGAGGCGGCGGGAGGGGTCATGGTAGTCCATAGGGAGAGGCATGGATCATGTCAAATTGAATTTTTGATCCATACGAATCTAGTTCAACTATAATATTTTTTCATTCATCATGTGATTTAATTTAGACTTACAGAAATTTCATCGAGTAAAAATTTGTGTATGACATGACTCAACACAAATATATGTATGATTTTTTATTAAATAAAATAAAGATGTATTAGAAAAATATAATTAGAAAGATATTATAATAAGTATCATTGAATGTATAAAAATTATTATACAATTATTTTTGACCGGAAAGAATATGTTTTATTGTAAATTTTGTCTTATTTTCTTTAGTTTTTAACTTATACAATGTGTAACAATTAAAGAGTTCGAGAAATAATATTTTAGTTTTGTATATATTATTTTTCCAATAATGGTACAACAACAATAATCAGATTAAAATTTAATAAATACATACTCTATTTTAAAATAGTAATTTAACTTAATTTTAAAAAATAATATCATATATTATCAATTTATCATATTGTTTACGTGCATTATTGAAAAAACATGCCACGTACATATTAGAATAACTTCAACGGAAAAAATGCTTGATCGTTTTTTAATTCAACGCCCATACTTTTGAACTTTATCATCTCCTTCCTGTTGACAGGAATCCTCAACGTGATTAACTTCCAGGACCATTACCCGCCATGGATATGATCCTGGTTTTCTACTTCCTCTTCCTTTCTCTTATCTCTCAAATCCAATCCATACCCACCCTCACCGCCAACCCGAAAACCTTGTCTAAATCGGGTGATTCGGTTCTCATTCAATGGTCCGGCATCGACTCACCATCGAAATTCGATTGGCTCGGCCTCTACTCACCTCCCGATTCAGCCCACGACAACTTCATCGGCTACAAGTTCCTTTCGTCTTCCCCCACTTGGAAATCTGGGTCGGGCTCCATTTCTCTTCCCCTTACCTCCCTCCGATCTAACTACACATTCCGGATCTTCCGCTGGACCGAATCCGAGGTCGACCCGGGGTTCCACGACCAGGATCATAATCCCCTCCCTGGCACGAAACACTTGCTGGCGGAATCCGAGGCGGTGAGTTTCGAATCGGGTCGTGGGCCCGAGCAGATCCACTTGTCGTTGACTGGTCGGGATGGGGAGATGCGGGTGATGTTCGTTGCGGGGGACCCGGAGGAGAGGTACGTGAGGTACGGAGAGAAGGAAGGGGAATGGGGAACTGACGTGGAGGTTGCACGTGTCGGGAGGTACGATAGGGAAGACATGTGCCACGCGCCGGCGAATCAGAGCGTCGGCTGGAGGGATCCCGGTTGGATATTTGACGCTGTGCTGTCGGGTTTAAAGGATAGGGTGAAATACTATTATCAGGTAATCCGGAAACGTTGAACTAAAAACTAGATTTTGTGCGTTAAGAAGGTTCTTGGTTTCGTCCTTGTGTAGATTGAATTACATTTTTTTGTTGCATTGCAATAAAAGTTGATTTGATTTTCATTTATTTGCCATTAAGTAGCTTGAATTGGATAGATATTTAGGGGAAAGTGGTAGGGGTCGTCCCAGGATTGAACTTTAAACTAGTATCAACTAAAAGACTTGATATTTAGTGTTTTGAAGTGCTATGAGTAAGAATATAAGGGGTTTTCCTTAATTAAGACAGTGTATACTCTCAATTCAACTTCTTTTTGCTCATTCTAAAGGTTGGAAGTGACTCTAAAGGTTGGAGCGCGACACACAGCTTTGTGTCACGGGACAAAAATTCGAACGAATCCATAGCCTTCCTGTTTGGAGACATGGGGGCTCCTACACCATACTTAACCTTTATTCGTACACAAGATGAAAGCAGATCGACCATTAAGTGGATCCTGCGTGACATCCAAGCTCTTGGAGACAAGCCTGCTTTGGTTTCCCATATTGGGGATATCAGCTATGCGAGAGGCTACTCATGGTTGTGGGATGAGTTTTTCAACCTAATCGAGCCTGTTGCCTCCAAGGTGCCGTATCATGTGTGCATTGGTAATCATGAATATGATTGGCCTTCACAGCCTTGGAAACCTGACTGGGCCAATTCAGTTTACGGAACTGATGGGGGTGGTGAATGTGGTGTTCCCTACAGCCTTAGATTCAATATGCCCGGCAGCTCTTCAGAACCAACTGGAACCCGTGCTCCGGCTACCCGAAACCTTTACTACTCATTTGACATGGGGTCAGTTCATTATGTGTACATGTCAACCGAAACCAATTTCCTTCCGGGAAGCAACCAATATAACTTTCTGAAGCATGATCTAGAGTCAGTTGATCGGATGAAGACCCCTTTCCTTGTATTTCAAGGGCATAGACCAATGTACACTACAATCTTTGAAAGTAAAGATGCCCCGTTGAGAGAGAGAATGCTCGAGCACTTGGAACCTTTGTTTGTGAAAAACAATGTGACCCTTGCATTATGGGGTCACGTCCATCGATACGAGAGATTTTGTCCGCTGAAAAACTTCACATGTGGAAGCATGGGGCAGAAGGGGGAGGATTGGGAGCCATTACCGGTTCACGTTGTGATGGGGATGGGAGGACAAGACTGGCAACCAAATTGGGAACCTAGACCGGACCATCCAAACGACCCAGTCTTCCCACAACCCAAGAGGTCTTTGTACCGTGCAGGCGAGTTTGGGTACACTAGATTAGTTGCTACAAGAGAGAAACTTACACTTTCATTTGTAGGAAACCATGACGGTGAGGTGCATGATATGGTTGAGATTTTGGCATCCGGACGAGTTCTTAATGGCGGTGACGATGACAACGGTAATGTTGGTGCAGTCCTTAAGGTTGATGCGACGCATCACTCGTTTTCACATTATGTCTGGGGTGGTAGTATCTTGGTGCTTGGGGGTTTGGTTGGCTATGTTATCGGTTTCGTTTCACATGGTTGGAGACAAGTTGCTCCGGGAAGGGGCTGGACTTCGGTGAAAACTCAGGAGACATGAAGAGCTAAAAGATGATGTGTGTAATTCGAATTTTCAAACCTATTTGCAGTGACATTATGGTGCTTTCATGCTGTTTACAGGGTATGTCAAAGGACAATTTTTTATGTGTATAATGATTTTCAAATTTATACGTTTCACTCCGAAGCTGTGAATTAAGTGATCTATGACACATTATAACTTAAATTTCGTTTGATTTGACTTGAAAATTCTTCAAAACGACTCGTTTTTTAAATAAATAAAATTGAATGAAAAAATCGAAATTATATAACTATATAAGTAAATAATAGCAGTCGACAAAACTTTGTAGTTGAAAAATGAAAATCTCTTATAATCTTAATAGTGAATTTCTCTCTTTGTCCGTGATTATTTTTTCTTAAGACGTAAATTTGTCTATCTTTTTTATTGTACGATCTCTTGTTTATCATTATCTTTTATGTAACGTGTAACATAATATGATTTGTGACGGTGACAATCTTGAACATTAAAAAAATGTTTTAAAATGAGGTTAAATTTTACTATCAATCCTTGTATTATATGTAAATTATAGATATAATCCTTATACTCTAATTTGATCATTCTTAGTCCATAATATTTTTCAATTTAAAAGTCACTATATATTAATGTATTCTCTATACCATTTGATTTTGGATTAAAATTTTAAAGTTAAAAAAAAATCCAGAATTGATCAAATTATAGTACAGTGACTAAATTTACAGTTTAAGTGTTATATAGAATTTAATGATTGAATTCAACATTTAAAATGTCACGAAAGACTAATATCAAATACAAATATGTATATGACATGTGTATGTCGCATGTTAAAATATAGCATCTTTATACTGGTGTTTTAATACAAGTTCGATCACGGGTCAATGACTCATGTATTGAAACGTAAAGGTCATAATCTTCTTTCTCGGAAAATTCGAGAAAAGGAAATGTTAAAAACTTGTTAAATACTGTGAAAATAGAATTTGGTAAGCTCTGCAACTGTTTTTAGTTAAGCAATTTACGTGCGCGTGCATTGGCACCTTTCACTCGGTTATTCAGTTCATCCACATCATCGTTGAGATGATCAAGGGCTTTGTTTTGTCTGCAAAATCACCAATTTCATGTAATAATAACATGAGAAGTGCAGATTTTTCAAGTAAAACGGAAAGCCGACGTGATAAGAGCAACGATTTAACGGACCTATCGAGTTCGGATCCCATGTCGACAGCCATGCCCTTTAGATCACCCAAGATATCACTTAAATCCGAAAGCGCATCATCTTGCTTTCTCTTCTCGAGCTGCAGATGGACAAACCGATCAATCTTCATCACAATCGTTGTTGAGTTTTATTGAAATTTGTATGCACGCCGTGATACTTACCTCAACTTTCTGTATGGCATCGGTCGGTTCTGGTTCCGACATAGTTGTCTTACTTCCGCCCTTAGACTTATGTACAGGATCCAGACCCAACTTTTCTCTCTGCTCCTTTGTCCCGGGTTTGTTTTTCTTGTTATCATCTACCAAGCCAATACAATGAACAATCAATCATACCACAATTCGATGCTGAAAGTAAAGTATTCGAATATATCAATGCTTCGAAGAGAAGAAATGTAAACCTGCGGTGATCACAGGACCAGTAATATCTCGAGTCTTCTTTGGTTTCCAAGGCATAGAAAACACACCCCCTAGATCATTCAAAAGCTTCTCACCCTGATATTTGCAAAGTTATAAAAACCAGTTAAAATTATGAACCCTAAGAAGGGGAGTAAGGGCTAAAAAGAAGTTGCCTTTTTGTACAAGGAAACCAAATAACATTATATGATCCGAAATACCGCAAGAATATCAAGAATATTGTAGATACAGGTTTTCGATTATTGCCACTTCTGTCAATGGTAATGCCTAAAATTACTATTCCCCAACTTATAATACATGAACAAGAACACTAATTAGGGGGTTGAGAGCTAAAAAGAAGTTGCTTTTTGTACAAGGAAACAAAATAGCAGCATAATATGATCCACAAGACCACAAGAATATTGTAGACACTGGTTTTCTATTATTAACGCTTCTTTCAATAGTAATGCCAGAAAATACTCTTCTCTACTGGAGCGATTATATCGGGAAAGCTATGGAGCTAACAACATGGTGTATCACGCGACAGATGTGTTATATAGAGCTTACCTTACTCAAATCCTTATCTATGCCGACAGCCATTTGGTGGGTCCTTTCGATTTGCTCGCCTTGCTGATGCAAAGTATCGAGAGTCTTCGAAGCATCCTCTCGGATGTTCTCGGCAATCCTCAAGCAGTTATTGACACTGTCCGTCGTCTCTTCGGCCTTGTAGACGGCGTACCCTTCGAGGTCTTCCATGGTCTGGGCTTGCAGCCCGCCGGAGTCACGGAAATCATCCTTATATTTATCGTGATTCCTTGCCCGTGACGCCCTAGTGGATGCCGGAGTTCGCTTTTTTCTGCCCTTACCATTGTCATCTTCTATGGAATCTGATAACAGCACAGGATCAGAGGTAGTCCTTCTAGGTGAAATCGGGTTCTTGTCCTCGGCATCAGCTGGTGAGTCAGCTGGCTTTTGCTTAGATTTCATAAACCCAAACATCTTGTCGAGTGTGAAATTTGTCTGTTTAGGGATCTATATACCCTGTTGATTTACTCAACAAATGGTACCTGAAAAAACCAAGCAATTAACACTAACATAGTGAAGCACCCAGAACTCAACTATGAACTACATATCACAGTCGAAGAGATGGGATCAACAAAAAAACACGAATGCAAACAGATTAAACAGAAGGGTACCTGAGAAAAACTTGGAATCGAACAAAAATATGATGAGGAAATCAAAATATACACACAATCCCCAGAAAGAAAACAAACAACGAAAAGGGGTTTGTGTGTAAGGAATTATTCGGAAATGGAGGAAGAGTGATAGTGTGAGAATTTCATTTTGTTAACAAGGATCATCATTTATTTGTTTTCTCCTCCACCTTTGATCAAACAGATGGTAGGCGTCCCGGGAAAACAGAGTAATCCTTCCCCCTCCCCTCCTTTGAATTAATCTCCAAAACCGTTGGAGTTTGAATTTCTGTTGCATTTTCCCATTTCGAGAAGACACTAATGTTAGATTTTGCTTTGCTCTTTCATGGGCTTCGCCATAATAGCAAGGGATTTCCCCAAATTAGGATTCACTTGATTTTTGGATACAATTAGATGGATCTATTTTATATAAGTTCTTTTCAGAATTAAGATGAAATTGATAGATTTATAAACGTTAAAGATTAAATTTATTATTATATCAATCGATATCATGTAAAATTGACATACAAATATATAGAAGAGTGGTTAGAAATGATTCCGTAAACTTGATTCTTTGTAATGCTTGGGGGATTCAAAAATGAAACCCTCTGGGTTTGCTTCTAGTGCTCTTTTGTAGCTTCTTTTTGGCTAATTCAAAAGAATTGACATAAAACATTTTATTTTCAATTATTCATTTTCGAATTTGACATTATTAAATTATTTCTCTTTTTTAGAGAGATTAATTTGCACAATTTCAAAATTGAAAGGGGCCAAAGAGGTTTTTTACCAACAGATTGTGTGCAACTTTCTCTTTAGAAGCATCACTTTCATATTCTAGCTTTTCTGCAAAACATCTTTTATTAGGACAAGGCTTAGCCCTCCACTTGAGAATGGAGAATGGTCCCCTAAGTAGGGTAAAATACACCACAGGTTTACCAATTATTACTTAAGTTATAAACGAGTCACTTTCCCTCTTTCTAAAAATTATAATTCAGTCAATTAGTTAAAAATATTATTATAAATAAGTCACTTTATCATTAAAATTTAAAACAAACGTTTAATGTGGCTCGATTTAATAATAATTTTAGTTTTCAAATTTTATAGATTCTATCAATTTAGTACTAATTCGAAATAATTTAATAATTTTAACATTTCATATTTAAAAATTCTATCAATTTAGTCCTTTTTGACATTATAAAATAAATCGAGTCCATCAAATTAAAGCATCAGTTGAATAATCACGTTCTATCATAAACAACAAGTTATTATCTTATACTAGGAAATTAATATAATATTTTTGGGAGAACAAATACTAAATTAATAAAATTCTTAAATTTGAAGGGTCAAAATTTATTGAATTGTTTTGAATTTGGACCAAATTAATAGAAAGTATACGTTTTGGAAACTAAAACTATTATTCTACCAAGTACGTCACTATTTGTCCAATATTTAATGGTCAGTGTCATGTTTGTAACAATATTTTAGTTAAATGACTAAATTATAACTTTTAGAATAAAAAAGATATGTTTGTAACCGAAGTAATATTGGGCGACTTGGGGTGTATTTTACCCTAATAACTACATCATGTAAATCATATACTGTATATCTTATATAGTTTCAAAATTCCCTCGTGTAGAATATGAGACGAAGAATCAACAAATTTGAGGATAAGACGACAAAAGCAACACTCTCTTTTTCCACTCATTTATGCAACTGAATGGAAGGGTAGTGAAACCAATGGCGTCTCTACCTTCCTCTGCAACCAGTTTTCACTCTACTTTCATTGGTTTTAACTATAAGGCAAAGAATCAAGAATTTATCTTCATCGGGAAAGGCTCAAGCTTTACTTTTTCGAGGAGAAAATTCTTTATCAAAAGTGTTACCAGCGACCAAGAGCAGATCCTCAAAGATGAAGCTCAAGTCACTGAAGATGGTTACTTTCACTTTTTTTAATAACTTACTGAAAATTTCGTAGTAGTTTCTCTAATTTATATGTTGAACTTCGTTTTTGGTCATTTGAATCATTCATGTGATGTGTTTGCTGTGATTTGCAGCTTCTTTAGATATCTTTGTTCCTGATCCTGCATCCATTGCATCAAGTATCAAATACCATAACGAGTTCACACCATCTTTTTCTCCTAACCATTTCAAGCTCCCCAAGGCGTTCTATGCGACGGCTGAAAGCATTCGCGATTTGCTTATCATAAACTGAAATGCTACATACGATTACTATGACAAAATCAATATAAAGCAAGCATATTATCTTTCAATGGAGTTTCTGCAGGTTAGTTTGATGATAAATTTATCTACTTTTTCCTGCAAATGATTTGCTTTTTCGGAACCGAATTTACTTTTCCAAATGTTTGTTAAATGTTCCCGATCACCGATTGATGCAGAGTAGAGCTTTGTTGAATGCCATTGGTAATTTAGAGCTTACAGGAGCATATGAAGAAGCTTTGAAGAAACTTGGGCACAGTTTAGAAGATATAGCTAGGGAGGTTAGATCCTTTCAAGCAAATTCATTAAGCTTTGAACATTTTTGCTTTATTCAAATTTACTGAAAATTTCAATCTATTGCTCACCTGGAACCAGATGCTGCACTTGGAAATGGTGGACTGGACGTTTAGCTTCAATGCTTCCTGGACTCTTTTAGCAACATTAAATTACCCTGCTTGGGGTATGGACTTAGCTACAAATATGGATCGTTCAAGCAGCATATTACAAAAGATGGCCAGGAGGAAGTTGCTGAAAGTTGGCTCGAGGTATGTTTTCATTACAAGCCTATGTCATCTATTACATACCCTTGTAGTGTCCTACACGAGCCGGTTTGATACTGGTATGCTCAAATGCGTCACATCAGGACATTTTCTTGTTTTGCTTAGTAATAAGACAGTGATTATTCAAGGAGTGAACGAGTGTAGATTATTTTTTACTGACTGTCTCATGGCAGATGGGAAATCCATGGGAACTTGAGAGAAATGATGCGTCATACCCTGTAAAATTCTATGGTGAAATCATTTCAAGCCCGGAAGGAGTCAAGGAATGGATTGGAGGAGAATATATAACCGCTGTTGCTTATGATGTCCCGATTCCCGGCTATAAAACTAAAACTACAATTAACCTCCGACTATGGTCTACTAAAGTTGCACCAGAAAAGTTTGATGTAAGTGCTTTCAATGCCGGAGATCATGCCAAAGCTTATTCAGCAATGAAAAATGCTGAAAAGGTTTGAATTCCCACTCATTTGAAGTTTAATTTACATCGTTTTTTCCATATTAGTTTTGTTATATATTCTTTCGTGCATTCTTTTGATGTACTTCAAAGTCAAGAGGTTCTTGTAGTCGTGGAAGACAACAAGGGTATTGTGTAATGACCAAGATTCGGAAGTCTGGTTTGAATCACTGCAAGTATCGAGACTTGATTGTGACCCTGCATATGCTTACATTAAACGAATTGCGTTCTTTGGAAACCAACAGGCTCTTTAGAGGCTTTGTCATCTAAAGATACGCCTGCCTCTCACCGAGATGTTCTTAATCTGAATCAAAGGATGCTCACATTCGAGTGAAAAAGCTTTGAGGGTCTGCAAGTTTCAAAGGGGACAGTAATTTTGATGTAAACATATGCTGGATGACAACCGAATCCCAATATGTGTGTTGATGCAGGGGAGACATACATGTTCAGTTTTAGTGCTTTGTATCACATATTTGATCTGTCTTTTGAAAACATCTTTAGACTAGCAATCCAGTCTCTGTTACAAATAGGCATTCTAACTTATCTTCTTTGTTACAAATAAATAATTTCTGAAATTAAAATGTACTTTAATCACATTCAGTAATTAATTCCCAATTAACAATAGAGGAAATAAAACATGGTGCTTCATGTCGGAAAGTATCTCTCTTTCTATTTTTTATCTTCATTCATGCGCATGGGTCCCACGCACACCCGCCTCTCCCTCCTCTAAATATCAAACTCCCGTAACCATTTTCGGTTTACGCCGATTTTTCTAACTTATCTTCTTCTCCATTTCTCCCCCAATCTCTCTTACTCGCGTTTACTTTTCAGTTTCCAATTTTATTTTTCTCTTTGGATGACAGGACTAAGAAACTAGCCAGAAACCCTAGCCAGAAACTCTCTCATTCCCTTAATTTCATGGTCTCTCTACATTTCTTTAGATTTCATTTGGATGCTTTGAATCCTTTGATTTTCTTTTTTCCTTTGGATGAAGGTTTAGAGGATGGAGGAAGGTAAAGAGGGGATTGATCCAGCTGGGACTGAGTATAAACCCGACTCAGTCTCGGATAGCGTCAATTACTTCTTCGATTGGGAAAGCAGTATACTGAGTGAGTTTGGTTGGAATATTCTACAATCAGACCACGCTTAGTGAACTACACCGGACCGACCCCATGCTTGGTTTGGCGGGAAATTTCAGCGGCTCATCAAAGAGCTCTGGTGCAGCTGCTGCTGATTCGTGTTCAGGAACGGCATCGAGTCCGGGGGGGACAGCTGAAGTGCCGACATCGAATCCTTCGGTGTCTTCGATCTCCAGCGAGGATCCGCCGGAGAAATCAACGGACTTCGGCTGGAAACCGCCTGAGATACCGTGAGTATTAGTGAACCGACGATGAAAATGAAAAAGCAAAAAAACGTTTATCTTTTATTTTTTTTTGGTATGTGTGTGTTATTTCGTGGGGCTGAGTCGTTATTAAATACAATTTCGGTGGGCATATACGGCAGGTGGTAATAAAAGCCACGGCATCGAAAAGTCATGCTTAAATCAGAGTGAGGGAGAATCATTTGAGAAGTTGCAATTCTCGGTCTCCGTACACTGAAACTGTCAAAACAACCTTGTCGTTTCATGCAAGTTGGGGACGAAAGGGTTGAGGTATTTTCGTAAATTTGGAGAAATAATAGGTCCAGTTAAGGCAAATTGGGGACCAAAATTAAAAAGTTACCTTTTGGCTATCGACGAAGTGGCCTTCTGCACCGCCGCTATTGCGGCGGGAATGGCGTGCTTTGCTTTCAGATTTTTTAAAATTTGTTTTTGAAGCCAAAAAGCTGGAATTAATATAGCTGGAAAAATCCCCTTTCCATAACAAAAATCTTAGATACTGCAAATTAGAATAATTTAGGACCGTCTTCCATTAATTTTCTATGAAGCGTCTGTCATTTGTTCTGCATTCACCCCCATATCGCCATTTATAGGGTTTTAGTGTTGCTTCTGTGGGAAGTTTTCATTGTTTCATGAATTTGGAATGGTTCTTTCTGGTTTCTTACTGACATTTTCGTTATAGTTTCCTTGTTAAAAAATGAAACACACACACACACACACACATATATATATATACGTGTTAACCTTCTTTTTAGCAAAATATTTAATGTCTAGGATTCCTTTTTCCCCTTCATTTTTGATAATTTTAGTTGGAATATTCTTGTAGGAACAATGTGATTAATGTTTGGCTATTTAACCCCAAAAGCATGAGATAGAACCCTCTTTTCACATTTTTTGACCAGTCCTAATCTTTCTCGGATAACTTTGATGGATATAATATGTACTGATATATATGTACAATGGTATGGTGGTATGCACGGTCCTCTTTGTAGTTTATTTACTTGTTCCCTCGCAGCATAACATCATAAGGTGCCTAGGGGTTATCAGTAAAGTACATTTGATTTTGATAAACCTGTAAATTCACCCAACTACTACTATCTTTATGCACCGGCAATAGATTAATTTACACTGTGGTCTGATATAAAGATCTTTTTGAATTTGGACCTGAATATATTGAACAAGGATTCCTTGATTCTGCGTTTTTCTAGATTGGAAAGGGAGGATCTTCTTTTATAATATACCATCACTATCACCATGATAGGAGCTGGAAATAGAAGAATTCTCCTTTCTGTACTGTACGTGATAAAAAAGTTTACCTAAAGCTACTTTCCTCCAGAATCGGAATATGTTACCAGTTTCATAGAGGATTTACAGTAACCCTTTTCTTAGTTTTTCAAACACAGGCTATCCATTGATTTGGGAAATGAACCGAAGGTCACTGACGTTACCCGAAAGATCAGCTCAAGACCCTGCAAAGTGCCAAACTAAGGTTGTTTCAATATAAGAGTGAGTCCTTTACCAGAAAACACAATTCTTCAATTATGTCATAATATTCACTTACACAAATAGTATTTTGCTCACATGTTGAGTTCATTCTCTTCTCTTAATGGGCAGATTTATCTAACCTCAGCCCTTCTAATATAACATATGCATGTAATATATATATATATATATATATATATATATATATATGTATGTATGTATATATGTGTGTATTTGATCCTTATGCATGTGGATATATATCGAAATTCCTGCTCATTATTAGGTTTAAATGATTTGTTTAGAGCCGCTAGTTTATGACTTGCCCTATTATCTCTGTATAAGTATATTCTATCTATTTTATTAATTAAAATATGAAAGAAGTATATAGAATATAATCTTTAAAATATATTTAATTTAAATCTATAAAAATCAGATTTATATTTAACGTATTAAAATTATTATTGAATAAGATGATACCACACCCAAAAAAAGATTATATAATTTTTTAATATTTTTTTCTTCAGTGTATAGGTATATAGGTAAAGGAGTATAGCCTCTAATCTTATATATTGATATGAACTGTTTGTTGACATCTCATTACTAAATTTAATCTAGAAAGATAGCTTAATAATATTTAATTTTAAGTTCAATTGACTCTTATTGAAATAGATAAAAAGAAATTCTATTTAATTATTAGCTAATTCATTAAATCAATGATTATATAAACAAAAAAAATACTAAAGATTAGTAGCATAATTAGATGAAAATAGAGTCTCAAAGTCGTAGACGGAGGAGCTGATAATCGTACGATTAATTCCGATATCACGGTGGCAGGAGAGCTGACCTGGCGCTTTGTTGCGGCATTTCCATATCCTCGGCGATCTTTTATGGTTTTGGGGAATTCCTGGCGTGGGAGTTAGGTAAACTATGTTATGCGTCATCTGGAGGCTGTTGGACTTTTATGCGGTGGACCTCTCCAGTCTCTCCCACTTGCTGTGACTGCGAGGTTTCTCCTAATTTTTTTATTTTTATTTAAAAAAATTGACCCAAAAATTCATTCCTATATTTTCTATAAAATTATTCATCTTTTCTTTTTATACACATATTTTCTCCCATTATATATTTAGAGTATATAAATACTACTTATCAACTTTATACTTATAATTTCAAGTTTATCATATACAGATGATGATTATGAGAATATTAAGTTAATTTTAAAACGAATAAAATTTTAAAATATAACTAAATCATAAAAATTAAGGAAATATAGTCTAATTTTACTAAATTTTAAATTGAAACTGTTAAAAAAAATAATCAACCCATAAATTTTGATAAAATTTAGGGGTCAAAGCTTACTTTTATTAATTTTAAAATTAACAAGTTTTAAAAATAATTAAATCACAAAATTTTGAGATGAAAAACAATTTAATTTCAATGGTTTTAAAATGATTAGTAACTTAAAATACAATTAAACTCTCAAAGTTGAGGGCTATAACCTCTCCTACCTACTATATGCTTTTGTCCCTACGTGTATAGATACAATTATAATCATAATTACTAAATTATCTAAACACTATCATAAAATATCTTTTTACATATATTTAAACTTAATAAAAATTAAATCATAATATAATTTAGACTGAGAATCCACTCATAAGATATGTATACTAATAAAATTCAGGCTTGAAACATTGTTATTTTCTTTTATACCAATTCAATTAAGTAGTTTTTAAATTTTAAAAGTGAATTTACAAAATTGATATTTGTTTTCTTTATTTTAAAAGTGAATTTGTAGACTCAAGTATTTTAATTTCTCGCTCAATTGAATAAAAAAAATCAATGGTTTAATTAATTTTTTCACAAAAGTTTGAGGGGTTTATCCACTTTAAACCTAAAAATAATACTAAAAAGATAGTAATAAGCTTTTTCAGCCCAATTTGGACTTTCTTTTATGTAGTTGGGTCATTAAATAAAAGAAAACCCACAACTCTACGATACAGTTCCACTTTAAACCCAATTAAAAAATACTTTGAGATTTTTTTTTATTTTTTTATGTTCGATAGTTATATGAATTTAAACTATGTTTTTTTTTAATCCGAAATCCGACTTAAGAAAGATGGAAATTCTTCCTACTACTTGACCTGATACAGGTCGGTAGATAAACTTATGTTTGTTAGAGACAAAAGGAGAGGCATTAAAATTGATCTTATGGCATTTTCCCAAACAGTGTATATATATATATATATATATATGTTTCAATTGTGAATAAAGCAGCAATACAGGCGTAGGGGCATGTGAATTATAGAGGAAACTTCTTTTCCACTCCATGACATGAAACTTCCTTTAATGTTTCCTCACAAAGCAGGTGGTCCTTCTTTAACAACACTTTCAACTATGAACGAAAAGAAAAACACTTCAACAGTGAGATTTGTTGATAATATATGATTGCTGCCAACAAGAAAATCTAATTGCAAAAATGGTGAACACAGACCATCTTGAATTAGAAAACCAAAGAGAAGCACCAAAAAGAAGTAAATTTGTTCATTTACACACTGTAAAATCCTCCTACCATGGGATGAACCCATAATTCCCCATTGTATCTTCTTCAACAGGAGCTGGAAGGTTAAGGTCAATTAGAGCTGGCAATGGAGCTTCTGGTGAGTCTTGTTTCATGACCAATTTTGTGTCCTCTGAACCTCCAACGAAATGGGACCTTTTGTGACCTCCTAAAGCTTGGCCTGACTTAAAAACCCTGCAACAGAAAGGGCATTCATGCCCTTTGTTCTTCTTTGAAACCAATCTCTTCTCAGAATTGCCATTGGTCACCTTGGTACCAGCCATTTGAGCATGAAAAGATCCATTTGCTAAGCTATCGGCTTGATTATCACCTACTTCAGTTTTCACACACTTGAATTTACTCAAAATTTTACCAGATCTAGACTTCACTTTAAGTTTCTTACATTCAACATCCTTGACAACCCCATTCCTACAATACCCAGATTTCACCTTGGTTTCCCTTCGTTTCTCAAAAGTAATCCTCACATCAATGGAAGATGATTTAGCCTCCAAAACAACAGAGTTGTTATCTGAAGAGTCAGCAACTGAGTTCAGCCCTTTCATGCAACCAGAAGAATCCCTTGAAAGCATCATCAAACACACAGCAAGCTCTTCTTGTTCTTGCTGATCTTCAATCTCTGATACAGATGATGAACCATCTGCTAAACAAACTGAATTGTTAGAGTGAACTTGAACCTGAACCCCACTTGTTTTGCACCTTATTCTCCCGGATCTCCTCCTTTGACCTGGAGCAGTTGATGTTTCAGTGTCTGAACGACTATCCCAATGATCCTCAAATTTGTGAATGGCCCTTCCTTTCTCAGAGTGACAAGCCATGTGACCACAGAGTGCTTTCAATGAATGGAAACCCTTACCACATTCTTTACAAATCATCGTCTCTTTGAGCAAAGAGCCATTGCCTGATTCTGAAAGCCTCTTGCTTTTCTTGGGGTTTTCCCTCAGATCATAAGTTGCAGATTGGCCACCAGCTTCAGAAGAATTCTCATTATTCCTATGAGTTCTTATGTGACCCCCTAAAGACTTGCCACAAGGGTACCCTTTGTTGCAATACTTGCAAACAAACTTCTTCTCTTGATTTTGTTCCATTTTTAAAAATGATCACTGGAAAGCTGAAAATACCCAGTAAACTAAACAGGAAGAGCAATTCATTTCTTACCTCAAATCTTCAAAAAGACTTCATTTTTCAGTAATCTTGTGGAAGAAGAACAAAGAATCAAAATCTAGATCAAGGAGCAGAGAAAAAAAAAGAACAGATCACAAAGTTGCTTGCTTTAGTTTCAGTGGAGATGATGATGATCAAACGAGAATCAGCAGCTGAGATGTGACAGTTCTCTGTTTTAATCCGACCCACAGGAAAAAGATACAATCTTTAAATCCCATTTTCTCTCATCCCAAACACCTTCTTCCAATGAAACCAAAATTCTTTAGAAAAAATCAAACTTTTAAAGGTGATGGGTCGCTAATGATGACGATGAACAGGCTGATAAGAAGAAGAACAAAGAAGAAGAAGAAGAAGAAACAATGACTCTCTCTTTCTCTCTCAAGATACCCTTTGTTTTTGTGTTGTAGTTGGAGGAGAATTCCATGCATGGAAGGCCCCAAAAAAAGAGATTAAAATGGAAGAAAAGATAGACAACACGTGTATTCAAGTGAGAACAATCCTGTGATGGGAAACGAACGGTCGAGATTTGTTTAGAGGATCCCAAACGGGTGAGGAGTTATTCGGTTGTAACATCGAAACAATGCCTTAACTTTGTCTTGCTTGTAAAGCCCGCACAAGGCTGGGAGGGCAGAACCTCCAACTCATCATCCTTTGCCTCCATAGAACACATCAGTTCATGTAATATGCCAATATGCCACATTGTGCTTGCCTCCCCTATCTTTTATTTTGATCATATTCAAAAATTAAATATAATTAGATTCTCTTCTTTAAAAATCTATTTTAAAATGTTATATTAGCAAAATCGGTTATTTTTCAATATCAATCTTTCAACTAATAAAATATGTATTTGAAAATCCAAGTTTATATCAGTCAAAGGGGATCAATTTTCTTTAAATTTGTTCAATCAAGTATAACACAAGATAAAAAAAATTGTAAATACTCGTATAATTTTTTTCATTGCGCTTTTCTTACAAGTTCTTTTAAAACCCATTAAGGAAAATTATATGAATAATTACGACGAATCTAAAAATATTTTAGAGGATAAACACATATATATAAAACTATTAATAACATAAATTTTTCGTATGAGATAAACACAAATAAAATTTTAAAATAACCACTATTAATAAAATAAATAATTAACAAAAAATAGATTTTAAAGTAAACACGCGTCCACCTTAGAGAACACATACGTCTGCAACTCACCACTAACCCTCCTCTTAATGCAAAAGGTATGAATCATTTTGTTGACCAACTTCTTCCGTCCACAGTAGACCAACTTCTTCCGTCCACAGCCTACTGAATCAACGTATTCATCGGGACGTCTTTTTATATCGAAGAGAGTCATTATAGACATTAAATCATGGCTACCACTACTGATTGGTTTCCATTATCAGCCAAATGTTAAAAAACGAGATTCACTCACAAAAAGTAGTATTTTTCCAGAAGAATGAAAATTTGATGCCAAAAATGATAAACTAAGTCATGTACGCAAAAAGAAACCTGATCATCGAAATCTTTGCCAAATCTCACCAAACCCTAAACACACAATTTGTTGGACCACTTGGAAAATTCAAGCTGCAATTTCTCAGTCAATGGCCATCTCATGATGTCAATGTGATGTCCCACCATGTTTGTTGTACAATGCAATTTGCTTTGTGACTAGAATTTTTAGTGAGCACTTCGCTGATAGGAACACTTTGATCCTATAATATATATATATATATATATATGTCACAGATATTATAAACAATAACCGTGATAAAATTTTGATAAATTTAATAATCATTTTATAATAATTTTGATAAACTTTAGTGACAATGTTATACCAATTTGATGAAATTTAAGGATACTATTATACAAGTCCAATATATACAGAAGAAGAAAAGATTCCATTAACAGCACTTGTTGACATGCTGAAGCAAAATACATTAGGTAGATGAATTTACAAGGAAAAATGATTGTTGAAGGACCAAAACCTTGGCCTTTAACTAATGAGAAGATTCTGGACATTTCAAGAACAAACCATTTGTTCTTACCTCAAGTGTCTAGTCCGAAAATCTCTTCGATTATGTTGCATGTCGGCTGGAGATCGAACCCTTTTGTTGAAGATGTAGGATACCTAGTGTCCCAGATTTTGGCATCACATGTATCCAACAAATACATATCGCTCACCAGCTCACTAGCCTCATATAGTTTACCCGGCTGCAAAGACTTGCTAAGCTCAGTCATTGATCGTTCACTAACATGCGAGTTCACCTTTGTGCCAATCTGATTATGAGAGTCAACCATGTCTGGCTGAAACTCGAAAGACATACATGAGTCATCCTGTACATTGATATCCTCCATTATTCCGAAACCCTGGTCCTCCTGTTGAAAAACAGGACCGAACCTGCTCTCATCAAATGGCTTCAAAACATGTCCTTTTAACGAAAGATTTATGCCATAATCCTCTCTTGTCGTGGCCCTGCCATAATATCCAACACCACTATCACCACCAGAATTGCCACTATCATCATCATCCACGTCATTGTCATCTCGATAGTTTGCCAGATCTTCCTGATCAGCAAGAGATTCAATAGCAGAGTCTTCATCTTCCTCTATAGCTTGAACTTTGTACGACTGTTGATTTCCATAAAACTCGTCATCATCACTGTCAATGTCCAGACTATTGGATCTGTTCTGAATAGCTCGCCTCTGAAGGATAAAGACATTGAAATAATAGCTGACGAGCTCTCTATTGGATCGTGATGGGAAAACCAACGACAACTGCTTCCAAAACTTCTTACCCAATGATACAGGATTACTGTAAACAACCTCATGAAAAATCTCTTCATCTTCTTCAGTCCATTTAAATGCTACATCCTCTCCAATGTTATAAAACCCCAGTTTCACAAATTTTTCATGCCCAAGGGATTCTCGTAATAGTTTCCGTGCCTCCTTAACATGATGTTGCACACATCTTGAGGATCCCCTATCCAGGCAGCTACAATCAGCTCTGCCTGCACAAACATTACCACCGCTGTTTGCAGACAAATCCGAGCCAGGCATTGGAATGATACATGTTCCCATCTTAATATCTTCATTGTAATTATCTGCAGTTTCTGAAGCATCAGCAAACTTATTATTCTTTACATGCCAACCCCATGATGGAACATTGGCTTGATGATCTGGCCCAATCGGAACTTGTTTTCGAGGAGGCTGATCCAAGAGGAAATAATAGTCATCCTCAACAGGAGAAAACATTCGACGAGGGAAACCAGAGTCAAAATATTCAGATGAAACGGGTGAAATATCTACTACACCGGTGCCTGTATCTTCCTCGCTAGAAATGCTAGTAACCAAAGATAAGGGAGCAGTAGTCTCGGAATCCACATCAACCAAATTAGTAACATCATCCAAAGCATCAGTCTTAAATTCTTCATACCAATGGTGTTTACAAAATCCACCCTCAACTTCTACTGCATTACACAAAGATTTCATCAGTATAAATCCATTCAGTAGAATATGAATCATTCACATAAAACATGAACAACAGTTACCCTTTACCTGAAATACAAGGTTTTTGAGGACTATTACTATGGGGAATAGTATCAGCAAACTGAGCCAGCTTGTCAATATAGCCAAACTGTCTCGGACTCTTGAAAGGAAGTTCTTGGCCTTGCAGCTCCTCGTCATTAAAAGGCCGCTTAACTCCCATTTAACACCTGTGGAACACACAAATAATTATAAATAGATTGTATAAAAATAATTTAGATGCAAGCCAGTAACATAACAGCAAATGCACAGTGACACATAGTAAGACAAAAACATCACTTTCAAGATTAAGCTTGTGTTAAATGACACTTCACTAATAAACATTGCTTGACATTACTGAGAATTTTTTATATAACATTGCATGGAAACATCATGCTATTAACATTAATTAGTTTTTACTTTGGTGAGCTGAAAGGTTAATAAGCAATGCCGTTAAATCAGGTATTAACATATTAAACACATAAATTGAACAAATTTAAATTATTAAAGTCAATTACCTCCAAATTGTCTTAAATTGGAAACCTTGGGCTGCTAGAAATAGAACGAAACCTCAATTGAGATGACTTAATTTCGGACTAAAATTGATATCACTACAGAGAGAGGCGTTTCCCTAATTAATTTGACTGTCTGGAAAATTCTCAAATTACAAGAAAAACCTAACCCTAAATTCCGGTTCTCTGAGAAAACAACAAAATCAAGACAAAGAACTACCCCGAAAAATCACGCCACAGATTAAAACACCGAAACCCTCTAAGAATTTCAGGTAGAAACGAACCCTAGCATGCGAAACAAATACAAACCCTAAAAGGAAAACGAATCGAGAAAAATCGAACAAAATTAGACAAAATAAAATTGATAATCAACACGAATAGACAATAAAACGAAAACCCATGAGAAATCGAAGGATAAAAAGGGATCAATCGAAGTGATTGAAGAACCCTAACCCTAGAAACACGTAAAATCTACGGCCGGGCAGAGAAAACGATCGAACGAAAGGGAAGAACGAGAATTGAACGGATATTTACGTGATTTATATATTAGAGGAAGAAATTAGGAGAAAATCGGAGATCGATTTTCCGATTTAATTTGGGGATCGAGAAAGAGGTGGCAAATATGATAAGGAGAAATGTAGGATACGGGCTTTTCTTTATACAAAAAGCGGTCCAACTGAGAAACCGGATTCAGATTGGGTTGAATTAAAAATTATTATTTTTAATTAATTTTTTAAGGGAAAAAAACAGGTTTGACTTTTGATCTCAATTTCAGACTTGAATATGAAACCTCTCCTTATCCATTATAGAACATACAATTATTTAATTATATTTGCATTTATATTATATAATTGTTTGTCCACAATAATTTATTATACAATTAATATAAAAATATGTTTTATATTTTAATAAATTAATTACATAATATGTCCTCAAACTATTACACTAATTTTAAAGTGATTCTTAAATTTATTAATATTTTAATTTAATCCTTAAACTATTACTCTCATTCTAAAATAATCCTTAAACTTTTAAACATTCCGGTTTCATCCTCAAACTATAACCATCATTCTAAACTATTTCTTAATTTTTTAAATCTTTCAATTTCATCCCCAAACTCATCCTAATATATAATTCAGTTTCAACCATAGTTTAACTTAATTTTTTTTTCTACTTCAAAAGATAATAATATAACTCGATCTAACAATTTTATTAAAGGGGGTGTGATTAGCATATACCGTTAGTTTGAGATGAAATTGGGCGTTTAAAAATTTTGGGACCAATTTAAAATGAAATTCATAGTTTTGAGATGAAATTGGAACATTCGAAAGTGTGAAAACTAATTTAGAATTAGACTCATAATTTGAAGATGAAATTAGCATGTTTAAAACTCTAAGGAACAATTTAAAATGAAGATCGTTGAGGATTAATGATACAATTAACTCTATTTTGAATATAAATATTTTTTTATACATATGTGATGATGAATTGAGTGTTCACGTTAAGTTGACTAAAGGCTAAATAATATTTTTACAATAGTCTATATTGGTGTTGGTATTTAGCATTGTGTTATTATTAGGGGTATTCATAATCAGATAATTATATTTTTAGGTATTTGATTACCTCATTAATAAAAAAATATAGTCTACGTCTCAACTCATGACGATTGAATATCTATTAATCGGGTCACAAAATACTCAATTTATATTTATATTTTCTTTCAAGCCATACAATTTAAAAGAATTTACATAAAACTATAAATATTAAAATTACATAATATATAATCCAAACATAAAATGTAAGGATTTAAATTTGATTTCTAAAAAAATATTTTAAAACCTAAAATAAAACACAATGCTTAAAATGATTATGGAGTACTCGGTTCATATTATTGCCTAAAATCAGGTAAAAGGTAGTACACCTTTATAATTACTATAATTTCGGTCACTTCAACCTAAATTAGGTAAATCCTTTAGTACTTGTATTAATTAAACATAAACACTCTTTATTTTAAAACCTGTTGATGTTTAATTTTATGGATTTTGATTATATTTGAAATTGAATCATATTAAATTATATATATGTATATAAATTAATTCTCTCTCTTTCATAAAATTCGAACTTGAAATTTTATTTAATAAACATCCAACTCTTTATTGTCAGATCCAACAGGGATTTTATTGTGTAAACTTCTTAATTTTTAAAATAATGTATTTGATATAATAATAAATTTATCTATCAATATTTACATAATATATCAATTTGATTTTGATCTTAAAAAGTTCATTACATATGTTAAGTAAATATTAAGGATTAAATTTTTTATTTTTTATAATTAAGAATAAATTAATATGACGTGTTAATTTTATTATTATATTAATTGAAATTCACATTACAATTATTCATTTGTCTACTCACTTTGAAAATGAAATGTTAACATTTTAGATAAATAAATTTGTTTTTTTTTTGTTGAATACAGGTGAATAGACCGCTTAGCTGCCCGTTATATCAGCTGAAAGCAACTCCTCAGCTTCCTTTAGGTAATTTTTGCAGGAAAAATGTATCTTCTTGGTGCTTCCACATCTGCTTGGCGACAAAGTCAGCAACGCGGTTGGCCTCCCTTGGTATGTGCTCAAGATCCACTACCCACTTTCTCCTTAACAAATTAAGAGAAATAAATTTGTTTAATTTCAAAATTAAGAGAAATATAAAAGAATTTTTGCTGATATTACTGCAAACGTATTCATAAAATATCATTATAAAAAATTATTTTCATCGCTATTAAATCATTTAAATTATGACATTGTGAAAATAAAAAAACGAGATAAGAGAATTGTCCTATAATAAAATTTGGTAATACTAGACTTAAATTAATTAATTAATGAATCTGTTATCAATAAAAAAATAATTTCCGGTTTAAAAACCTAGAGAGAAAAAATTTACTAGTAAAGATTTTATTACTCTAAAAATGCCAATACAAATCAGAGATTCTACCGGCTAAAATGACAGATCCAGAGACAACAATAGTCTCGGATGGAGAGAGAGAGAGAGAGAGAGAGAGAGAGAGAGTGCAATTGGAAATATTATATACGTAATGTTGGTTTATTTGTCTTTCGAATTTTATCTGACATAGTCCAACCTCAAACAAGCTGCTTAAAAAATGATTTATGCCACTGCAGGCATGTCCTTGAGTCAGTCATCCAATGGCTTCCCGATGGAGTAGACGATAAACCCGATTTTCTTCAACTTCTCTACATCGACGATGTTCCGGCCATCGAACACGAATGCAGGCTTCTGCATGTTATCGAAAATCTTTTGATAATCGAGTTTTGTAAACTCATCCCACTCGGTGAGAATGCAAAGCCCATGAGCATCCTTTGTTGCCGTGTATGCATCCCAAACGACACTAACATCAGTGACGGAGGTAGGACTCATCGGCTGAAGATGAACTGGATGGTCCCAGTCGAACTTCTTCATTGAAAGGTCCCTCTGAATCTGGTCTTGGTTAACTTGAGGGTCGTATATGCTCAGTTTAGCTTTGTCCCCTATCAGGCCTTTGCACACATCAATGGCTGGGGTCTCCCTAGTATCGCCGGTGTCCTTCTTGAAGGCAAATCCGAGAATGGCGATCTTCTTCCCTGAGACCGTGTTGAACATTGAGGAAACAATCCTGTTAACGAACCGGGTTTTCTGGTAGTCGTTAACCTTAATGACTTGTTTCCAGTAATTGGCTACCTCAGGGAGGCCATTGCACTCACAGATATATACCAAATTTAGAATATCCTTTTGGAAACAAGATCCACCGAAACCAACGCTAGCATTCAAGAACTTAGGCCCGATTCTCGTATCCTTCCCGACAGCATGTGACACTTGGCTCACATCAGCGCCGGTCGCCTCGCACAATGCCGACATAGAATTAACCGACGAGATTCTCTGAGCCAAGAAGGCATTGGCAGCGAGCTTGGAAAGCTCAGCAGACCAGAGATTGGTGCATAAGATTCTATCCATCGGAACCCATTGTGCATAAACGTCCCTCAATGTTTCAATGGCCTTTTTACCTTCCGGTGTCTCCCTGCCGCCGATAAGAACACGGTCGGGGTTGAATAAATCCGAAATCGCAGTCCCTTCAGCAAGGAATTCAGGGTTGGAAAGGATCTGAAAGTTGATTCCTTTGCTATTGTGGGTCAAAATCTTCTCAATAGCCTCGGCTGTTTTAACCGGGACGGTCGATTTCTCGACCACGATCTTGTTCGATTTTGTTACATCGGCGATCATACGAGCAGCACTCTCCCAGTAGGTCAAATCAGCAGCTTTTCCCGCTCCTAGACCTTGGGTTTTCGTTGGGGTATTGACTGAAACAAACACTATATCAGCCTCGGAAACATGTTTCTCGACATCGGTGCTGAAGGAAAGGTTTTTGCCTCTGCATTTCTTCACCACCTCGTCGAGGCCTGGCTCGTAGATGGGGAGTGTATCACTGTTCCAAGCATTGATTCTAGCTACAGAAATATCCACCACAGCCACTTGAATGTTGGGGCATTTCAATGCAATGACGGCCATGGTCGGACCGCCGACATATCCAGCTCCGATGCAACAGATCTTTACCATTTTCTATAAGAAAATTGCTCCTGAAACAAGTAATTGATTGAACATCCACATTAGCAAATATTCAGATCTAAGCTATATTACTCTGCAGATAAATCGAATCTCATTCCGGCTAAATGAACCCAACAAATGAATTCTTTTTCATAAACCAAAACTGGGTTTTTATAAAAGCTTGATTCAAATCAACAATGAAAGACGAACAATGGCTGATAAAACGGAAAAACAACGCATTAAAGGACTATAACAGGAAGCCATAATTGTAGTAAGCACCGAAAGAAAGCTACGGAAAACAATAATAAATCCAGCAATTAAACAAAACCCGGAAGATCAAAAGGAAAATGAAATGGGAGATTAGATTACCTTTATGGGATTCAGCTATCTGATCAAACAAAGAAGATGAATAAAAGAAGGAGATATAAAAAGCTGGGAGAGAAAATGGGTGAAGCTGTAGAGAAATGAGAAAAGTTCTTCAGGCGAAGAATGAGGAAATCTAAACACCTCCCCACTCTTCATATACTGAACTCAACTAACGTTCAAGTGAATTGCATTCCTTTTCCATGGCTAGTATTACTTTTCTTTTTATACATTCATGATTTAATTGCATCACAGGTAACTAATTTTTTATTTTTATTTAAAATTAATCCTTAAAGTTTTGAATATTTAAATAATACTTTAAATTACGACTCTCATTCTAAATTAACTATAAAACTTTTGAATGTTTCAAATTTATCTCTAAACTATAACACTCATTCTAAATTCGTCCTTATACTTTTGAACCTTCCAATTTCATCCAAAAAATCATCCAAATATGTAATTAATTTCAACCATGGTATAATCTAAATTTTATTTTATGTTTAAACATATAATAATATAGCTTAATCACAATTTGGTATGAAATTGAAATGTTCAACAATTTCAGGATTGATTTATAATTAAAATCATAGTTTGAGAAAGAAATTGTAATATTCAAAAGTTTGAGGACAAATTTAAAATGGTATAATGTAAAAAGTTAAAATAACATTTGACAAAATAGTCATTTTGACAAATATTCTTTTTTAAAGTACTTTAACCCATCAACGTTTAATTTTAAGGCAAAATAGTCTCTCATTGGATGAAAATCATTAATTAACTAACTATCAATGTTTATCGCTAACGTAATATGTTTTATGTATTCAAAGTGATAATGTGATACTACTACATATACATAAGTGATGATGTACTGATATGTATCATATCATCATTTTGGACAAGTGACATATGTCACAACATCACTCTTGATACATGATGTGTGTCGCATCATCACTTTAGACACATATCATCACTTTTGAACACTTAATTTGTATCACTACATTCGTTTATAAATGTATCATCACTATGAACACATAACATGTATAACATCATCATTTTGGACATATGATCATACCAAGTCACCATTTTATTTACATATGATACGTGTCACGTCAACACTTTACACATGTGGTATTTACTACGTTTTAACTCTATACATGTAATATGTATCATATTATCACTTTTTAGATACACATTACGTGTAATGTCATAATTTTAGACACATGACAGTCCAATGTCAATACTTTGGACACATATATTTTATCACGTCAACATCAAACATTAATTATTAATCAACTAATAATTTCTATCCAACCAAAATCTATTTTACCCTAAAATAAAAATATTAAAAGAAAAAATAAATGTCAAAATGATTATTATTATATATTTTTTAATATTATAACTTGAAAATAAGGTTATGTTCTAAAAGAATTTGATTTAATTAATTCTATATTATTTATATTTAAAGATAAATATCAAAACTGCTTTATGAATTTTGATTTTTTATAATTATACACATAAACTTTAATTTTGGTTCTATTATACATATACGATGCAAATTTTACTATTTTGAGTGAACAAAATACGATTTCATTATCGCATTTCCTTAAAAGTTTACAATTTACAATAATTGTTTAGATTTTTAGAACTTTTTGTAATTTAAAAAATTTCATATAATATTAGCAAACAATTATAATTTCAAAGGAAATGGTGGTTTTTAAAGGACTTTTTTACTTTTATTTTTGTCCTTAAATTAACGTTTTCCATTATTATAATTTTAATAAATTTATCATCAATGTTAACCGTCCAAATTAAAAGAATAGCATTAGGTTATAATTTTATCGATTAAATTCATAATATATAGATAAAATTATTATTTTAATTTTAATTTACATTAAATACAATGATTGATTTTGAACAATTATACTCATTTTTTAATGAAAATAAAGTAAAAATATAAAATAAATTATTATAATCTAAGTAAAAGATTAATATCACATTATAATAATAATAATAAAGAAATTGGTTATAAAAAATTGACCAATTATTTATTTTCCTTTCAGAGAAAAATAGTACTCCGATAGTTCATTTCTCTCTCCCTCGCATTTATCGCTTTCCTAGATATCTTTTTCTTACATATCCAAAAATGGACCCTTCTTTGTCTTCAATATCCCTAGCCCCTCCTCCCCCGCCCATCGTTCCCGTCATAGCCACCTCCCAAACGACGACGATCGCCGGCGGTCTTCCACCGAGTTTCAGCCACCCTCCTTACTCCGACATGATATGCGAGGCCATCGGGGCTTTGAAAGAGAGCGACGGATCTAGCAAAAAGGCCATAGATAAGTACATAGAGTCAACTTACGAGGATCTGCCGCTGTCACACTCGGCCTTGTTGACACACCACTTGAAGAGCTTGAAAAACAGTGGCGTTTTGGTTATGGTTAAGAAATCTTACAAGCTTGCTTCCACCGTTGGATCTGAAGCTCCTTTGGCGGCTTCTGATGTTTCAACCGGACCCAAACGAGGCCGCGGTCGTCCTCCTAAGCCCAAGGCAGCCGACTTCAACCCTCAGCAGCAGGCAGTTCCGTTTTCCGATGTGCCTAAAAGGCCCCCCGGAAGGCCCAGAAAGAGTGGACCCGTGGGCCAAATTGGGGTTATTCGGAGTCAGGGCCGTGGTCGCCCGCCGAAAAGTGGGCATAAAAAGAGTCCTGGTCGACCGAAGAAACCGAAGACGGTGAGGTCTGTGGTTGGAGCTAGTGCTATGAAAAGAGGCCGTGGACGGCCGCCTAAGGCCTCGATCCAGTTACCTGCACAGGCGGTCATACCGAACTATGGTCAACCCGTGGCGGTTCCTTATGCTGATTCTGCAGCTGTAACTGCTGATGTTGGTGTTCCGAGTCCCAGAGGAAGGCCAAAGGGCACTGCTCGAGCTGCTGCCGTCGTGTCCCTTGGAAAACGGAGAGGTCGACCACCCAAGATTGCTGGAGTCACCGTTAAGCCCATGAAAACAACCGGAAAGCCCGTTGGCCGCCCTAAGAAGGTAATCCATATTTGTTAGTTTGGTCTTTGGTAGAAGAAAGTTATAGAAAGCAACACAAGAATGTTGGTTCAACTATCTAATGGGTCCTTGTAGTATAAGCTTAATAGCAAGTTAGTCTTTCTATCATAAGCGAGCAATTTAGTCATTATAGATTACTTCTGGTATAAATAGGTAATTTAGTAGAACTTGTTTAAATATTATACGGTTCAAGGTTTTCCTGTTTAAATTTTATCTTTTCGCTTCATAATTAGATGTATAAGTTATAAATGGACTAATTTTCTTCTCAATATATAGTATAGGGACCATCAAGTTGTTTAACCCAAAAATGTTGTCGCAGTAAATGGATGAAGAAACGCACAAATAAATTTTAGGCCAGTAATAGTGTAATAGGATGTTATATGAGTAGACCTTCTGCTTTTGCATTTCGCTTTAAATCTACTGTTGTTTCCTTACATTTGGCATTTCCACCCCTCTTTCTTACATAAAAAGACGACTGAAGGATCCGAATCCGAATCGAAGGCTTTAGCAGCAGCATATGAAGACTTTAAGAAAAAACTCGAATTCTTTGTAAGTAAACTCGATGTTTTTATGACATGTTTTCTTTTTCTTCTAATATACTCGTATGGTTACATCATACGCATATTTGAATAAGATTATGGGAGTATGATCTTTTGTTTACTTATGCTACGAAACGGGTGTGTTGAATGTTAACTTTGGCAAGTGTTTTCCATACATATGTTCGAATATAAGTAGAGAATAAGTGTTTGATACGAATACTTTAAACAAATGGTTACGAACTATGAATCCTTTAAGAAAGGAAAAAGGGCGAACTCATTGATTTATGATTTTGATTATTGTATGATTGCAGCAATCGAAAGTGAAACAAGCAGTCGAAGCACTAAAGCCTCAGTTCACTAATGGAAGCAACAGCAGTGCCATTGATGCAATCCTGGAGTTAGAAGGACTTGCAGCGATGGACATTGGAAGCACACCGTCGAAAGCGGCCGATGCTCAACTGCCGCCGCCTCCACCACTGGCGGCAGGACAACCACCGGTAGAGCATGATGAAGGGCGAGTGCTTTAATCCTTTATTTTCATGAATGCTTAGCAAAGACCTGTAGAAATTATTCTGACCTAGTGGAGGAAAATGTTTCTGTAAAACAAAATAAGTTAGGTCTAATTTGTTGCATGCTTTTGATTCCCTCAGTTCTCTGTACTGATTCCATCGGCATTGACATAATGGCAGCTGTTATTTATAGCATTTCCTTAATCTTGCTATATCATTCGAATTTATTTGGTTGGATACGAGTATATATTTGATATATATATATATATATATATATATATATGGTAAATTACAAATTTGATAATTGAATTTTACTCTCTTTTTTTTTGTTCATTGTACTTTATATCTTTTTAATTTTCTCATTGAATTTAATATATTTGATTTTTTTGTCACTCAAGCCATTAAATAGTTAATAATGCTAAAATAGATTGTCATATAAATGCAAAAAGACGTCGTTTTGGTAAAATTTTTAATTTTTTAAAATGATATTTTTAAAGTCATTAAATATTTAACAACAATATGATTAAAATAAAAGAAAATAAAATTTAATAACAAAAAAACTTAATGTAATAAGTTTACTGAGAAAATTTAAAAATTTAATGAGTAAAATAATAGAATAAAATTTAATAATGTAATTTGTAATATATCCATATATATATATATATATATACACTTTTTTTTCAAGTTTTGGTCATTTTTGACGTTATATAGAAAAAATCACGACAAAAGTTTCTCAATGTAAATGCGTAACTCGGGAAAGACGCATGACATAGATAAACGAAAGTGTTATTTTAAAAATTAATTGAATATGAGTTTTAATTTAAAAATTAATTTTTTATTGATGAGAGGCGGATAGAAGAAGCTTACTTTCACATCAAATCCTAGTAAAAATTTGACGATCCATACATCACCAATTCAACCAAAAAGAGAACAGCCCACACTTGTTAAAGCTTGAAATAAACAAAGTGCATTTATATAATTTATTAAACAAATTTCCATTAAAAATAAAAGTAGCCTCTCTAGATATACAGAAGAAGACGGAGAAGAAGAAGATGGCAGTGGTGGGGGATTTGTCATTGTCACTAATAGATGCTCCCATCATTAAACACACACCAATGGTTAATATTACACCAGAATCCCATCAAAAATCCCTTTTCAATCCCCCCTTCTTTTCTTCAATTCAAAGCCAAGATGACCCTAAAATCCAGAGGGTTGTCGTAGCAACAAAAGTGCAAAACAAGTTGTTAGTGAAGAGACCCACAGCACTGCCTGGATCATTGATGCCTGTTGTCCCCGTCGGACCCAGTGTTGTCCCCGCACCACCAAACACGGTGGTTGGAGTCCCTGTGGTTGAGCCGGTGGTGGTTGACCCGGTGGTGGTTGTCCCGGTAGGTGTGGTGCCTGTGTTTGCCCCTGTGCTACTGCAAAACCAAAAAGTAATGTCAAAAAAGACGAATAGCTTTAGAAATTTCAACATCATGGCAGCTCATTTGCATAAACAAAGATGCTTTTCCCAAAAGAAAGATTGAAAGTATGAAAACACCAGAGAGAATAGTTCATGGGGGAAAAACTTCCATGAAAGCATACCTTGATGGTAAGCTGCAAGTTGAAGCAACATCTGCAAATTACACATGAAAAAGGTTAGGGAAACCCCAAAAATGGAAGGAAGAAAGTGTTTCAAGAGACTTACTTGGAGGAGGATTGGGGCTAACAGCAGCAGTGCCTGAAAAATCACAGCTATCTTGAGCTTGACCTTTCCTTTGGAAATAACTATTGACAGCGTAGTTGCAGTGATCTTTGACAGTGTTGGGGCTATAGCAACCACCTTTCTGGAGAATCGCAGAACAATCAGCTCCAGCTCCACAAGCGTAATCCAGGGTCTTTTGAAGTTGTTGATCACCAACTCCATCTTTACATAAGCAATAAGTTGCACCTATTGGCATATAAAAAACAGCAAAAATGTTAACTTTCCGTGAAAATAATGATCTTTATGAAGCCATCTATATGTTTTTCCAGCAAAGAAGGGAAACCCATCTCATAAATCTTTACATCCAACCTTAAAGCTTGGAAATTAAGAGAAAAAGAAAGAAAGGGAAAAGCTACAAAAATCCAAATAACTTACTTGAATGGCCAGTCATGGCTAGGAACAGCACTAGACAAATGAAAAGGGCCATGATGCATGCAAGATTTTGAGGAGGGAAAGTTTTTGAGAAAATTAAAGAGATTACCAAAGACAGCTGCAGAAAAAAAGAGAGCAGAATATGGAGAGATTTCTAGACAAATACTGAAGGAAGTATAGAACCCTCTTTCAATTACAATAATATGAGGCTACCAAATATTACTATCAAATATTTTTTATTCGTAATATTAAAATTTAATATGTATTAAATTTTATATATAAAAAAATGAAGTGTTATGGGAAAGTGGGAAACTGGGCAATGTCTTAAAGAAAGTGTTTTTGGCATGTAATTTGACTTAAATATTCATGTTATTGCACTTTGAATATGCTCTGTTTTTATATATAATATATTATCAAACGGTCATAAACTCAAGCCAACACTTGACCTGGTTTAGGTTCAAGCAGAACTGTGATTGTGAAGCCGTGGGGGAAGTTGAGGGTCCTACGTGTAGGACTCCTTTTTCAGATCCTTTATCAATGTGCTGTCATCACTTACCACTATGCGGTATTCTTTTCATTGTTCAGTTCTTTTCTTTTAGTATTTTTTTATTCATTTCACATTTAATAATTCGTTTTTGTATTTATTTATTTTATAATATCATATTTAATATTTAAACATAAATTTAAAATTATTTTATCTTGAATACATATATGTTCAATTAAATTCAACACCGTTATAATTTAAATTTTTTATTTTATTTAAATAATATAATATTTATGATTTATTGAATTTAAGGAGTAATTTCAGTTATTATAAGATAACATATTCTATATCGATAATACTATTTAAAAATTTTGAGTGAATTTATTCAAAAAGATAAAACACAAAGACTGGTAAAATTAAAAATATGTTACAAAGAAGTTGAATTTATTTAAAAAAAAATAAAGGTTAGAGTGTACTCATAATCACTTAATATTTTTAAAAATTTTAACATTAAATATTAAATATATTTTACGAAGAGTAAAAAGTAAGATACCATGTAAATATTAAATATATTATTATTGTGTAGAATGTAGATATTACATGGGGCGAGTACTGTAAGGTACGCTCCATGTTTGGTGAGATGTCAAATTTTGTGAACTTCGTGCCTTGATTCCCCCCCCCCCTCCCCCACTTGTTCAAGAATCAACCTAAAATGCTAAATTAGTGAAATAGTAATATAAACTTATTTTCTTAAATTTATTTCTATTTTATTTATAAATTTAGATTAAATGTAAGAAAATAAAAGTGTATAAACTAAAATATTTTCTTAAAAAATATTTGAGTTTATAAAAAATAACAATATTAACATTTAGATTATAATTATATTATAAAATTTAAAATATAATCAAAATTACTTGGTCTTAAATAATTTTTTTGTGAAAATTTAAAATGAAATTATACGATTAGTTTAATATAAAATGTAATATATGTTCGTTTCTAACTTGTGTTTAATATTATTAAAATTAATGATAGGAAAAGAAATTAGTTGCAGAAAAACAAGAGGGATGCATAATGAAAAAATGTTAGATAAAGGCATTGAAATTCCTTACTCATTTAAGAATGGAATAATTGGACCACCTCATTGTTACTCACTTTTTAGCTTATGCCCAAGAGGCCAAGATGCCTCTCTCCCTCTCTCTCCCTGTGGGAGTCTTCTTTATATACATATATATATACACAAAAAGAGATTTGTTCAATATTGCTTTCTAAACTAATTAATTCTAATTTTTATTCGTATCACTCTCATGACATGTGAGAGTCTTTCTTTTTTTAATTTATTTTATCGTGTTCAAAAAACTTTAGTCTCTGATGAATTTTATGATTATTTTAAATATCAATAAATTTTTCTCATTATCTTTTAACACTACCAATTTATATTTTTCTTTAACCTCTTTAAAATTAATGAAATTAAAAAAACCTATCATCTTATATTTTAATATTTTTCAAATTTGAGGGTTTTGTAGTTTTTTCTTTTAAAAATATGAACGGTGAGAATTTTTTTAAACAAGATAAACAACATACCTCATAAATTAGTCTTATAGAATGACTATCAAAAGAGATCAAAATATTAAAACACCAAACGTTTAGATGAATTTTATTTGATTTTTAGTTAATTTTGTAAAAAAAAAGTGTAAAATGTGACATATGACTATTGATTTATAATGATGATTGAATAAATTGACGATTTTAAAAAAAAAATAAGAAAGAAAAATTCATATTATATTACTATAAATGATTTAATGATTCAATGAAACAAGATAGATATATAAATTTAGTAATAATATTATTTTTAAGAAAATGTGTAATAAAATCAAAACTAAAATTTAGTTTAAGTTTAAAAAATTTATAGTTAAGGCATAAGGCCTTAAACGGCAGCCCAAGGTGTTTTTCATCCGTGAAATATATACCAAACAATGGGTCATCATAGTAGTGGAAACGAACAGAATAAATTGTCATTGGGAAATACATTTCAGATCCAGCCCAAAAAAATAAGAAGAATTAATTGTTTAAATTTCAAGTTTATTCTGGAAAAGAGGTAGAAATAAAATTCAGCAAGTGTTCTCGGTTTTCACGCTGCAAAAATATAGTAATTAAAAGCGGGGTTGGAGGGTGGAAGAGAAAAGGAAGAGGAACAAGACGGCGTTTCCGTACATTCTCCTTGCAAAGCCCCGCCGTCCTCCGCCTCTTCTCTTCCCAAGGTCTCTCTCTCTCTCTTTCTCTCGCTTTCCTCGGCGTTCGTCTTCTCTCCGTTTTGCTCAATTATTTATACAGTTTCCGTTTTTTGTTTGTTTGTTGATTTAATAGGAGCAACATGATGTAGAATTGGAGCTGAGGCTATTGGAAGCACTTGAAATTTATCCTCCCGTCAAATTACCAGGCACGTTTATCGTTTTCTTTTTAACTGTTTTTGTAAGGAGTAATTCGTTTTATTTCAGTTTAGATATTGATTCTTAGGAATTAGCTTGAAGAAAAAGGGCATAATTTTTTTTTTCTGGACTCTAAAAGTAATGTATTATTGGAAATTTTTATTTACAATCAAGGTTGTATGCTAGTGATATGATCAATGTTGATTCCCTTCATTTTGCTTGCTGCTGTGGTGGAAAATGGTTTAAGCTATATTTTCATCAAAAACAACAAAATATGTTCCTTTACTAAATATGTTCTTGTGCTGATCTTGGTAGCGAAAATGTTAGCTTTTATATAGTGTATTTGTTTTGGTAGTTTTAGAATCTAACGGTGCTTGTCATGATTATGGATCCATGTTAAGTTTTTTTCTTCATTTTTGATAGCCTATTAAATTAGAGGATAATAGACACTTAAGCGCACTTGAATCCCTTGAGTTAGTTAAATTGTTCAAATAACTTATATATGGTAAAGAAATTGGTGCATCTAGCAGTTCAAGCAGGACATGGTAAAACAATTAGGATTCATTTTGATTTTAACTGCCTACATGAATGCATAACTTGAAATCAAATTTGCTTCACACAGGCGTGCATCGTCACTTTGTTCTCTATGGTCTAATAGCGTTCCTGCGGAAAAGGTTTGTTTTGCCTCCCGTTCTTTGTGCTCTGTAACGATCCCCTATTCCAGTCTTAAGTATTGTAATTCATTTTCTCTCACTGGTTTGCTAAGTTTTGTCGCAGCCTTGACCGTAATTTTTCTCCGGACTAGGTTTTGCAGTTGCTAGATCGTTTCTACAACTTGGAAGTGCTGGTAGTTACTTGTTCGATAATTTATATTCATGCCCATTAATTTCTTTGATATTCCATTGAAGCTGAGGTATTGCATTGCTTACTGTCTTGGATGATGTTTCCATGTCTGTATAAATTGACAAAATGGCTAGTCCCAATGCTTTGTTTTCACTCATTGTGGTTGGATAGAGATAATTGCAAGTCTAGTCTGGCTCACATGGTGATAATGGATGGAAACAGAAAACAAAGTTGTTGCAAGCGATTCTTCTTTTATGTTTCCAACATAAGAATTGGTATCTGCCTTGTATACTCTTAGATGAGCAAATTTTTGCTACCCATTTGAGGGACGGAGGTATCTGTAACGTGGGAGGAGCCATGGTCCCCCAAAAAATTGGGATTAATTATTTTGTAGGTCCTCTTACTTTTGAAACTAGGTGAATTAGATCCTATCCCCCCATTTTCTGGGTATAATTGCTTTTTAGGCCCCTTTTAGTTTTGAAACTAAACATATTAAGTTTTCACCAACAGTTTTTTGGTTCAAATACTTTTTAGATTCTTATTTATATTTGCCCCTTGGAGTTCCATCCTGGCTCTGTCCTTGCTACCCATACTCTTCATTTTTTTAAAGTACACATGTTTGACATCTACATAGTAAAATCAAGTATGCCTATGTTGGCACATACCCAAGGTAAAGGAAAGTACCTCTTAAAAGATTGGAATGCTAATTAATACCTTTCTAACGGAAAATTGCTTTTGGTTATCTTGAAAGGTAGTAGTAGCTATTGCTAAGCTAATATGTTCTTTTGTAAATTTCAGAAACCAGATGATGAAGAGATTGATATCCTAAATCACGAGGAAGATTTTTGCTTGCCACAAAGCTTTTTTGTCAAGGAAGAAGCCTAGATTAATTTCGGGGGAGGGGAGGCTTTGTTTCTGCTTGTGATCTGATGATTTCTAACCGTGATAATATAACTTGATGATATTGCTGATTATTACTGTAAATATTAGGTTGCAATTTTGATGGAAAGTAATTACTTTGGCTCTACTCCCATCTTTTGACAGCTTCTTGCTCCTTTAGAATTTCCCTTTTATAGATAAAATATTTATCTAAAGTCTAGACTTAAAATAATATTAAATAGTTTTTATTGAAATTTTAATTTTAAATGATAAATAAATATCTTTTCTGAAGATATAATTTAAACCATTTTTAAATTTTTAATTGCTATTTTAATATTTATATTAATTGCTAAAAGTATTTATTATCTTATAATCTATTTTCATCACACTAAGCCAAAAAAAAGAGAGTAAGCTAATGATTACTTTTACATTTTTCTGTTTTTATTTTTCAGTCCAATTAATGAAATCTGATGTTTAATCCAGTTTATGTATATAATTACTTTTAAAACTATAATTCATTTGGATAATTTTCTTATTTTGATCCTGATTTGTTTTTTTTTAGTTTTTAAATTTAACATTGTCTTTTACTCTTAGTCCTTTTAATAACGTCATTTTGAGATTGTGTATAAAATCTTAAAGTAGCACATGATCTAAAAGATCAAACATTCAAATTTGAGGATGATGAACCTAAAAATTTCAATGATCAAACTGAATCAATTTGATCGAATATTAATCCTCATTTATAATATCACACGATATATAGCCAAAAGCGAAGGGAAAACAATACAATATAGAGAAATTAAAAACAAAATTATCCATAATTTCAACAAGTAACTTGATATTAGAGAACATTAAATTAAATAAAAAAGGCAAAGAAAATGAAAATAGTGGAAGAAAAAACATGGTTTGAATCAAATGATCAAATTTCATTATCTGGTTTTTGGTGGTACTGCAAATGAATGATCGTTCAGCATTGTAAAATGGGCTAAACCGGTTGATCCGATCGTCTTGTAAGAGCGGTTCATAAGAAGCCAATTTAGGCAAAGAGCACTTGAAAACAACCCCCCCCCCCCAATTCAAGCTCCCACATTCTTTTCAAATTTTCTGAAAATTTTTGAACATTTTCAGGTAAGAAAAGGTATCGATATAGTTTTAATTAATTCTAAATTCGATGTGTTTAAATATGTTCTGCATCATGTCTAACAAGCTGATATTAGACTGATAAGAGAGCCTAATTCAAACGAGTTTGATACTCTGTGAACTCGATTAACATGTTTTGAAGTTTCAAGGATTATTTGAAAATTGAGTCATAATTTGAGGGCATCTAGTGCAATTAAACCGTAAAAATAGAATAGTAGGAGATGGCATATTTACCTCGGCTTTCGCCTCAGATTTGGCTGCTGTGGATTTACCATCTTCTCCTTTTACGCCGTCTTCACCTGCATGAAATTCATGTGCTTACCAAAGTTGAGATGAAGCATGTAGGGCAGGGCTTCATGATTGACTCGTACAACATGGAAAACATCTAATTAGGGATTTAAATAGAGTTCGCGGTTGTATTTTCGATCGCATTGCATTTATCACGGTTACGGATATAACGGATGTCATCGCGATCACTGCGGATGCCGTGGTCGTGAATTATTTTAAATTTCGCACAACTTATCCTAAAACATAATAATTATAATTATAGTCATAAAGAATCATTTTTTTAATGATTTTTAGAATGTTTTTTAAACAAAAATCACACACACATATATATAATATATAGTTTAATCAAATAGAAGACTTTAAAAATCTTGTAATAGGATAAAATAATTAATTAATGATAACATTGTGAATACATGATTATTTAAATTACTAAAATTAGGACTAAATTAAATTACATTCTAAACTAATGATTAAATTATAAATTCTAAAAATAGGAGGGGTAGCAAATTAATATATTCATTAAAAATATATTTTAAAAAATAAAAAATGGGAAACGGGCTTAGTGTGTGTAGAACGACCCATGTAGTCTAATTTCTTTTAATTGAAAAATCAACATATACTTTAATAACTTAGAAGAAAAATCTAGAGTCTCTCTAATTCTCTTCTCCATGGAGTACTATACCGTCTCCCTCATTTCTTCCTCCCTTACTCTCTTAAGGTTTTGAGATAATCAACAGCAAAAAAACTCTAAAACCATGACTTGTTCTAGTCTAGAAGAGAGATTTAAGCATCAAAAGTTTTTGATTCCAGCAATTTCCACTTCAATGAGATCCACAAAACAGGTAAAATATCGTTATTCTTTTTTATTTTTTCTTTTTGAATCTCAGTAAGAATTTATCAAAAACGGTGATTTAAAAAGAAAGAGAAAAAATGAGGTTCAACAACGATGAACACAAAAAAAAATCATCTTTTTTAAGTTTTTTTTACAGTAACGGTAGAATAATGCTTATAGCTTTCCGTGATGGGCGTTTTCTACCGTTACATGTTAAATTGCAGGCGCAATAGACAACTATCAACGTGAATCCGGTACCCACCGCTAAATACATTAATAGCGGTTTTGAAAGGTGGTGCGACTGCGAAATAGCGGCCGCTATAACGTTTGCATCCCTCTATTTAAAACCCTGCATCTAATACTAATTTTATTCTAAAAGTAAAGAATGAACCTCCATCTTCAGGCAAATCAGAAGTCCAGAGAGTGAGGTTATCTCTGAGCAGCTGCATAATGAGGGTGCTATCCTTATACGACTCCTCACTCAATGTGTCCAATTCCGAAATGGCTTCATCAAAAGCTTGCTTTGCCAAATGACATGCCCTGCAATTTCCCCAAACCATTAATCTCACCAAATGCTTCAACTCAAACACCTAATTACCATAACAAGCTTATACCTCTCAGGTGAGTTCATTATCTCGTAGTAAAACACAGAGAAGTTCAGGGCCAGGCCAAGCCGAATCGGATGAGTTGAAGGCAGATCAGTGTTTGCAGCAGCAGCAGCAGCCTAAATGGAGAAATTTAGGTCTCTGCGGTATGTTAACAACAACGTAAACATCAACTTACCTCATAACCCTTCAATGACTGCTCAGCAGCTTCTTTCCTTTCTTGATCCATCTTGAACTCAGCAACATACCGGTAGTAATCGCCTTTCCTGAAAGAATGGGAGCGCGAGAATGGAATTGTGTTTTATAAAAGCGACTGAGACGGAGGGGGGAGAAAGAAACTTACATCTTGTAATAAAAAACAGTGGCTTCACCGGAGGAAGAAGAAGGGATGAGATGCTTATCGATGATGCTCAAAATGTCGGTGCAGATGTTGGAAAGCTCTTCTTCGACTTTTCGACGGTACCCTTTGATCAGCTTAACGTTCTCTTCGTTTCCTTTGGATTCCTCTTTCTGTTCGATGGAAGACATGATCCGCCATGAAGCTCTCCGTGCGCCGATCACGTTCTTGTATCCTACTGAAAGTAGGTTCCTTTCTTCCACGGTGAGATCGCAGTCTAATATCGCCACTTTTTTCATACTCTCCACCATTTCTACCAGAAGAGAACCAGAAACATATTAAACTTGAATCGTTTGCTTATACAATCTCAAATTAAGAGGAGTTCATTACCTTCGTAACGTTCGGCTTGTTCGGCAAGTTTGGCCAGGTAAACATGGGTTTCTCTCTCTTTCTCAGAAGTAGACATTGTGGATGAAATAAGAGTGTATTCTTCAAAAGAATGGAAAGGGAAATGGCGGAATGGGAGTGAGGAAAGAAGATATCTTATACAAGAGACTCTAACTAGGACCAAACTTTGAATGGTGGAGCGCCACTTTCGTTGTTTTATTCATTTATTTGGACTTGTTCAATATTCCGATCATTTTTTTTCTTTTAATATGAACTTTTACATCCAAACTTTCTTTCCTAGTTTATAATATTTAAGATTTTTATTAATATGAGATGCTTATAACTCCGTATACGTTCAAAATTTTTCTTAATCTTTACACGTCTTTAAACGTAATTGTTTGAACTTAAATCCTCTAAAGAGAACAATATTTTATTTTACTACTAAAGTCACTCAATAAGTTCTAGTTTACACAGTAATGAATTGAAATAGGGTATTGAGATGATCACGTTCTTGAAAATTTTAAATTTTATTATAGTTTAAAGATTTTTTTATGTTTCTTATTAATAATTTGATATTATATTTTTGAAGTTTCACGTTCCTTGAATTTATAATATAATTTTTCAAGAGTCGGTCACTACAAACATGAGATTCTAGGTCTACATGTCTACTTTTGAAACAATGGTTAAAATACACATTATATTTTATTAAATATATCGAATGTTGACTCTTGAGTTTTTAGAATGTATGTCCATCCAACCCGTTCGAATGAATTTTATTATGCTTATATGCGGTGTACTTATGTATGTATTTTATTGTCCTTGGTTAAGGCATCAAGTCCATGTAGCTCTCGGGTTGTAGGTTGATTTAATAAATACGTAGTTTCGTTAAAAACAATTTTGAATAGTTTATTTTCAAATTTTGGAAAAGGGTAACTCATGCAAGGAATTATATGGTCGCTTCAACTTTACAAGGAATGGCGATGTAACACAAAAATTTCGATCCTTCTCACATAATCTTCTCGTTATGGCTTTATTGCCATAAACTTAAATATTAATTAAACAAAAAAAATTAACATAAAAGATGGAAATCTAAAAATATGAAGAGAGATTAAGAAAACAAAGTTTTTATTAGGATGCGAATCAAATCAGCATTATGACTCAAATGTTTAATAAATAATATCATTTAAAAACCCAAAAACAATGACCTTACCCGAGGAACTCAACGGATAAAATTGAAGTTGTGAGTAAAACATTGTTTAGAGACCAACTTGAGAGAAAGTAATTAGTAGAGATATCAACTTAAGGTTCGATTCGCTTCGACTCCATCCATCATGCAAGCATTGTTAATGGAGAACTTTACAAGCAGAGCCAGAGTACGTGAAAAAGAAAAACCATTAGGAAAATCGATTGTTCCATATCTATTTTGCAATGGCCATTGCATAGCAATAACATCGATGGTTCAATATCAAAATAATAAAGAAATCAACAAACTCGAAATTAAGACCAAAAAATATGTGGATGAATGATAGCTACAAATACCTTGACAGAGAAAACGAATCGCAACTACTGTTGCAGCAAACCTCGTTCTAAGCTAATCTACAATCCTCCACCATGCTCCTCCTTCGGTCAATAATATCGAACCACTTGAAACTCCAGAGCATAGCTCACGTTGCGATGCCGCCAATTGTTCATCCTCTGCCAAAATAGCCACATCATCAGTTATAAGACATAATACCTAAACATCATCTCTTCACCTATATTTGCTAACTTCATTTGAATTCGAAACTTTGGTAAGTGTCAATACCTAATATCCGGTTTGTTTTATAGCATCGGAAACTTGAAAGGATTCATGTTATAAAATCTGGTTAGGTTTTTGTTTATGAGAAACCGATTAATAAGAGGTTCACAAATACGTTCAACATTTTATGTAGGCTGTGCATGCACGCATGTGTGTGACAAAAGGTGTTTTTGCGGATTAATTAGAAGATTACCGGATCAAGAAAAGTTTGCAATCCGCAGTCTTGAGACCTTCTGGTGCTAAATCATTCATTTCTTCAGAAAAGGTTTCTGACAAACTAGTAGGCGCTGATCACTCCCGTTCTGGTGCTAAATATTCTTCAATGTTTTCAGATTAAGAAAGTAAACACTTTTTACCCGAGACTAAAAGTATAATAGAACTGAGTTCCGCATCGTTTTGCAGCAAAACCCAGAGTCGAGGTAAAATGAAATATAAGAACAACCCAGAAAAAAAAAGAAAAAAAAACTTGTAAAGCTGGTGAAATATATAAAAAAATGAAAGGTTTCACATCGATAATTTAAGGAGGTGGAGATGTTACCTTAGCGTAGATTTGAATCGCAGCAGCCAGAGAGAGGGAGGGGACGTGAGGCCAGAATAGTCTAGGCCAAGAAGGAAATAAGGGTAAGTACGAGTTATTTATATAAGGTAAAAATACATTTTGGTACCTAAATTTAGTTTCAATATCAATTTAGTACCTGAGTTTTTATTGGTCCATTTAGCAGAGCAGAGACAAATGTGGCAACCCTTATCCAGTTATGTCGATGGCAGTAATCGATGTTGCTGTAGATCAATACCACTGTTTTGTCGTAACTCGTAAGTCTACCAAACATCTGCTGTTTACTCATCAAATACGCTTTTAGTTTCAATGGCATGTGATTATGTTTTCCCTACAGGAGGATATACAACTCATGAAAGATATGGGGATGGATGCTTCTTGGTTTTCGATAGCTTGGTCTCGGATATTCCCTAGTAAGTTCGCACATTTTGTGTTTGAAGGAAGTTGCCTGTGCATCTGTAACCATTTCGTTGTTCTTGGAACAGATGGTAGTGGGGAAATCAATTAAGCAGGTGTTGATCATTACTATAATCTCATCAATGCTCTGCTTGCTAAAGGTATTCTTTACATTATATGTGTATGATTGTGTGTGTTGTGATGCAGGAACTGAACCATATGTGACACTTTACCATTGGGATCTCCCTCAAGAATTGGAGGACAAGTACACCGGTTGGCTCGATCGCTCAATTATGTAAAACGACGTTCTTTACTGAGTAATGAACATGGCCCTGGACATTTGCAGATTTGACTTCACTATGTATGCTGATACATGCTTCGAGAAGTTCTGCGACAGGGTGAAGCATTGGATCAAATTTAATGAACCTCATTTGTTCTCATACAAGGCTATTATACAGGATTCGAAGCACCAGGTGGCTGCTCGGCATGGTTCTGCATGGGTGGAAACTCTTCTACCGAACCTTACATTGTTGCTAACAATGTCCTCTCTCATGTAGCAGCAGCAGATGTTTATAGGAAAAACTACGGGGTAAAAAAGTCAGGTTACTTTAGACTGTTCGGTTCCACTTCGGACCATGACTACGCAGGCAACATAAGTAGTTTCACATTGTCTGCAACATGCTATGCAGGATAAACAAAATGGATCGATGGGGATATCGTTGGACGTTATGTGGTATGTATCAGAGACAAATGCAACAGAAGACATCGAAGCAACTGAAAGGGTCCAAGATTTTCAGATTGGCTGGTAACTGCAATCATCTTTATTCTTTATTCTCGCAAATTCTTTCTCTTGCAGTTATGTTACACCGTAATCCCCTGCAGGTTTCTTGACTCATTGATCTTCGGAGATTATCCGAGCTCAATGAGAAGCCAAGTTGGAACTCGACTGCCAACCTTTACGGCATCCGAGTCGGCTCTTCTAAAGGGATCATTAGATTTTGTCAGCAACAACCATTACACTACATATTATGCAAGTGAAAACAAAAGTAATTCGATCGGCGATCTACTTAATGATGTCGTATCGGATGCCAAGCCTATGCAATACGTAAGTAAACTGCATTTCATAACTGATCAATAGTATTATGTTTCTATCCTTTGCCTGTTAACTGAAACACTGCTTTGTTCTTAATGTAAGCAGCTTTCAAAATAGCCGGGAAACCTATAGATGTGGTAATTCGATTCGAACTTTCGTATATCGTTTCAGTAACGACTGATTCCTACCGAAAATTTTCGTTATTTATATGATCAAATAGCAAATCTGATATCGTTTCCGCTTTCTTTTAACTTCCTTTGCAGGCAAATTCTATACGGTTATACATTGCACCGTATGGCATGAGAAGCCTAATGAAGTAAATCAAGAAGTATGGAAACCCTTTAGTCATTATCACAGAAAATGGTATACATACATACATTCTTTATGTGATTTTATTATAGGAATGGATGATCCAAAATGCACATCGATCCCAATTGAAGATGCTTTGAAGGATGAGAAAGGAATCAAATATCACATTGATTACTTAACCAACCTGCTTGCTGCTATCGAGTACGTATATCATATGTTATTCGAATTCTTCATTTCGTATTTAAAAAAATATTCGTATCGGATGCGGTTAACTATTATTATGATGCTGGCAAGATGGTTACAATGTTAAAGGGTATTTTGCATGGTCTCTGTTGGATAACTGGGAACGGTCAGTTGGATACACTTCGACATTTAGTCTATATGTGGTGGACTAAAATGGTTCAAGAATTGCTTTGCATATCTGATTGATCATATATGCATACGTTCAACCCGATTCGAATATGAATATATAATATGATACTTTGATATATTTTGTAATGTGTATATTCATATAAAATAAATACTAATAATATATTTGACGTTTGTGTCAAATTCTGATATAAAATTTTAATTTTATGATTATATGATCCTTTCTATATACATTATTCTATGGTTCAAGAGTAAATTATTTTGTTAGTGCACGAACTAACTTATCCCAGTGGTTAAAAGAATCGTTGTTGTTCCTAGAGGTTACAGGTTCGAACACCAATGACTCAAGCGTGATGAGTGTTCATTGTCAAATTATTAAGAGTACTTAGGACAGATACTACCTTATAATCACGTTAGCTTAATAAAAAAAATTATCTTGTTAGTCGTTGAATTTTAAAATAAAATAATTTTAGTACTAAATTTTTGACATTGATGCTTTTGTGGCCATCTTAGATATTGACAAACTTATTTCATCGTCCTTTATCACTTTATCGGTTTATATTTTTTTTCAAAACTCTCTCAAGCTCAAGGAATTAAACATAAAATCTATCACTTTTGGAGTTTGGGAATTGCTCGGATTTGATGGTCTAGGTGTTTGTTCAAAATCTAAATGGTGAGAAGCGTTCTTTCGAGAAAATGAACAATATACCTCAAAATTAATTTCATCAGATAACCATTAGAAGAGATCGAAGTATTAAAATATCAAAACTTTAGATGGATTTTTTTCCGATTTTGAGTAGATTTAATGAAAAATCAATTGGCATAATGTTAAAATTAGTCCCCCGACGTTTACTAAAATGATCATTTTAGCTCATATTCTTTTTTTAAACAGTATTTTAGCCCACCCCCAACGTTTTATTTTGGGACAAAAAGCCCCCTCTATAAATGAAAAACATTAGTTAACACACCATTAACGCTCTAAAATAAGGTTTTTTACCCTAAAATGAAATGTTGGGCGCCAATATACTCCAGAAAAATGAATAAGGATTAAAGTGACTATTCTTTCAAATGTTAGGGATATTTTTGTCCTAAAATGAAACGTCAGGGGCCAAAATACTTCAAAAAAAAATAGGAGTTAAAATGATCATTTCGATAAACGTTGGATACTAATTTTGATATTATGTGAAATTAATTTGATGAGGGAAAATATTAAAATACAAACATTTTGATATCGATTTTATAGTGAATAAAAATCAATAACAGATGACAATTGACTAATATGATAAACAAAAGAAATAAAATTGAAAAGAAACTACCATGTCGTCATAGTGCTAGTGATTCAACGACAAACAAATCAATGTCTAGTAACAAAACTGAAACTTTTTAAATGATAAACCGTTATGCAAATTAAAGTTTAATGACAATTTAATCTTTTTAGAGTTTAGTGACCGTAACATCTACAACAACACTGGCTCCTGCAATGTTGTACTGAATCAATTTCAAGGCTAGCTTTTTTTTTCTCTCAATTCAAGTGATAAAGAGTTCGGTCAAGGATGAAATCAAAATTTTAAATGTATATTTTTAGGAATTAAGATGTTGGGGGAACAAAAGAATTATGTTAAAATAACTTATATTGAATTATTTATTTTTTTATTTGAAAAAATATATATTTATTTTGGAAGGGCCTTTAAATTTAAAGGTTAGAAATAACTAAATTAATTTTACAAGTAAAATGAATTATTAGTATATTAAAATAAAATGTTTCTAGAAGAACATTATTGGTCCCCTACGTTTTAAAAAGTAAAACGGGGACGGTGGCCCAATTGCATTACAAAGCAAATGGGAGCTTTGGGGACCACTTTTTGCCTTTCAGCAAAGGATGAACTTGCAAATCTTACAAAAATTTGAATCCTCCAAAGCAACATTATTGCAAAAGCTGACTTCTACGTATAAAATTAAAATATCAGATACATTCATCATGAATGGAAATAAAAATATTCAAAAAAAAAAACTCGACTCGATTGAATCAAACATGAAATATGGGATTTATTTCTTTATTATTTAAAATATTAAAAATTACATACTTTATTATTATTATCATTACAAAATATAAAAAATATATATATCCTTTCATTTATGTTTATGATTCGAATTAATTATTTGATTTTGATCCCCTAAATGCGATTTTACCTACACTGATCATCCATCAAATAAGACCATCGATATTTGTTAACTTTTGTTATACATCAGTAGTGAAAAATAAAACATATTTAATCTCATGTATTAAGCACATGGCATTGATTTATAAGTAATTCTCTTTGACCTTTGGGTTTATTTATTTATAAAAAAAATACATTTTAAAAGAATTTTATCTATAAATAATTGGGCAAGTAAGCTATCTGACCTGTTAACTAATTTCAATTATTTAGTATTGTCCACAAAATTGTTTTACTCGTAAATATATGTTTTGTCTAATATATATTTAGATCATGCTAATAACTATTATATTAGTCTTTCCGGTCTGAAGTTGATATTGAATTTAAAATTGGTATTTAAATTTTATATTTTAGTTTAAATTGATACTTTAAGTTCGAATCTGAAGGGGAAAAAAGTTTATCAATTTGAACTAAATAATTAAATTCTAATTCTAATTTGAACCTTACCTCTTAAAATGTTCAACTATGTTAAACCTCGTGGTAAATTGTATAAGATAATCCAAATTCATGCACTCTGATTTGATAAAAAGAAAGTATCAAATTGAATGATGAAATTAAAATCAAGTACCCGAATGTATATTTTACCAAATAATTTTCTCCTAAGATTCTAGAAAAAGGAGAAAATAGTTGAAGCTGCATTTGTCATTAAGTGCTAACTACTTGACTTGGATATAACTCCCATCTTCAATTTAGGATATTTATTATAACATTTTTGTATGACAGGGGTGGGGTGTTGAAAATTTTGGGAATTTTCGACATCTTATGTTTAGCATCATCAAATGTAAATCATTTACAATTTATCACTAAATTAATTTAAACTTAAGTTTTACTTCGATTTATTACAATTTAAATTTAGATAAAATTTATATAGTATCATTATATTATATTCAAATAATATTTTAAAATTCAAAGTTTGCTCCTGAATGGAGACTTTATTAAATAAATATATTAATTTTATTTAAAGTAAAATACACAAATAACCTTTCAATTATGATGTATTGTTTTGTTTAGTCATTTGACTATTAAAAGTTTCAAATAGTCATCAAACTATTTATATGTTTCAAACTCATCATTTTCTATTAAAATTGACGGTCGCCTGAGCTTTATATTAATTTGCTGACTATGATATGATAAAATATGATTCCAAAATCGTTTGAGTTGTAGTTTGTGGATCGAGTCTTCATTTATATTATGTTGTTGAGTTAATGCTCGAAACATTATGTCATCAATTAGTACTTGAATGCAGCAACGGTGCTTATAGACACCACTAAAATATGATTGTCATATCTCAATCAGCATGTTAACGTCTAACTCAGTTTGTCATCAATTTTTTAACAAAAAATGATAAATTTGAAACATATAAATAGTTTAGACGATCATTTTAATAATCGAGAAACTCAACAAAATAATATCTTATAATTGGGAGACTATTTGTATAATTTACTATTTTATTTCCGATGTCGCATTATAGTTAATTGGACCATCATTTTCTTATTCATATCTTCCACATTAAGAATCTCAAAAGCAAATTGTCAATTGGGCATGCATTTACCAATTGCCATACCAAGATATTCTAGGAAACTTTCCACATCGTGGCTAGCCCGTCGTATATTAATTTTGTCATTTGTCTAAGATAATTTTCAAAAAAGAAGAATATAAAATTCGACGTTTCTAGAAAAACATTTCGTTAAAAAAGTGTTAAACCTTTTAACAAAAGCAATACATGAAATGACTAATGACTTTGTCTTCAATTTATTATTATAAACAAAATTGTTTCAATGTCAAATAACATAAGAAATAAAATTAGATGCAATAAATGTTAAAAATAGATTTCAAGTCAAAGTACGGTATCAGATTAGTAAAGTTACAAATAGATAAAAGTGTCGACGGATAAAGATAATTTTAATAAAATCGTTTATAGACGAAGATAAATTTGATAAAGGCATTGACTATTATCTATTTAAATTGAAAATTTTGATACTCTCAATTAGTTTAATTTGAATTTTGATGATTTTACTTAGTTATATTTTTTAAATATTTTAAATTGATCTATTTGAGAAAATGGCACATATATAATGTTTATAGATAGTATGTAATAAATTCATTTTAAAGAAATACAAATGCTTGCATCATATAATATTTTTACCGTGTCCTTAAACTTTGAAATTTGAAATATGAATTACTCATTCAAAGATAAATCTGAATTTGAATTCAAAAAGTAAAAATTATTTTTAAACTCGGAATTTATAATATTTTAAAGAAACTAATATGAAAAACGACATAAAATAATAAATTTGTTTTGAATAAACTTGGAGACACGTAAGCACGTGCGAGAGACGTTTATCTCTTTACCACCACGTTGATCAGAGCAATCAGAAGCGGAATCAGGCAATGGATATCATGAGCCTAACCAATAATCAGCTGGCGCCACTTGTAGGTTCTTGTTGATACATATCCGCTGTATCGTAACCAGCAATCAAAAGATCAGATCAAGTTGTACAAAAATTCCGTGCAACGAACACGTGTCATCAAGCAGCGCTGTGGATTTTGTCCGTTATCAAACCGTCTGTTATAAATAAGATGCGGATGACAGTTTGGTTTGCAATGCTTCCATGGCCTTTGGGACTGAAAGCTTCTAGAAACTTGAGAAATGCAAAGTTGTGATATTTCGACCGAGTTGGTTCCGGGTTTACCCGATGAACTCAGTCTTGAGTGCTTAACTCGGCTACCTTACACAGCTCATAGAGTCGCCTCCCGAGTCTGTCACCGATGGAGGGATTTGCTCCAAAGCCAAGATTTTTACTATCACCGAAAAAAATTAGGGTACACCCAGAAAGTCGCTTGCTTGGTTCAAGCCATTAGCGGTGGAACCGTGAACGGACCTAAAATACCGGGTGAGTTACCGAGTTATGTAGTTGCCGTGTTTGAATCAGTGAATAGGTGTTGGTACAAACTTCCCCCTGTTCCCAAATACCCAATCGGGTTGCCTTCGTTTTGTCAATTAGCAAGCTGTGAGGGGAAGCTTGTGGTGTTGGGCGGGTGGAACCCAGTGAGCTACGACCCGGTTACCGACGTTTTTATCTACGATTTCACGGCTCAGCAATGGAGTCAAGGGAAGGATATGCCATCGAAAAGGTCTTTCTTTGCGGTTGGAGCATGTTCGGGTCGTGTCTATATTGCGGGCGGGCATGACGAGAACAAGAACGCGCTGAGAACGGCGTGGGTTTATGATTTGATAAACGACGAGTGGACTCAGCTGGGTGAGCTGAGTAAAGAGCGTGACGAGTGTGAAGGCGTAGTGATCGGGGAAGACGAATTCTGGGTTGTGAGTGGGTACGGTACGGAGAGTCAAGGTCAGTTCGACGGGAGTGCTGACGTTTACGAGTTCAAGTCGGGTCAATGGAGGGTGGCGGAAGGTGTTTGGGAACCAGGTCGGTGCCCGAGATCGAGTGCTGGGATTGGAAAAGACGGGAAATTGATAGACTGGGCGGAGTTGGACCCTGTCGTTCGGGTCGGGTCGCGCGGGATTACGCTTGGGGATCTGGTCTTGGTCACCGGGTCGGAGTATCAAGGTGGACCGCACGGGTTTTATATGGTGGAACTCAAGGGGGAGCAAAATGGTAAATTGAAAAAAATCAGTGTGCCTGATGAGTTTTCAGGGTTTGTCCAGTCGGGCTGTTGTGCGGAAATCTGATTAAGGCAGAAAACAATGCAAAACTGTTGCTAATTTCTGTTTTACTACTACAATTTTGTTCACTTTCAATTTTGATGTACATAAATCAGTCTTTTTCTTATTCTAGATAATAATATTATGAATATACGTTTTTATAGCTTTAATATGGTCAAAGGTAATAGTTTACAAAGAGACTCAAACTTGTGTTACAACCATCGATTTAAGCTTTTTGGGTTCACTGCTCATTCCAGGCTGACTGACAGATGGGTTGGGTTTTTCATTCCACCCTAATCCGATTTTAATATTTATATCTGATGGTTTTTATACTTTAAAATTCATATCCACCCAAAAAAAAAATATATAGAAAGATGAATATTATAATAATTACATCTAAATATATATTATATTATTATTATTTTCGAGTTAAATTAAATATTTTATCATTTCAACTCAATTAGATATTATTTGATTCGACACAAATTTAAATTATCAATTAAAAGTTTAATCTTAACAACGAATTAAAACTTATTAATTTTGAGTCAAATGTCCATGCATACAAGGTTTTATTATTATATAAAATTTGGAATTTGATTCTAAAAATTTAAAGTTAATACAATCGAATAAAATTAAATATTGGCATTATTTATTCAACCAACAGAATAGGTGGGCTGACAGAAAATATTATAGGTTCCAATACTAAAATATACCTATCTTTGCATTTGTTCCTTCAATCTCTACCTCCAATTACAGAGAATTTCGTACTGTGTCATCTTCTAAAGATGATAACACTTGGTGTTGCTGTGATGGTCGTTAATGGTGTCCTTAAACATTAAATAGGCAGCTGTATTTCTCTGTTATGTTATGTTTGACTTTGGAGTTATACACCAATCAGACGGCCGTGTATAGAAACTTTTTTCATTAAGGGATGATGTATTACCAGACATGGCCAACCTGGATCCCCTAATTTTATTCGCATTCCATTACAGTTTGCGTATGAACATGTTCTTTCCAATTATGTAACATGACATGGCCACAAACCCCAAAGAATATTGCTTCATCAATGCATGTTCATATGATCTTAAATTATGATTTTTTATTTTAAAATAATCCGTAACCTTTTAAATATTTTAGTTTTATCCCTAAACTATGACATTCATTTTAAATTAATTCCCAAACTTTTTAAACATTCTAATTTCATCTCAACCTATTGTATCTACTAATCACATTTATTGTTAATGAAATTATTAGGTCAAGTTATATTATTATATGATTGATAAAACACGAAATTGAAGAAACTTATTGTTAAAAAGAAAAATTGAAGCTACATTATATTCTATGATGATTGAGGAGGATGTGATTCAAATTTAATTAAGTAAATTTAAAGAAATAAAAGAATCAGAACCAAATCATAAAATAATTAAATTAATTTGTTAAAAGTCAAAACGATGTAGTTTTAATTTTTGATTATTTGAAATTTATAAATCCAAGTTTAATTTAAATTTGAAATTAGAACAAATATTAAAATAAACTCAAATAGTTTAAATAACTCAATTCTAATAAATAGAATTTAAAAAATTCAAATTTTTTGAGACATAATTTTATTCACCACTCATGTTGGAGTCATATAAAAATCAGTATTCAGTCCATCTCTCCGGTCTTATTGACTTTCACAGTATACAATTTCAATACTTCTCCCACTCTGTGGTGAAGAGAAGGAAGAAACGCGAGCATATCTAAAACTGGTAGAGGTCAAATGAATCTGCTGTAACCAAGTACGCTACTTTATTTTTATGCAGAAACTGTCAAAATACCTACTTTGGAGCAACCACTAGTTTATATTCTATTATTTTGTTGCAGATCCAGAATTCAACGTAGGTTTAAAAGATACTTTTTTTTAAGATTCTCTTTCACAGACCCCATTGGTGAGCTTGGTAGAAGATAATGCCTTTAAAACTAGCATGTTTTCATGCTTTTAGCCATTTCAGGATCATACCAGAACCAGAGCTTTCTCGTTGAAGACCATCATGTACGTAGTGGAGAGCAAAGGAGGCGCCATAGCATGCATGCTTTTAGCTCTTTTCTTCTTGGGCACATGGCCTGCAATTATCACTCTGCTCGAGAGACGAGGACGCCTCCCTCAACACACTTACCTTGATTATACAATCACAAATCTTTCGGCTGCTGTTGTTATAGCTTTAACGTTTGGTCAAATAGGAGACAGTACGGTCGACAGACCCAATTTCTTCTCTCAACTTTCTCAGGTGAGTCCTCCCCCCCCCCCCTTTGGCCTGTTGGTTCCTATAGCCGCTAGGAGAAGTGGTAATCAGCTAGTTCGGTGTTCGAATCCTGATATTTGATTGCTGTATCATTTGTTCTCTACATATTCTCATGGGAATTTGATGCAGAACCAAATCATTTGTTCATAAAAGAATCAGAACCAAATCATAAAATAATTACTACTGATTACCACTTGTTCTCACCAATTGAGGAGGTGAAGCTACATAGTGTCTGTTTGAAGATGTTAGTCGATACGTTAACCAAACTTGCCATACATATGGAACATTGTCAGTTCCTGTTTCCCATACGCTGTGCCGATCATTGTTGCCATTGTCTCTTGTGTTCCTTCCTGCAAACATGTTTGAAACTGATACATACTCTAAACTCAAAGCTACCCTTCATATGATGGCTCTTGCTATTGTTGTCGGTCAAACATTCTCGAATCATTTTCGAGGGAACACTGGCAGATATTGATTCGAAAACCATAAACATAGACTCTAGATTCTGTGCATGGTTCAGGAGAAGTTGAATATCGAGTAGAACTTGACCATTCCTTGGGTAGAAAGCATAGTTCAAATGCATGTTGAAAACCCCTACAAATGTAGTGTAAACCAGAAAAAAATGAAACTTTAGGTCAGCAAGGATTACCAGTTCAAGTACTACTGAACTTCTCTGGAGTTTTCTTCTCCCTCTCCTCACCAGCATTCAACTTGGCAACGAACAATCATGGCACACTTTTAATCTCACACTGCTGGTAGATGCATCGAAATAGAAACCAATATACAGAACACGGTGTGTTGCATAGTCTCAAGTAGATCAGCTTTTCAAAGACTGCAAAAAGAACTGTATTGCTCTGTCAACTAACTTTCATAATGCTTATCCATCCATGATAGACTGTCCGAATGAAGAGATCATTTATTATCGTAAAATCGGCCATATGAGATATCTAGAGCTGTTGAATCGTAAAACTGATTAAGAACTTCTGAACTCAATGCATCAAGATCAAGCCAGCGTGGTAACTCAAGAAGTTCTACGATATGCAAAACAGTTTCCGCGTGAAATGTTTCAACGGTAATGGTTGCTGATAGTGATTTCTTTGCAACTATCACAAATATTTGTAAACGCTAGAAGGAGGGCTTGAACCTCCGACCTTGTCGGTTAACAGCCACACGCTCTAACCAACTGAGCTATACCAGCTAGGTTGAACATATCGATTTAAAATTAAATTATCCACATAGTTAACAAATAACAGTGCCGCTACAATTCGCAGTTTATGTGTAATCAATGATAGAACGAGAGCGATACAATCTTTGCAGTTTGTACGCTGAGATGTGGAGAAAAGCAGTGTTTTCAACATCTTTCAGAGCTTTCTCTTCATCCTCTACAACTGAAATCCCCACCCTTTACTCTTTTCTTCAACCTTCAATTTTTGCCTTAAGACCAAACGAGCAATCAAAACAAACCCAGGACTCTACAAATTCTCAAACCAAAACCCTAACTGAAGACCAAAAAAACACTCTAGAAACCACCCTTGAGAAATCCCTTGTCACCCAAAACATCGATGAAGCCTGGAAATCATTTAAAATCCTCACCGCTTGCTGCAGTTTTCCCAGTAAGCCCCTCACGAACTCCCTTATTACCCACTTATCATCCTTGAAAGACACCCAAAATCTGAAAAGGGCATTTGCCTCTGTGGTTTTTGTGATCGAAAAGGACCCAAAGTTGCTGTCTTTCGAAACCGTGACTACCCTTTTGAGTTCCATGAGTGTGGCCAACACCGCCGCCCCTGCTTTTGCTCTTGTAAAATGCATGTTCAAGAACAGGTATTTTGTCCCTTTTGGCTTGTGGGGTAATATACTTGTTGATATTAGTAGGAAAAGTGGTAGACTTGTTGCGTTTTTGAGGGTTTTTGAGGAATCTTGTAGGATTGCAATTGATGAAAGGTTGAATTATTTGAAACCTGATTTGGCTGCTTGTAATGCTGCTCTAGAATGTTGCTGCTATGAACTTGAATCGGTTTCGGATGCTGAAAAAGTAGTGGCAACTATGTCTGTCTTAGGTATTCGGCCAGATGAATCTAGTTTTGGTTTCCTTTCATATTTGTTTGCATTGAAAGGGCTTGAAAAGAAGATAGATGAGCTAGAAAATCTTATGTCCGAATTCGGCTTTTCAAATAAACAAGTGCTTTACAATAGCTTGATTGGTGGGTACGTTAAGTCGGGCTACATAGACTTAGTTTCAGCTACGATTTTGCGTAGTTTGAGGGAAGGTAATGGGAAAGATTTGCATTTCAATGATGAAACTTTTTGTCAAGTGGTTAAAGGGTATATTCAGAATGGAGTTGTGAAGAGTTTAGCTAGGTTGATCATTGAAGCTCAAAAGTTGGAGTTTCATGTGCTTGAGGTTGACAAGTCTATTGGATATGGCATCATTAGCGCTTGTATTAATCTCGGTTTATCAGATAAGGCACATAGCGTTGTTGATGAAATGAATGCTCAGGGTGGTTCCGTGGGGCTTGGAGTGTATGTGCCTATCTTAAAAGCTTACAGCAAGGATCTTAGAACTGCCGAAGCAACTCAATTAGTAATGGATATTAGTACTTCAGGGCTTCAGTTGGATGCAGGAATGTATGACATGCTAATAGAAGCATCGATGACGAGTCAGGATTTTCCATCTGCTTTTACATTGTTTAGGGATATGAGAGATGCAAGGATACATGACTTGAAAGGGAGTTATCTTACTATAATGACGGGTCTGATGGAGAACCAAAGACCCGAATTGATGGCCGCATTCCTAGATGAAGTTGTTGAAGACCCTCGCATTGAAATAAAAACTCATGACTGGAACTCAATTATTCATGCTTTCTGTAAAGCTGGGAGGTTGGAAGATGCTAGGAGGACTTTCAGAAGGATGACTTTCCTGCAGTTTGAGCCAAATGATCAAACATATTTGTCCCTCATTAATGGTTATGTGACTGCAGAGAAATATTTCAGTGTTTTGATGCTATGGAACGAGATTAAATGGAAAATTTCGGGTGATAAAGGGAAGGGCATCAAGTTTGATCACAACTTGGTTGATGCGTTCCTATATGCTCTCGTTAAAGGAGGTTTCTTCGATGCAGTGATGCAAGTCGTGGAGAGGTCTCAAGAAATGAAAATTTTTGTGGATAAGTGGAGGTACAAGCAAGCATTCATGGAGAAGCATAAGAAGCTTAAAGTGTCAAAGTTGAGGAGGAGGAGCTTCAGGAAGATGGAGGCACTTATTGCTTTCAAGAACTGGGCTGGTTTGAATGCATAAATATCGGTAGTATTTCTGAAACTGAGAGAAACATCAAAGCTGACGGAGTTCTACTTGTCTCAAGGCATCAATATCACCATGAACTTTGTGCTACTTTGTTCACTTGAAATATGTAGATGTCCTGGAAACTCGAAGCTCACTTGAAATACTGAGATGCCTAGAAACCAGAAGCCTTATTTGGGAGGAAACATCTCCTGGTCTTCTATCAATTTATTCTATACCATAGTCGATAGGTGAATCGGTGAATTACATTTCCTTCTTTTAGAATATGACAGAGATTATTTGCTCTATACTGAGAGAATTTGGAAGTCCCGACTCAGTGTAATCAGTTTGAAAATGCAATGAAAAAGTAAAATTTGTTTTCCCCCATATTTTGCTAGATAGGTAAAATGTTATGCTGGTACTCTACAATTCTCAACTGGCAATGGCATTTACACTTTCTTCCATCGACTACCTGACCAGCACTATTGTTGTTGCAGACCCTCTCATGTCAACTTGCTCTTCATTGCAGAATTCCAGAAGCTTTAGCTTGGTTCTAATGAGCCCGTTCACTCTTAACAGGTTCCAATGTCATTGTCCTGCTCAGTTTCTCTACGACGTATCCCTTGTTTGATCAAAGTGAGGACTAGTGCAATACTGGTTTGGTTATCGTGTTTGTATTCTTGAAAAGGGGTGAATGGAATAGGGTTGCCACAAAATGCACCCACATCCACCTTTTGTGTTTATGATTCATTGAGGGGAATAGACTCAGGCTATTCTTTGGAGCTTCCGAAGCTCCAGTGTTCATCATCCACATCGATATACGAGTTCTGAGATGAAGGGGATCCCATGAAGTGAAAATTCGGTATCTTTGCAGTATAATGATTCTTACTGTACTCCTGCATGTAAGGACTGTGAAACCAGTGGAGGTTTGTGTGGATTTGTTGGTATGGACGAGTCATTTTCTTCCTTTTGCAGTAGAATAGAGTTTTCCAATACTTTTCTTCGCTTTCTTCAACAATCCCATTACTTGCTTTCAGTTGGGTCTAGAGACAATGAACTTGAAATGTCCATTAAGCGAGGTCTCGATCAAGTCTCGTGAATAATAATAATAAAAATTTAGTCTTGAGAGAAGGTCTGATTCGACTTGACTCCGAATTTAATCATTCATTGAGAAATTAGTCCAATTAAAAAAAAATACTACTCCTATTAGACACTATTGTTAAATCACAGACTTAAAAATTAACGATCCAACAATTTATATATAAAGAACTAGCAAAAATATGATTCAAGTTTATATGTTTACCAACAAAAGAAATTTCTCAGTTTTTGTAGAGCATGGTGATTAAATTCTAATAAATCAAAATGGAACTATGGAAGGACTAACATTTAAATTTTATAAAGTGGAAGGATGAAATTGAGAATTAGACAAGTAATGAATAAATTGATAAAAGATGGCGCGAAACGTAGATGTGGTGAAATTAGTTACAAAATACAAAATAAAATCAGAAATTTCAGAAAATAACGCTACTCCATCCACAGTTCCACATCCAGTCTATCTTCACCATTTTCTTTTCTTTTCTTCTTTTCTTTCATTTTAATTTCTGTTTTCTTTTTTGTTAATCTCTGGTTTCTTTTTATTTATTTAAAAATTTAATATGCAAATACGAATTTCAAATACTTGTTGAAAACAGAAAGGCGGTTGAGGTCAGAGGCTGCCTCCGACGAGTTTGATTTCAGCAGGGGCTTTAATGTTCCGAAGTCAGTTTTGTTTTTGTTTTTGTTTTTACTCTCTCGATTATTTTCTTTATTATTATTATTATTATTTTGAAAATTTTCTGTTATAAACATTATTTCATATAGTGATTTGATGATAACTGTAACAGTGCAACTTATCTTCGTGATGAAAATGCTCGTTAATTTGGAACTTAATTTCATTTTTCTTCAATAATGCGGAGACAAATTTGTTCGTTCGATGAATTTAGTGAAAAAAATGTTATCGAATTTTACAAGTTTCAAATTCGATAGCGAAATTTCTTCGATTTCTTTCTCATATATACGATTTTAAATTTCCAGCGGTTTCATGTTTGTATGAGTGTTTCCCCAATTTCCTGATAAAAAGGGTGTTAAAAACTTCAATTTGAAGAATGCATTCATTATTTTTTCCTGAATTAATGTTATAAAATATTTTGTTTTGTGAAATGTTAAGCTTTGATGCATTGCTTAGGCTCTGTGTGTATACATATATATATTCTTCAAAAAGAAATTTCATTTTATAGCTTCCTGGGTTTTTATGTTACTAGGTAATGCTTGGAGCTGTTGAAATGTCAATCTCTTAACTGCTCATGGAAATGGTGACCTAATTTGGGATTTCACTTGGTTCCTTTCAAGTTATGGACATTGACCATGAGAATGGAGCCAGTAAGAGTTCAGAAATAGACGTAGAAGGAAGTGTTGGGAGTGGAATCAATGAGGATTCATTGAGACAACCAGAACTTATCGCCGGAAACAGAAATAGGAGGGATTCGAGTGAGAGTACTGGAATTAGTGATCAATTAAACGAACAACTAGAACTTGATGTTGAAACTGGAAGTAAACCTTTAGAAGCATATCCAGGAGGAAGAAAATGTGACCCTTTTTACGTTAACCCAGATGTGTCTGATGCAAATGAAAGTAATAAAAGTATCTCATCTGAACGGCTGAGGCTGTCGTCCTCTTCATCCTCACCTGGTTCATCTATAGATGATCAGGTTGAAGCTAATACAAACCTATCAGAGACCAGATCAGGCACAGCTACGACTTCTTATGCTGAACATGATGATGAACATCATGTATCTGGTGGTTCAACACCTGAATCTAAAGTTCCTAGTCATATGGATGAATCAACACTGACACAATCTCCTCCAATCCAAGTGATGGACAGAGTCCTAAAAGGATTCGATCCTTATAGGATCCCGTCTTCGGTCTTTGATAAAAGTGAATCAACAAATCCTGCAGATTGGAGTACTGCTTCTAACGATTCATTGTTTAGCATCCAAGTAGGGAACACTAGTTTCTCCAGAGATCATTTTCTAAGCTTAAAATATGGGGAATTTTTCAAAGATGAGTTATTTACATTAATTACTTCACCAGTTGCATATGCAGTGGAGCCTGACAAAACGAGTTTTGAATTTGACAAGATATCAGATTATACCGCAGAGGATAAAACATACCCAAGTGCTGAAGAACAAAACGGGGAAACGACATTCTGGAACTCACCCAGCACTTCTCGTCGTTCTAATGAAACTGGAACCAGTGAATATTCCTTTGCCTTTCCAGTGTAAGTTAATGACATTCTCTATCAGCAATTATCCTATTTTTGACTATCATATGCTCACCTTGTTATACATGCTTTAAACAAGATGCCTTGGAGTCTATGTAGCTGTTAATGTTAACCTGATACATATATAACCTTAACATTTATGTATAGTCATATAGAAATTTCATGCCTAATGCTTGCTCAATGAGGAATTCATACAAGAAGAAGGGTGCATGGCCATCATGCTACTATTCCGATTGTAGCAGCCTAGCAGGGCATTCTGCTCCTGTCGGAATCATAGCATAAAAAGATGGTATCATCACTCTTGTTCCCTGTATGCTTCTCTCTTTCTCCTTACCTCTATGTCTACCATATATGGAGTATTAGATATAAACGGAACTATGAGAAAGAAATCTTTCTATTTGAAAATTTCCTTGCACTTTATTGCTGCATAATGTACTCAATATTACTTTTTCTCCATGCAAAACAAGATGTATAACCTGATACGGTTTCTTGTTCTCCATGAATACATATATAACCTTTACATGTATAATCGTATAGAAATTTCAAGCCTAATGCTTGCTCGATGAGGAATATACTCCGTTTTCGTTGCAGGATAAAGATGCACGGCCATCATATGGTACCGTCACTCTTGTTCTGTTTATGTTTCTCATTACCTCTATGCTAATCATGTATGATGTATTAGAAAAAAACCGATCCACGAGAAAGTGATGTTTCTTTTGGAATTTCCGTGCATTTTTGCTGCATATTGTACTCAATGCACCCATATCAGCTCATGAATGCCATAAGTTTCGACTGTCATAAACAATATACACTCTCATTGCAGTCTGGAAGGTGACAAATATGTTGTTTCCAATAAAGAAAAAGGGGACCAACATCAGCAGAAACAGCCCCAAGACGAACAGCAGCAGCAACAAGAGGAAGTCGAACAAGAACAAGAGCCCCGGGAATCTGCAGTACCCTCGAAACCGTCTTCTTGGCTCGACAACTGTTCTTGTTTTCCTTGCTGTCGACAGCAATGGCAATGCTGCAATTGGCATTGGTGTCGCACTGGAACAGGTAAGGCTCTCTCATCATGAACTTCCGCATGTATTTTCTTGTATCATAGCGTAATTATGTCGGAGATCGAGTCCTTTGCCAATGAAAACAAAGAGAAATGTCAAATGAAGCAATGGCTGGGAAAGGGAGAATCATCTTCTCCGATACATATGGTTTTGAAGATGGATTACTGATTTTGAGGTAGTTTTTATGTTGAATATATAGCTCTGTAAATTTAATCTCTAGTTCGTTGATACATTAGCATCATTAGATTTATTTCCACCAACTGCTTTATCTTCACATTAGTGATGCATTTTTTGAACTATCCGAATCCAAGATTTAAATTCCGATCACGTTCTATTTTTAATCGCATTACGGGTGTCGCAACCGTCTTTCCGGTTGGGCCCCGGGATTGGGCTTCGACTTAGGGAAATGGATTGGAGTCGCCACCGACCACTTTAAAACGAATTTAGGTGGGCCGGACACCATCTTTCCTGCGTTGTACCAGAAACGTATCGGGTTCGGGAGTCGGTTACGGTCAAGGAAGGATTAGCACCCTTGAATCGCCCTTTCGGTACCAATTAATTTATCAGTTGTCTTAATTGCGAAAAATTAAAATTTAAATTAGAATTTTAAAAAAAAATTCGAATTGCTTACCTTTGATTAGTTGAAAAGTATCCCTAAAGTCAAAAATATTGTTAGATTAAAAAATATATATATATAAAAAAGAAAAAAATATTAATATAATAAAAAGATAAAACAGATAAATAAACGTTAGTAAAAAATAAAAAAATAAAATAAAATAAATAAACCAATCAATAAAAAGTACCAAAATAAATGAAGTTGAAAGATGGCATGACTAAACAAGGATTAACCCTTAGAAAATCCAAAACTCTTCAATTTACACAAACAGATTTAAAGGGAAAACACAATAATTAAAGGGAAAACACGTCAATATACACAAATCAATGTTATTAGCTTGTGGGTCCCCTCCCACTAAATTATGCGTTCCAGAACATACATATAACCTTAAGCTTAAGGTTATGAAAATCACTTTTCCAACAGTAGCCTTATGAGCTTGAATCAGGCACTTGCTCTGTCAAACGTCGACTAGGCCGATGCGGATCTGGAGATGAAGCTTCGGCACCTTATTTCCGACGACCTCTCTTCTTTTCGGTGAAGATCGTCCAAAGATGAGTATCCCCTCTCTCGTGTCTTGTTGGTTTCCCTCACTCTCTAGCTTGGTTATGGGTTGATCTCCGTTCCCCCCATTCCTCCTTATTTTTGCCTCAATTTATAGCCATGAAACTGGCTATTTTTAGATAGATTTGTAGAGTCCTATTCAAACTGAAACGCTCCTTTATTCAGTTTTAGAGTCCCACTTGGACTCAAATGCCTTGATTTAGTATTTTGACTTGGTTGTTATTCTTGTTACCGAGAAATACGAGGATAGTATTGTTGGGCAAAAAATTAGTGTCTACAGCTGCCCCTCTTTGTCCTTTTTCGTGGAACGAAAAATAGGACAAAGATAAAAAGACACAAATTTTGTCCATATCGAACGTCTTCTGCCGTAGAGTTGAAATCCGATGCAATGACTGATCTGTTAATTTAAATTGAGTCACAAAATGACTCCCTCGTCGTGAGGTCGAGTTGAACTGGAAACTTCTGAGTACGATATCCTTCGTTGTGAAGTTGAAATCAAACTCAAAGCTTTTGGAAAGTGACTCCTGGATCGTCTTCTGGCTCAAGATACTTCGTCGTGAAGGTGGAACTTGACCTGAAGACTTTGGTGTTGATGTGTTACAGATGACTCATTCGTCGTGAAGTAAGGTCAACCTATTAGGGTATAATACCCTTCGTTGTGAAGTTGTATATGTATATGGCCCCTTTGTCGTGAAGTTGAGCCTGAGAATGGGATATCCTTCGTCGTGAAGTTGAAATCCAATGTAAGTTGCGTTGTTTCGAGGCCAATATCCTTCGCTGCGAAGTTGAAATTGACTCTGAAACTGGAAAGTGTGTTGACAGACACTCATTCTTTGAGTTGAATATCCTTCACCGTGAAGTTAAAATCCAATCTAAAGATGGATGTTGCTTGTGTGCACGATTCCCTTCGTTGTGAAGTTGAAACCGTTGGTGACCCCTTCGTCGTGAAGTTGAGTCTGGAATTGGATATCCTTCGTCGTGAAGTTGAAATCCAAGTAAGTAGCATTGTTCCAAGTCCAATATCCTCCGTCGTGAAGTTGAAATTGGCTCTGGAACCGGGAAATTGGTTGTTGACAACCAGCCGTCCCTTCGTTGTGAAGTTGAACTTGTGTTGTCTCGAGTCCAACATCCTTCGTTGTGAAGTTGAAATTGATTCTGAATGAAATTTTGTTGACAAGCAGCGGTCCCTTCGTCGTGAAGTTGAACTTGCGTTGTCTGGAGTCCAATATCCTTCGTTGTGAAGTTGAAATTGGCTCTGAGATTGGGAAGTTGTTGTTGACAAGCAGCGGTCCCTTCGTCGTGAAGTTGAACTTGCGTTGTCTGGAGTCCAATATCCTTCGCTGTGAAGTTGAAATTGGCTCTGAAATCGGGAAAATTTGTTGACAACCAGCGGTCCCTTCGTCGTGAAGTTGAACATACGTTGTCTGGAGTCCAATATCATTCGATGTGAAGTTGAAATTGGCTCTGAAATTATGAAATTGTTTATTGACAACCAGGGGTCCCTTCGTCGTGAAGTTGAACTTGCGTTGTCTGGAGTCCAATATCCTTCGTTGTGAAGTTGAAATTGGCTCTGAAATTGAGAAGTTGTTTGTTGACAACCAGTGGTCCCTTCGTCGTGAAGTTGAACTTGTGTTGTCTGGAGTCCACTATCCTTCGCTGTGAAGTTGAAATTGACTCTAGAATTGGAAAATTGTTTGTTGACAACCAGCGGTCCCTTCGTCGTGAAGTTGAACTTGCGTTGTCTGGAGTCCAATATCCTTCGCTGTGAAGTTGAAATTGGCTCTGAAATTGGGAATTTTTTTTATTGACAACCAGCGGTCCCTTCGTCGTGAAGTTGAACTTGCGTTGTCAGGAGTCCAATATCCTTCGCTGTGAAGTTGAAATTGGCTCTGAAATTATGAAATTATTGTTGACAAGCAGCGGTCCCTTCGTCGTGAAGTTGAACTTGCGTTGTCAGGAGTCCAATATCCTTCGCTGTGAAGTTGAAATTGGCTCTGAAATTATGAAATTATTGTTGACAAGCAGCGGTCCCTTCGTCGTGAAGTTGAACTTGCGTTGTCTGGAGTCCAATATCCTTCGCTGTGAAGTTGAAATTGGCTCTGAAATTATGAAATTATTGTTGACAAGCAGCGGTCCCTTCGTCGTGAAGTTGAACTTGCGTTGTCTGGAGTCCAATATCCTTCGCTGTGAAGTTAAAATTGGCCCTGAAATCGGGAAAATTTGTTGACAACCAGCGGTCCCTTCGTCGTGAAGTTGAACATACGTTGTCTGGAGTCCAATATCCTTCGATGTGAAGTTGAAATTGGCTCTGAAATTGGGAAGTGTTTGTTGACAATCAGCCGCCCCTTCGTCATGAAGTTGAGCTTGTGTTGTCTTGGATTCAAGATCCTTCATTGAGAAGTTGAAATTTACTCTCGAGCAAATTGTGAGTTCGAGAGAAAATTTTCAATCGGTAGCTTCTTGCTGCCGAGCTAAGCAACCACCATCGTTCTTTAAAGGCGCTTACGAATCAATTATCCTTGACTCTAAAAGCTGCAAAAATCATGTATGCTAAAATGAGGAATGTGATGCACCTAATTATGTCTAAGATGCATGTAACATGAATGAATTATGTGTTATCTCTTCGTGCTTTGTCTGCCAATCTGGTCCATGGAATCGATCGTGCCCCATTTGCCTCTCGAGCTT